TAACTATATTCAACAATTACTTGGTAATACAAAAATAATCATTCACGTCGTTCCAATGAATTCAAGAATTATTTAGTATTGGTATTATGCCATAAATAAAGAGAACTTTAATGTAATTATCGTTAACAACTGTGTTACTGATCAAACCGATTGCCGATGGCGCCGCATCCATGGCGATGACAGTCAATACATCGAAAATCGCTTTTTATATCTCTACTGCGGCATTTATTTTTAAATTACCAATTTCATTTTACTCAACACCTACTACCATGGTCATTTTCACTTGATAAGTTATTTTAAACGGGATGATGACCATGTTTATTTTCGGGTATTAGTTTCAGATATTTCGGCACTGTTGCAAACGCTATGATCATCGGTATGTACGAAAGCGCCATGTTGAATGAGCAGTTCAACTTAATTTGACATATGCGATGAAATGAAGCCTCCCACAAAATATTATGATACCAAAAAATATATTTTTAAATGCATTAATGTAAACTGTGACCCAGCAGCAACAATAGATACTTAATGACTATCATCATAAAATAACTGTAGCTATTGTAAAGATATTGATACCGCATTCCTGTTAGTCTTGGACATAGGAAAAAAAGAAACGTATTATTCAACACAGAAACTCATTCTGTGCAAGAAAACACTTGCAAATATCGCCTGAAAATGCAATTTCCCCCTCTGACCTGAAAATAAATTGAAAAAGCGAACTATGCATTCTAATTGCTTACACAATGAGGAGAATAAACTTGCTGTTTTTTACTTTAAATATTTAGATTAGTTTCTTTGAACAGTTTTATTCTCTCTGCAATTCAATTTCCATTATAAGCTTTAAATTTTTATAAGTAGATTTTAGTTCACAAGCCAATGGTCACTAACTGAATAACGTTTGAGTATAGGACCATGTAAGAAACGAAACAATGAAAAGTACAGCATCTAATTAATCAATTACACTTTAAATATTAGAACCATTTTTTAACTTCCTATTTTAATTTTCTGAGCGGAAATTTAGTCGAGATTGATCCATTAACGAATGCGACAGAAATGATATAATAAATAAAAAAATGAATTTGAGAAACCTTCAAAAAAAGAGCGTACTCCTTCCTAAAAGGCCGGCAACGCGTTTGTGACTCCTGAGTTGCAGACGTTCATGGGCGGCGATGGTCACTTTTCATCAGGTGACCCGTCTGCTCGTCTGCCCCCTCTTACATAACAAAAACTGACAAAATACTTCAATTTATGTTTTGTGTTATGCTATGCTATCATGATGCTCCAATGAATGTTACAAGTGATGCCGTTCATCATCATAAAACTTTGTATAAATGTTGCCACTTTGCATGCAGCAAAGCAGAAAGGATATGGGATGGAATAAATACTTTTATGCTAAGGAGACTGCGGACAAAAGTTAGTTCAATATATCATATGAATCATCCTGTTCCCGAGCCGCTATCAAACAGAATACGTTACGGTTTACCTTGAAGTTTGTCCCAATTTGTGCAAGAGCGCTTTAGTATGACCAAAACATAATAATACCTAAAGTGGATTACGCATATGATACGTATATACAGTTTAGTAGATTTTCCTAATTTATTTGTCAACGTTTTTTTTGTGAAATATGGGACAAGCATACTCGTGAAAGAAATTGTCATCATGTTTTTTTATTCTTCCTTTATATTATTAACTTCCTTTTTTTAAACATTCTATTATTAGACAATATAAGTTAGTTATTATCTTATCACAATATGTACAACATGTACAACTCATTATTTTCTTGACTTTAAGCTCACCTCAAAGTTCAAAAAATGCAGTAGGTACTTAATTGCATGGTTTCTAGATGTTTATTTTATTCTTTAAAGAAATAAGACTTAAGACATTTAACGTTTATTACTATCTATTCAGTGTTGTGAAAATATATTATTTGTGCATTTCCATGTACTTTTTTACTCTACGTCAGTACTTTGACTGTACGGATGGCGCTTTGTACTGCGCTGAGTGTTATGGGTTCGATCCCCGCATGGAACAACACTGTGTGTGATTCACAAATTGTTAAAAAAAAACTTGAATAAAATTATGGAGTGTAAGGCAAGGAGAACCATCTCTGTGTATGCAAGTTTCTGTAAAAACACGTCCAATGGCGGTGCGGTAGCCTAGGATAAATTTATATTGACTTGAATAATAATTAGACACTGTATACTAGACTGAGAATGGTCAATGAGTTTAACAGACCATAAATAAACGTGTAATAACTTTCAGGCAATAAAAGTATTATAATATGTTCATGTCGTAGTTTTTCGTACGCCAGCGATACATTTTCAATTTCTCCCCTTAAGTGATGGTTCTCCTTGCCTCTACAATCCATATGCAAAATGTAATCCGTTTTCTATCACAGTATAAAAGGTAAAACGTAAAATCCCTACTAAGATATTCTCTCAGAAAATTGCAAGTAAGATTGAAGTCTCGGTTCCCGAATAGGCAAAACCTACATACAATCTTTAGGAATAACTTTGATGCTTTAAACGGCATCTTTAAAGCATCAAAGTTATTCCTAAAGATTGTATGTAGGTTTATGGTATGTAAAACAGATAGAGCACAAAGTACCATATCTTTTGTGAAATACCTAACAGCCCAATAAGAAAATACAAACTTAACGGGCAAACATTTATTTCACCTACAATCCTTACTAGATAACAACTAGTAACAGCTGCAAAGTTTAATGAATACTAGCAAAACACACAGCTGCTAGTTGCCTACAAACTAACTTATCAAAGTTTCTAATTCCGATCGAAATCAATTTGGAAAGTGCACGAAGTTTTTAGAGTTACTCTTAAAGGAAGTTTCAAAAAGTTCCTTTGGAGACGCTCGAACCTAATTTGTTATCTTGTACGTTACACAAGGAAAAATTGATTGATCGATAGCTTTGGACCTTAGTTTCTTCGACTTTGTCATCTCTTGAGATGTTAAAGGTAGAATTTGAAGGAAGTTGTGAAATCAGACCTCTAGAAACAAATTGTTATACCTTACATAGCATTTTACAGCAAAGTCGGAAGACGTTTTGGACAATTATTTCATCGAAGCATATACTTTTCAGTCCAAAAAGAAATTGAAAGTCGTTTTTTTCTATAATGTTATATATTTTTATTTAAACAAAATATTTACCCTCATTATCTATACATTGCTGCCATCTAAACGGAAGATAATTTATGCCTTTACGATAGAACTCTGGTGATTCTATCATAATCGTATCTAGATTCGACAAACTGTGTGAAATATGTTGTACTGCCTCCTGGGAAGGAATTCTTTTATCACGTAGAAAATTTAAAAAAAAAAAAAAAGTAGTCCGTGGGAGCAAGGTCTGGGGAGTACGGAGGATGACGTATGATTTCTAACTGCTCCTAGCTCCTTTAAAGATGAGGTCTTGCGTTATCATAGAGCAATAATCTTCTTTGTCCTCTCCCATTCCCGTTACGCGGGGTCGGCTTTCCCTATCATGCGGCGCCATACATTTCGCTGGTGAGCATCGTCAGTGGACAGGCCTAACTCCCTCACGTCTCTCTCCCTCATGGAGCAATAATATTATATGTATGTGTATTTATCTATGTGAACAGATGTATATTTGTGTCTGAATGCTTTACGTGTATGTAACCTACCCAAATTTTTAAATATATAATATCTGTATTAAGGTTATAGGTCTATAGATTGTAAGAGATGATAAGACCGCCGATTGTTAAGTCTATGTATTTGTAACTAATTTATGTGTTAACTGTATACAATAAACACGTGGACAAAACTTCAGTAGAAACTCTCACACCATGAAGGTTTTATGTAAATTCAAAGTATCTATTACTGCACAAAGGCAATTTCATATTTTAACCCTTATTATATATTGTCACGTGGTTTCCCTAACAAAACTAGTGGGTCTCTAACCTGTAAGTCAAGGTAAGAAGATGTGATCTTATGACAAAATATTCCTAATCAGGCTTGTAGTTGCATACACATGCGCAAGAACTAAAATACCAGATAACTTTATTAGCTCTATGCACATACAAAAAACTAACCGCAAGTATGTAGTCTAAATTACTTACTGCGTGATTGCTCCAGATTTGATATAAATAGTTACTTATCATTACATTAGCGAGAATTCCATTGTCAATAAATAATGTTTTGTCTTAAAAATATGATTCATTGGTACGCAAAACTGTGCCACGGCCATATGATGTGTCCTCTAGAAATATAATAATGTCAATTAATTAATTTTAATTATAATCAAGAACATTATAGTATTTATGTAGGCACATGTGCACATCTTTCTCCAAGCAACTAACTACTACGATATTATATTGACTACTACATATATTGCCTACGATACTGACAATCTATCTAAAATATCATTTTCTTTAACATTTTAAAGTACATCAATAAAGAGTTTCTTGATTTTTTCTAAGCGTCTTCGTGTTTTGATAAATTTGAATCATACATTAAGTAGCCGTGTTTTAAAAAAATAAACTCTAACAGCTGGCTAAGCTTACAATAGATTGCGTAACATTATCAATAGCTAGCAAAACTTGGATGCGGTTACGTAATTTCAGCATGATGCGTGTGTTGTTACGCAGTGTGCTAATTTCAAACTATTTATCAAAACAAAAGCCCGTCAATTCAGTGTTCGAAATCAAATAGCCTCTACAGGACGTGCCACTGTGCAGGAATAGTGTACTCATCTCGTAAAACACAATTGAAATAGAATAATAAAAGAGCGCATTAGATGAAAATCATACTGTAATATTGCACTAGTGCAACATCCTGCACTTTGAAACAAGTGGCATAACAAACCGTACCTCGTCCACGCAGAGATGTGCTCGATATTTTTTATATTTTTTTTACTAACAAAACTCATTTGTGCTCAAGAAAATGGTGAATTTTGGTGGTTGAATGACAAATTTTCTAACTATGTCGGATCACAGCCGCCTCCTCCAATGTTTGAAAAATTAAGTGAAATGGATAACGATGAAAATGCAAAAATTATTTTTAGAGATCACAATATTTTTAAAGGAAATTCAGATACAGTTGAAAGTACTAATTTTAAAATATATAATAATAAAGAACTTCGCAAAGAGGTAAGTGCCCATAATATCATTCAATGGCCGGACGAAAAAGAATTTAATAATAGCGATATTGCCAAGCATGTAACAGAAGATCAAATTCATGCAGCGCCTACAGTCGATCAATTTGTTTTCCAATTTCCTGCAATAGACAAGGCACATAAATTAAATAATGAAATTAATGCATCTCAATCTTCGCCTATACCTGCAATAGATAATAATAATTTTAACAATAACTCAACGAACAACACTGTACTTTATAACGACAAGGTGACATTTGCTTTGTACTATAAGGAGAAACTTTCAGAAAATGTATGTACTTATATGAAGAAGAGTGACTGTTACCAGAATAAAGGAGCTTTAAATGTTGACATGAAGTGAGTATTTTTTTGTTCTTATATTAAGTCTTAATGATTTTCATTGCATACGACTATTCATTTCAACAGAGATGAAAAGAAATATACACTCAATAGGCAGTTAATATGTTGTATCTTACCAATCAAAAACAACGAAAATGTAGTCCAAAGTAATAAAGTATCGTTCCCTGAAGTAACGAAAAATTTAAGACGATTCAAGAGATCTAAAAGCACTGCTCTAGGTAAGGGCAATATTTTGTTGTTTCACAACTATTCAAATAAAAAACAAAAAACAAAGCAACCAGCCATGACTACCGATGAGGACTACGAATACGAGGACCCTTACGTGAACATAAAAAATCATAAAAGTCCACACAACCGCAAACAAGAATCAATGACAAAGCACGACAATTCTGATGAATATCCTGACGATTACGCTGTTGAGATACCCGCACCGGGATTAACCGGACTATATTCTGACATACACGAAATTAAAGACAACCCATACAATGTGCAACACATTGCTACACCTGATTACGAAGATGAAGACCGTACCGACTCACTTGGTTATGCTACAGTCAATCCGCGAATCGGTAAATATGCATTTGATTAAAATAGCACACAGGAAATATGTATAACAGTTGTCATTGCGTAAAGATGTTATAAAAACTTTTAACACCTTATAGAATCGTATTGTTTTTTAATTGCAATCTTCTATCAGACTGATATTTGAGGATTTGGATCAGAATTTATTTCATCGCTATTGATTTCACAATCCAGAGCGATGAAGAAAATGTCAACCTACTATTTTATTTCATTGTGCAGTAATTAATTTAAAATAACCTGAGCTTATTTTTTCAGGCTATAATAAAAAGAGAAAGTCACCATACAACAAGCCTTTAAAACTCACAACAAACTCAGATGAGATATACGATATAGATAGTCAAACTATCAGTTACCATTCCGAACCAAACTTTAATGTATTACAAGATTTCAAACTGCCTAATTTAACAAGAAAGAAGGTAATCAAAACAACAAGATCCACTACCACAGAAAGCTTTTCAAATGACCATATCGAGGATGTTAATAAAAATGAAGAATCTGATAACATTGCTGCTTTGACTGTTAATACCAATAATGTATGCGACCATCGACAGATATTTAAAGACTGTGGTAGAACCTTTAACCCAATTACAATGCAAAGTAAGTGACAGAGCGTTTATGTATCTGGTTCTTTTATACCTTTGTAACTATAAAAATATTGTTTTTTATTTAAAACGCGTCCCGAAAATATTTTTGCATCATCCGACTAGTAAAACCGCTAATCGAAACCATGTTCTAATAACGGTACTCTTGACACAAATTATAAAAATAATTATTATAATTATATTTCCTTATTAGCAGCCATACTAAACGTGGCAAGGCCTTAGGATTTCAAAAATTACAAATAAAAACAATAATATTTAACTAATAAAATATAAAATCTTGAAATATCTCACACACCACATAGTAACCACCTAGACAGACAAATCCATATAGGTATACTCGTATATTATTGATAAAATACACCCAGGCTTATTTGTCCACTTTACTAACCATTTCCCCCCTGACCATTCAAAGTCCCTTTGGCTAAGAGATAGCCAGTCCAGACCGGATGTCTATTTATAAATAAAACTTTAGGTAATATACATAGCTCATTGGTAAACACGTGGCACGTAACTTTTGTAGTATTAACAATCTGTAAGTTATCGGGTTCGAAGCAAAACTTGAAAAAAAGTGAAAATAATGAAGCAAAACAGCCGGGTGGGAAGGATTTTATAATTCCATTGCGACAAAAGAAAAAAAGACTCACTCACCAGAAACTATTCATTCATACATTACTACTTCTATATTAATTTAAATATAGAAGTAGTTATACCAGTATCACAATCTCATCTATTACCATCTCCTTTGTACATTTAGAAGTATTATTGGAGTAGAATCTATGAATATACAAAAAAAGAATTATATATTTTGTTCCTGAAATACTTTGCCTCTTTTCTTACGTATATAATACGTTTTCGGCCGGTTGGTGTAGTGGTTTATGTTACGGACTACTACGCCAAAGGTCGTGGGTTGGATTCCCGCTGAAGTTAAACATTTGTGTGCATAAACATTTAATATTTGATTTGGTCTGGGTGTTTCTATGTATAATGTGTATGTATTTCCAAAAAAGGGTATATATATTTATATCAATTATCTAGTACGCATAGTACAAGCTATGCTTATTTTGGGACTAGATGGCATTGTATGAATGTGGTAGAATATTATTATTATTATATTGCTTCAAAAAAATCGCATGTCACATGTTTGTTTACTGATAGAACGATAATTTTATTTATATTAAATAACAGAAAGCATTCAAAGAAAACCACAAAACAATTTTGTTTCAGACAAAGAAATGGGAGATACAGAGAAGGCTTCGCACCCGTGGCTGGCAATATTAGTACCGACTCATAAAGAGAATAAGTTAATATGCTATGCCTCCCTTATTCATCCAAGAGCTGCAATTACAGCAGGTGATTGTGTTCACAGGTGAGCTGAAGTTGCAATTAGTAATACTTAGCCGTATATTAAGGAAACTCTTATTTCAATCAGTTTTGTGTTTTGTTCAAACAATCCTCGTGATGTACTGTGATAAAAAGTGTTATGTTTTGTTTTTTTCTTTAATGGGTATTCCCTTTGGCTGAATCTATGATGAACGTAAGCCACAGCTTGGGCCGTTCAGTGCTTTTAGCCTATCGCTCCGTTTACCAGTGATAACAATAGAAAAATTGAGAGAGGACAACAGACGGCTATGATGTCTTTGACAGAGATTTTCACTCAGACTGGTTGCATCCCTGGTTGGCAACGGTTTGGCCGGAAACGAGAATGGAGACTTATAAAATTCTACTACACAATTCTAGCATAACTTGTATCGTCATTTCCTTTTTTTTGTAAGTAGAATAAAAGTGTGTAATTGTGCATGTCATCATCTGCGTTGGAACACTATGAATCTGACGGAAACATTTTATAGTTTTACTCTTGTTTACTATTCTACTCGATCATTCACACATGTATTACTATTATTCAGTTTTGTAATAACTTGCTGCAAGTAGTACATAATAGAAGTTGTTCGGGTGTTCATATCTGCGTTCACTTTATAACTAGAGTAATATAATACTGACATATAAACAAATTTTGTGGGCCACAGCTATAAGTTCTTTCTACTCACCGAAACGACGAATTTCATTTACCCCTGCGTTCCAAAACATTTTAACTCCTCATATTTAATTTAATTACAGAACTGCCCCAGGAGAAATCACTCTGATAGCCGCACTTTGGAATCTCAGTGAAAGGTCGAGGTCAGGAAAACGAGTCGTAATCCCACTTTTACACCCCCAATATAAAAGTGATGACTTAAATAATAACTTGGCTTTAGTGGTGAGTGTAAAATTAATAAAATGATTAGTAGTTTTTCAATCCGTGTGGTGACGGATTAAGAATATGGAGTATCACCACACCTATTCATCCAATGGGTGACGTAAATGCTAACTAAGGGTGCAAACTACGCAACAGCACTGCAAAGAGAAGGAAAACTTGAAACACACCCTATACCAACCCGGCCAGTGTGGTATACGAACCTCTTTTCTAAGGAGAGGCCTATGTCCAGCAGTTGACTATTAAAGACTGTTCGTGATGTTGATGAGTTTTTCGATTTACGTATTGAATATTAACAAACTTTGTACTGTTTCATTCAGCATTGGAAGAAACCATTAAAATTAGGAGCGACCGTGATACCAATTTGCCTTGCAAGTCCAAAGTTTGATGATGAATGCATGTTCGTCGGTTGGGGAGGCTTTGACCAACGTATGTACTTTCAATCTTCCAAAGTTTTTATTATTTGGTAATTAAGCTATTTTTTTATAGTCTTCTACTACAAGGTGTTCGATTCTAAGTGACCAAACATGAATATTATGATATATGTACATATAGATGACGGGCCTGTTGGCCTAGTGGTTAGTGACCCTGACTGCTAAGCCGGAGGTTGTGAGTTCGAATCCCACCCAGAACAAATAAATGTGTGATAATCCCGATCATTAGTGGCGGTACCCTAGTGGTTAAGGCATTGGACTTGAACTCACTCCTAACACAGGCAATTTAGCTTAGCTGGAGGGGCTAACGGGAATACTAGTAATTTTAGCCCTAAAAAAAAATGTTTTGTGTCTGGGTGTAATTTATCTATAATATGTGTGTAATTAGAAATAAGGGATTTTTTTCTTTGGACTTTTGTGAAATCTCGGGTTTATGCGAATAAACCAGAAACAATTGATTGCACGGATGGCGTAGTGGTTTAAGCGGTCGCCACGCCGCTTCCTTCCTATTACGTCGAGTGTTGTGGGTTCAAACCCCACATGGGACAACACTTTGTGTGATCCACAAATTGTTGTTCTGAGTCTAGGTGTACTTTGAGTCCGTTTCATGTATTGTAAAGTCCCCCGCGACACAGGATTTATTACTAGTGCGGGAGTTGTTTTAAAAAATAAAAAAATCCTGAGCTCAAATCAGAGATGCAACGCGTCATCGGTGAAAAATTGAAAAATGGAAAATCAAAATTTCATGAAAAGAGTAATGGCCTATCACAACTGTTTCATGAAATACATGTTTTTATCTTAAAGTGCACTCTTACTGAGACACCTTTATATAAGTCTGTTTATCAGCAACCTGGTTACCATAGCACAGTTTCTGTCTAGTTTGGGATCAAACTACCGTGTGTGAGTTATTACTATTATATTTCTCCTTTAGCAATACGTACTCAATCTCGGTGGCAACGAGCAACAATCCAAAACTGCAAAGATCATTCTTCACTTGCTGGAATACCGATACCAATTAACGCATTTTGCGCATCCGTTGAGACACGAAGCACAGTGGTAAGTAAATAATTTTTAAATTAATTTAAATGATTAGGTACTCCGAGTCTGAACGGCATTAACCATAGTTAATGCTAGATCTATAACATAACAATTATAGTCCACACAATAGATATTCGAACTTGTTGAGATAGAATTAAATAACCTTGGGATCTTTAATTTTTTAATTCTTAAAAAGTTGTCAAGTGGTTGAGGGTTCGAAATTCGAACCCCAACTTTAGAACATGAACATGGACTCAATTAATAACATTGCCTTTAAGTTAGTTTAACTTGGCATGTTGTGTAGGGTATATCTAGGACTATGGATGGAGTGTACTTATATCAACTAAGGCGGAGTGTGTACAGAAAGTAGTAAAATTGCTAACATCATAAAGATAAGAGTATGCGTCAGCGCCTTCGCTAATAGATGAGCCACGATATTGATTAAAAAATCGAGATAAGGTCGTACTCGCCCACCGAGGGTTCCGTACAAGTTTGTAGGTACATATATTATAATTAAGTAGTTCAGGAATCGAGTCTAGCAGTTTTGAATTGTACCTCGGTGATTGATTACATACTTTAATAAAGACTATTTTTTATGATTCAATTACAGTATAGTTTTAAGATTTTTCCCTGTACTTGTAGTATAGACGATATTACTTGCTCAATTTCATAGTTCTGGGTCAACGGGAAGTACCCTATAAATTTTGATTCCCTTGAGTGTCGAAATATGCGTTATGGGGCATAAACACCCGTATCTTTTTTTTTAAGCTTAACTTAGGAGTTCGATTATTTTACAGCTTCAAGGGACCGTAGACCCGAGTATATGGTATTAATTTTAGCTCCATACCTCTACCGAAATAAAGGATGTTGACAAATAGTGATCCTATAAGGGTTCCGTTTTTTCCTTTTAAGGTACGGAACCCTAAAAATTACTTAATCTTCGGAAAACAATCACTTGCCTTAATGTCAAATCTGCATTCAGGTTTATACAATAGTTAGTCATCGTTCGCCATATTATTTGATTGACGATAATATGACCTATACCTAAATATAACGACAGCCAGCGACCATTTTAACGCTTGATATGGTTGTGATATATTGGTGATAATTCTGTTGTTAGAAAACTCTCCAAACTAAACTAAAAATTACCAACAATTAGTTTAGTCCTGTTAAGTAGTAAGTTTTCAGAATAAGAAACGTTGTTTGACGGGACTAAACAATTTTTTAGTGATTTTTAGCTTAGTTTGGAGAGTTTTCATACAACAGAATTAGCACCATTGTAAGCAATACCTACAAGTTATTTTTCTATCCTTCGAAGTCTCTTTCTCTCTTTTCGAAATCTCTTTTCCGGGTGTGGATGTGTTAGGTAAGACATGTAAAAGTAAGAAAGAAACTCACTTTATAAAGATATGATCTAGCACAATAAATAGAAGAATTTTTATTTCTATCTCCAGACAGGTATTGGTGGCTCACTAGTATGCAAAACCGATGGCCATTTGTCAGCGGTTGGAGTAGCCGTATCAAGAGACAGCACCCTCATATTATTGCCTATGTACAACTGGTTAACTTCACCACACATCGGCACTTTTATCGGCTTCCCAGATAAGTGATATTTAGGTAAGTAATATTAAAAAATAAACTTAATAACCCCATAAAACTTAGTGATACGGTAGAAGTGGAATTTACGGTGTTGGGTAAAAGTTTGTTTCAATTCGTCGAAATTATCTTGATTGACTTGATGAATTGTAGTTTATTTTATATTCGTTCTTCTGCCGTAATAACACTTATTAAGCGAATGGGCATTACACTATTTTTCTAGGGTTTGATTGATCAATTATTGATATAATAACATCTTGTATAAGACAAGACTTATAAACATAGTATTCACGACTTTTTGTCATTAAAAAGAATACTTTCTTTGTTTTGCTCAAATCCTCCGACAAATATGTAAAGGAATCATTTAAATATTTATAAGAGAAATGATGTAGGATAACTTATGTAGGACAAGTATTGTGTGATGAGCACGACCATATGTTCTGTGTCTGGGTGTAATTTATCTATAATATGTATGTATATAGAAATATATGTTTATAAGCAGATTGGTTACCATAGCACAGGTTCTGCCTAGTTTGTGCCCAAACTGCCGTGTGTGAGATGTGTGAAGATATTATTATTGCTTAAAAAATGGGTAAGGCATCGGACGAACGATCAACTGATTGAGAGTTCGAACCCTGCCCACTGCACTACTGTCGTGAACCCAGACCTAAATATGCAACTTAGTTTTCCAAAAATATTAATAATGTGTGACCCATCTTGTTGGGTTACCTATAATAATAGAAAAGTCAGTTTACAATTACGGAGTTTTCGGTTCAAATCCAACAGAATCTTACGTGACGCACTTTACAACACCTTCTATATAGAAAGGGTTATAAATAAAATGAAGCTTTATGTAACTGAAAATGAAAGTCCAGTGTGCACTTTTATAATTTATTTATCTTTTTATAGTTCATATTATACATGAGCGCACCAGCCCTATAACGATAACTTAATAATTTTACTTAAGGCTGGCCAAATAAGATGACGCGGCACTGTATGTTCATTAAAAGGAACTACATTTAAAAAAAAACACTACACAAAACACATTGGGAATGTCGAGATCCATGATAATGCATACAACAGTTTATAGTTGATATTTATAACTTTGTTGTACTTAAACTCTTTGGTGCCGAATTGTTTAAAATGAAGTGAAAATTGTTCATGTCTATCTATAACGATTCCGATAAGACGGCAAACTTAAAACTTATGTCTTTATAATAAACATATTTTAACAAGTCTTACGTTATACAGCCCTTCAGTCTTTGCACGCACTTCACAACTTATACATTGACGCCAATTCGGCTAATTTCAACAAGTCTAGTGAAGCGCATGCAAGCATTACAAACTAATATATTTACTCTGAATAACATAATAATACTTGGGGCGTTCAAAATGTAATGATCGAAGTTCAATTCTAAACGAAGCTAGTGGTCGTCGATGACTAAATAATTTTAATTCACTACTAATAATTTTATACAACCACAACACACAAACTAAAATACCCTTTACCTATGGGTACATATTTATGAAAAAATAAATACTATGACAAGATCACGATAACATCACAAGGTTGTTCACAGGAGCGTGCGCAGTTCACGCGATCACGAGCGGCTCGTCGTCGGAGAATCCGTGGATCGGAGGCACGTCGTCGTCATCTGAAACACATACGTTTCATGTCACCGTTCCTTTGTAAAGTGTGCTTATCGTTTTGTAGTATTTTTAAGTTTTTTACTAAACAATAAACTTAGTCGTACAAATATTTTCTACAAAATATTTATGGTGGTTATTAATTTTTGAAATTTAGTTGTTTATTAACAATTTATTAGTGATGATCGATTTATACTCGTGTAATTTTTTACACTACATAGTTTTTCGTTACGCGGAAGAACGTATTTCTTTAATACATAGGTAGTGTAAGTCAGTCAATATGTTGATTCAGTCAGTCGTCAATGTCAAACTACAATTTTTTTTCTTGATTTGAAGTCTTACAAATTCTTGTTATATTGACATAAAAATATGCGCATGCGTATAAAGTGCAAAAAATTATTTGTGTTTTTTTTGTCGTTTCGGTGTTTTGATCTCAGTAAGAATAAGATCGTTTCTTATTGAGATAAAAAACGACACAAACATAGCAACGTGTGGATGGATAAATAAATGTTTGTTATTCGTTCACACAAAAACGGCTAAACGGACTTAGATGAGATCGTCACAACCATCGTTGGCAGGTCGTAAAGGGTAGAGGTAGAGGGTAGAGGTAGAGGGTAGAGGTAGAGGGTAGAGGTAGAGGGTAGAGGTAGAGGGTAGAGGTAGAGGGTAGAGGTAGAGGGTAGAGGTAGAGGGTAGAGGTAGAGGGTAGAGGTAGAGGGTAGAGGTAGAGGGTAGAGGTAGAGGGTAGAGGTAGAGGGTAGAGGTAGAGGGTAGAGGTAGAGGGTAGAGGTAGAGGGTAGAGGTAGAGGGTAGAGGTAGAGGGTAGAGGTAGAGGGTAGAGGTAGAGGGTAGAGGTAGAGGGTAGAGGTAGAGGGTAGAGGTAGAGGGTAGAGGTAGAGGGTAGAGGTAGAGGGTAGAGGTAGAGGGTAGAGGTAGAGGGTAGAGGGTAGAGGTAGAGGGTAGAGGTAGAGGGTAGAGGTAGAGGGTAGAGGTAGAGGGTAGAGGTAGAGGGTAGAGGTGGAGGTAGAAGGTGGAGGTACGCACCGATGATGGCCTGGCCGCGGCGGCTGTCGTAGCGCGGCGTGTGCGCGGTGAAGCGCAGGAAGGAGCGCGCGAGGCGGCGGTGGCGCAGCGCCACGTGCAGCAGCGCGCCGCCCAGCGCCGCGCACACCACCAGCGCCGCGCCCCAGCCCCACCACAGCGCGCCCGACCCGCCGCGAGACACCTCCTCCGCCCCAGGACCTGCACCGAACGCTTATACTTATCAAACGCCGAGTCGAACGAACGAAACTATGAGTATTCGATACGATGATAAAGATATGTCTCAGAAAACTGAGTCATTGAAATCATGAAAAACTATATTTTCCGTTATCACTGATATACATTACGACTATTCGCATACACGTTGACTTCAGATAACGCTCTTCGAACGAGTTTTTATTCTTGAAAAAATCCTGTAGTGCTGAACCAAATATTTTTGAATGGACTTCTTAAGAACTGATATTAAAATTTATAAAAGGAAATTTAAATTACTGCATTTTGAGAAAACATCATTTTTACTTTGATATATGTTTAAATGAATACAAACAAAACTGTGCCCAAGAAAAAATAAAGTAACAAATTTGACACTTGTCTCTAACGCGTCACGAATCATAGATGGATGACTTATCTTTGTGCGCTGTTGTTTTTTTTATTTATTATCATTTTTATTTTTACTTTGAGGATGATATGAAGAATTGTGAGATTTCTACAAATATAAAGAGAAATCGATAGACTATAATCTCTCTAATCAGACGAAAAGCGTTACCTACTATTAATTTATTTTTGAATTAATAATATTTAGTATTACCATCCTCCAATAAAAAACGTCCATACAAAAAGTGAACAACTCCTTTGACCAAACATTTTTAAAATAATTTTAAAACATTTTACCTCAAGTCAGATCATTAAATTTCTGGCAAATAATCCCAAAATTTTATAAAGAACTTAATACATAAGTAACATTAACTTATTTTTTTTTATATTTGTGTTTAGTTTTATAGGTGACTTAAAAATATTCAATGTCTCAGGGCCTTATGAACCAGATCGGCACTTAGAAATACTAATTATATCTTTCTCTGCTTTACTACTGCACCTAGCAAAGAAAAGCAATAAAGGAACTGTTTAACACCGGTTTTCTATAAGACCGTGGTATCACTCTGGCTAAGGCTGGCCGGAATAAAATAGGAATGGAATAATAATTTTCGTACACCGGCAATATCTTGTTGAAAATAACAAAAAACACCAAGTGGATAGTCCTTAATAATAATATTAGCAGTAGGTGTAGCAGTGCTATTCTCTAAGGAAAGAGTCTTGCGTACAGCCAATCAATCTATCAGTCAATCTAGCTTTCATAGTGGTTAGTGTGAAACTAGATGGGTTTGTTAGATGTTAAAAAATATTATTATTATTATATTTGCCATAATAGTTTTAACAGCAAATTTCAGTCAAAAAATACAAAACAGCTATAACAATACACACCTTCCATATTCATGGTGTGCACTTCACTCAGGTCACTGTAGTACCCGTCACTAGTGACCCTTCGAACACCCACGTACAAAGGTCCCTTAACCCCTTCCGGGGCGGTCAACAATCTAGGTGACATGTCCGCCTTTATAGTCTTCATGTCTTCGGTAGGGTGCAACATGTTGTCGGGGATCTCTTTCTGTGATATTATCACTTCATACTCAGACCTATAAAAAATTACATCGTCATTACACACAGAATTATTAACTATCATAAACTCGCTTTTGCCCGCGACTCCGCCCGCATGTATGTCGGTTATGGCGGTAAAATTAGCTTTATAAAATTATAGCGGTTTGGGCGTGAAAGTGTAACAAACAAACAAACTCAGTTTCACATTTATTTATGAAATAAGTATTTATATAATTAGCAAATATATGTATATATTTAATAGACTAGCAAATTGGTCTTGTGTTTTATAATCCTAACTGTTAACCCAAAAGGTTGTGGGTTCGATTCCCACTCAGGATCAGGATGGATATTCTATAATGACCACGATCATTTGCTCTGTAATTATCTATAATATGTACATATGTTTTAAAAATATATGTGCTCGGTTGAAGGCAGTAGGCTTGCCAACTATTATGTAAGCGGGACTAAATTTATAATCGTCAAAATGCCGGCGTTTAATTCAACTCTGTATACCCCTTCGGGAATAAAAGGTGAGTAGATATAGGTATATGAGTAAAAAAATTGAGCTTTCTTCAAAATGTTTTTCTTTGATTGTGATGTGAATATAGCGTGGTATGTAGTAGGCCAGGTATGTGATAGGTAGGCCAAAACCTCCTTTCTAAGGAGGGCCTATGTGGACTACTAAAGGCTGTTAATGATTATGATGATGTGAATATACAGTAAACATATTAACAGAAACAATCGAAGGTGCGCTTAACATTGGTCAGAAGACCCAGTAATCAACGCTAAGTACACCACTCGCCTTGCATTCAACGAAAGACATCAAATCTATACTTATGAGAGACCCAGACGAAGAAGCGCGGGACAGCTAGTCAAATATAAAGTAAATAACGGTGTATAGTTACGTGTGTAGCGGCGAGTCGTCCCAGCTGACCATGACGTGTCCGTTGGGCGAGAGCCACGCCAGCACGCCCGAGGGCGGCTGCAGCTTAGAGCCTTGCACTTGGATACACTTCACCGCTGCGTCCTCTACATTCACCTGTACGATGTAAAACAATGATTTCATACAATGTAATAATAATAATATGATTTATTTCACAATATGGCACAAAAATACATAAACAGCGTAACAAACACGACATTGATCATTTTGAAATTGATGTGTTGTCCCCTTTTTTGAAAACAACGAGTTCACTGATCCCTCTGATGACCAATCGAGTTAACGTTTGGAATAGGAAATCCTGTTTTAAATCTATGAAACATTGTGGAGTCAATAGGTGCCAATGGCTGCCACTTTCTGTTCATTTGTTCGTTAGCGGGCTCTAACTTATATACTAATAAACTATCGAGTATTGAACAATATAGTATAATATTTAGTAAAATCTCATACCATACTACAGAATCATATGTGTGGGGGAGTGTCAGATTTTTTGTTTTATATGTTCTTTTAAAAGCTGCTCTTCAGAATTACTTTGTAAATCGCTTAATTTCTGTGCATCGTCATCTTTATTCGACTTTAATACCATTTATTTTTTTTCTAATTTACGAAACTGTTTTGGTTGTATGAGTTAAAAAATCTTAAAAATGCCTGTAAATCCTAAGAATTACGGTAACTACCCTGTCGGTAATAAAATAATAACAAGAAGGCTCATTTATCTGCAACAGGTTTTATGTTAACCATTTACGTTGGTGGTACATATTATGCATTTTGTGTTTTATTAGTTTACAAACAATTGTTTACACAAGTATCACACAAAGGAAAAAAATCACATAGAGAGGAAAATGGGAATAGTGTAACAATTACTTTAAGGTAAACTCCCACTTCAACTGCTACAAGTATAGATAGATAGATAGATAGATAACTCTTTATTTGCACACTAAATTACAGAGTTTCAAGAAAGGAACACAACAATCAAATATCGAGTGTACAAAGGGCGGCCTTATTGCTAAATGCAATTTCTTCCAGGCAACCTTAGGATGGATCAAAAGTTGCAGAGTGACAGTAGTAGTTGAATATGTGAACCTACTATTTGTTTATCATCAGCTACTATACATATTACATATACTACACATATCATACTATCTACAGACATTTACAATTTTTATACTTACATCTACAATGCATATCACAATAAATAAACCTATATATATATAAGTACCTACATACTATACCAGCAAATATACATATACACATACATATATTTATACGCATTCTTAAATGAATAAACATATAGAAAAGAGAAACAGTTTCGTTACACCCTCAAGCGTGATGGACTCCTAAAGTGAATAAAATTCCTGTACCATTTTCTTGAATCTATGTAATGTTTGCGCTTGCCTGATGTTAAGCGGCAGTGCATTCCACAAGCGCACAGCTTCAACAGTGAAGGATTGGTCATAAAATTTGGTGGAATGCAGTGGCATCTCCAGTTGTAAACTTACGGATGACCGCAGACATTTTTCGTGTGTGTCATTTAGGAACTTGAATCGTTCTTTGAGGTAGAAAGGGGTTTTGGGATTAAACAAAATGTTATAAAGGAAAATAAGGGTATGAGTATTCCGGCGAGAGCGAATTGGAAGCCACTTGAGCATTTGACGGAATTCAGAGACGTGATCGTATTTTCGTAAACCAAATACGAATCGTATACACATATTTTGTAGTCGCTCAAGCTTATCGAGTTGTGCTTCAGTGAGATTCAGATAGCTGACATCGGCATAGTCGAGAATTGGGAGGAGAAGTGCTTGTGCAAGCGCAACCCTAGTTGCAGTTGGAAGGAATTTGCGTAGTCTTCGAAGAGAACCGGCTGAAGCAAATATCCTACGACTGACCTCTTGCATCTGTGGACCCCATGATAAGGTGTTGTCTATGTAGATCCCTAAATTTTTAACAGTAGTGCTTATCTCAAGAGTTGTGCCACCGAACTGAATTTGGGGCAGTAGAGTCCAGTTAACTTTTGAGATCAGCCTGGGGCTGCCAATAACACACACCTGTGTCTTAGTAGGATTGATCATAAGTCCATAGTTATAACTCCACTCGCCAATGCGTTGAAGGTCAGCGTTAATTATGTTGAATGCATCCGATAACATGTCAAGCGGAGCTTGTGTATATATTTGCAAATCATCTGCATAAAGGTGGTAGAAGGAACTTAGTTGATTAGAGATAGAGTTTATAAAAACAGCGAAGAGTAAAGGAGATAGAACGCCACCCTGCGGTACACCAGCAGAAATACTGCACCAAGAGGACATGGAGTCATCAATGCAAATCCGTTGCCGGCGACCAGACAGGTAACTATGAAACCAATCAATTGTCCTTGGAGATATGTTAAGAGACCGTAGTACGCCAAGCAGAATGTGAAAATCCACAGTATTGAAGGCATTGCTAAAATCAAGTAAGGTGAGAACTGTGATCTTTCCACTATCCATGCCTAGTCTGATGCTGTCTGTAATGTGTACCAGCGCAGAAGTAGTGCTATGGCCAGGGCGAAATCCGGATTGGAAGGGGTTCAGTAGAGAATTTTTGGAGAGGAAGTTAGTCAGTTGAGAGTGGATGAGGCGTTCAAGTACTTTAGATAGGAAAGGTAAAATAGATATGGGCCGATAGTCAGAAAATGAAGAGGGTTTAGCTTTTTTTGGAAGAGGGATTACTTGGGCATCTTTCCATGCAGATGGAAAAACACCGCTTGTGACGGAGTGATTAAGGATATTGCATAGGATAAGTAGAATTTCGTCAAGGATAGGTATAATCATATTTCGGCTGATGCAGTCACTTCCCACTGCGCTGGATGAGATCGCCAGAATGGTCTTCCTAACATCACAAGCGGACAACTGATCAAAGACGAGAGGTGGATAGTTGGGAGTAGGGGTAGTAGAAATATTTCTAAGAGTATTAGCTTTTGTACTGTCACTAATGTCAGACGAGGCAGAGAAATGTTTATTGAGTAAGTCAATGTTGACATTTTTGGGAATAGACTCTTGGCGAGACCTCCCGACTCCCAATGTTCTTAGAAATTTCCAGACTTTTGCTGGGTCTCCGTTTTCTACGGAAGAGTGGATATGTTGGCGTTGTGCGTTTCTACACATCTTATTGCAGAGATTTCTCAGGTACACATATTTTTCCAGGTTCGCTTCGGTTGGTCGACGCTTGTATTTGCTTTTCGCTATACATTTCCTGGACATAATGCTGCGTATCTCCTCAGTAAGCCATGGAGCCGGTAAATGTTTGAGTTTTATTGATCGTAAGGGTGCATGGACGTTATAGAGCTGTATCAAGTTGTCTGTGAATATTTGGACTTTATCATTAACACACTGCGAATTTAACAAATTGTTCCAGTTGATGTTTCGCGCATCTTCCTTAAGTCTTTCAAGATTCATCGCGCCAAAATTACGCTGCACAAGAATTCTCGGCTTTGCCTTGGGTGGTCGGATAGCATAAGAGAGAAATATCAAGTCATGATAGGAAAAAGCATCAGCGGAATACTGACCATGGCTGATGACATGATCAGTAGAAGAGACTAGGATAAGATCAAGAAGAGAGGGAGTGCAGTTAGGGAAGTGATGTGTAGCATCAAGTGTTAAGAGTGATAAGTTATTACAGTCCACAATTCTACGTAGTGAAGAAGAGCGATGGTCATTTTTCATCAAGCAGGTATTGAAATCGCCCATTATTAATGTGTGGCTATAAGAGGGAGATAAGTTTTCTAGTAATTTTTCAAAAGAGGAAAAGTAATTAGTACGTAACGAGGGAGAATAGTAAACACCAAGTAAAATCTTCGCATGATTAACTACTAGTTCTATAAAGAGGTGCTCGCCAGCGTCCGGTGATGGGGGCTGTGACGACATGTTTACAATGGTAAAGGGAATGTGCTGTCGCAGATATATGCCAACACCCCCCCCACCACCGATCGCACGGTCATTCCTTATGAGATTGAAACCAGGAAGAGTATATGGTGTAGAAGGTAGGCACGGTTTTAACCATGTCTCTGAAACTAAAATGGCGTGAATGTTTTTGCAATCAAAGGTCGTCAGCATATCAGGGAAATGAGCTGGAATACTCTGGGCATTGATATGAACTACATTAAATTGCCGCGACGCATTAGAAAATTGGTACTGAAGATTCTCATGGAGTGAGGGTATGCTAACGTAACTAGAATCAAGACTGTTTATCGAGTAAAAACTGTCATCATCATTATTGTCCAAGCCAGACATAAAGTTGACTCAAGAATGTGTAAGTAAACTAATATAGCAATAATGTTCAATAAATAATAATAATATATGAATAGTAGTAATAAAAAATTAAAAAAAAAAAAAATTTTATGATCCACCCGCCAGTCGTGTGTTTTACATTTAGAAATTACTGGAAGATATTAACTAAATAAAAGTAATCAAAAAAGAAAAGAAAACAAAAACAAAAAGAAGCAAAATTGTGTCACAGTTTTCTGGGCGAACTTCCCGTTCAAAAGACTCTGTTTCAAACTTACAACTAATCAATGACAAACGCAATTTGATTTTCTTTGACACTTGACAGCTATTTTTGTTTTGAGATTTTTTAAATAAAGGTACATCAACAAAATAAATGTCTTCGGCTGGTTTAATGATGTTGAACAGAATTATTTGATGATTACAATAATCGAAACCATAAAATGTTTGTAATGAAAATAAATTTGGACTGATTCTCGCGTGAAATTCACCCAGACAGTGTAACACTACATTCAATGTATCTAAGAGAGAACCACATAGCAACCATTTACTTTTTTGTATAGATACCTTGTATTGATACCTTTATTTGATATAGATACCTTTTTTTTTGTATAGATACCTTGTATTGACTTAGGTGTGTATAACTTTTAGTTTCAAAAAGGTCCACTTACAAAAATTGTTAATAGGTTTTAGTATATACCTCAAAACCTCCTTTCTAAGTAGAGGCCTATGTCCAGCAGTGGACTAGTATAGGCTGTTGATGATGATATAGGTAAGAATGATAAATGTTACTCACGTGTACACAAATATTGTATCTACCGCCGACTGGCACTTTGAGTAAGACGTGAGAATATGTCGCAGCCTTTGACGGTTTCAGTTCGTAGTGACTCTTCGAGTCGTGGGTTATCTCTGTTATATCCAGCTAAGAATATACAATTGGAAATGTATTTAACGGTTCATTTTAAATATTTCACGAGAGGTTTTCATTGTCTTCAACTAAGAAAACCCAACTCAAATAAAAAAGAGAGGCAACTATAATTATCGATAAAAAACAGCTCACTATTTAATTATTGACTAATTTATCATAACAATTAATGAATTATATAATTCAGTATTTAATTAATCAATAATTTAGTAGTGAAATTATTAATTAATAATATATATTTTTTTTTGACATTTTGATAGCTTTTATATCGATAGTCACGGCGACCGCGTTCGACGTTGCAATTGGTGACGATTTCGGTCACCGTGACTCATAGAGATATAACCATAGAGAGAACACGACAGCTGCCTGTAAGTGGAAACAATACAGGCAACGAGAGATAGATGCCCGATATTTCTCGCTGTCTCTGTTTAGCTAAGCTGCGATTGACTACTTGTTAACCCCTCATATTCCCCAGCCAACCACAAAGCTCGGCTAGAAAGAGATAGAGGAGACTATCTATTATTCATCTCTCTCGTTGCCTATAATGCAAAATTTGGGCTCTTGTTCCCTCTAGATTAAACTTCTATGGTGATGATTGAGTTGATGTGAAATAAACTCACACTAAGGGTTCCAATTACAATATGGTGGCTTGACGAAGTCTCTATATATTAAGCAATCTGTCAAGCAATATGAGATTGCAGCACCCTTATATTATTACTTTTTTTAAAAATGATCAAATCAGAGGCCCAAGTGCTAGTTTATTTTACTTCTACTCGATCGTCACGGTGACCGCGTTCGGCGTCGAGAGCGAGTCGATGTGAAATAAACTTGCACTCAGCCTCAGAAGAATGCAGTCCAGACTGACTGGATCACGCACGCATTTCAATTATGGACGACTAATTCTGATGTTGTCAAATTAGTTGCGACGGTATTAAGAAACACATACGTTTGTTTAATATAAATAAAGAGCCATCGTCAAGTATGAAAATATTCAGGCATTTTCGATAAATACGAATTAAGAAAGAACCCCTAAGAAAGGTTTAATTCTAAATTAAAATACGCCATAAGCATACCGAATATACAGCCGGTTGCTTCAATGCATTGCAATTAGCGTCCCACAGTATCTTCATCTCAGCTTTTTCCTCGTCATAATCCACCCTCAAGTTTTTAACAGGTGCTCTGCGAAACAAAATAATATAAAAATAAAGAGATATTCCTTTAATTAACTTTAATTTTATTGACGTCTGGGTATACAGATCATGTCTTTTTTTTAAAGTTGAAAAATATAAAATTGATATTGAATGTGTAATAACAAACATTAGTTAATTTTATACAAAGTCAAATTTTAAAGCGATGTTTAAGTAAGAGATTTACTTAGCATTCTCCCTTGTGATGATTGCCAGAAACTTGGCGAGCGGACCGCCGAGTATTCCAACTGTGAACACGTAACTTTCACAGGGGTGCAAGTCCTCTATGAGGACGCTCGTATTTTTCGTTATAATCCTTGTATCTGTAAAAAAAACATTGAAATTCAATCAAGTTTTGTGATTCTTTGAAGTTTACTTTCTTATCAGAAACACATAATAAACAATGTAAAAATATTAGAAATATTTTTTCATATTAAAATAAATAGACATTAATTTACAGGCACAGATTACATGAAACTTGTAATATAATAATATGTGCACAAGGTTTGCTGTATTTCCAAATCAGTGTCTAACATGTCGTGGCAACGCGTCGCCACGTATGACATTAGATGTTTCACATCAAAAAACATGTTTATTAAATATTTGTACTGAAACTGTTTACTGTTTACCAGCTACAAATATATATAATAACAAACATACTAATAGTTTTCAGAATCTTTTTTATGTTACTCACCATTAGACATTTCTCCAGGATTAGTGCGATGTATCATATTCGTGTAGTGAACTTCATACTCCAACTCTTTGCCCTTATACCTGTCACTAGTAGGTGGCGACCAGATCATATTTACAGAGGTGCCTGTCTCCTTTCGCAGAATAGCCGTGAAGTTGAGAGTCTCGTCCTTAACGCCTCCGGTCCGAAGAGGGATGGTCAACGGATGGCCATAGATGTTAGACTTGTATGCTTGGAGGTCAATAAATACGAGGACACCGGGCGGCAAGTTTGTTACTAAAACAATATAATTATCGGTTAGCAACCCTGTATGAGATTTTTGTAACTTAAATGTAAAAATCACCAACAGGTACAGGGTTTGCGTCAAGTTTTCCTTGTCTTTGTCCTGCGTTGTTTGCTCCCTTAGTCAGCTCTTTCATTTCCTTCCAACGATTTTTGAACATAATCTATAAATACGCAAAGCCTAGAATGCTGGGTGAACCAACTTGAAATTTTTATGTTGTAAGCATGTGAGTAGCGCACGGTAATAGAGGATTCTGTGAAAATTTTATCCCTAACTCTTCACATGCCACCTGATATGCCACTACACTGTATGGTGCTTTCGCCGGTAAGCACTGTACACTGTAGCGGCATATCAGAGATTAAATGGGTAAAATAAGGGAATAGTCAAAAATATAAAATAAGAAATAATGACGCGAGCGAAGCCGCGGGAAATAGTTAGTTTATATATAAATAATGCCTTAAAGTTTTAGAAAAACATACTTGTGATATTATTGGCCTTGGTGGTGGTGGGTGGCCTGGGCGCGTACTCGCTGGGCAGGCGCAGCTTGACGAGGTAGCCGTCCACGCCGCGGATGACGTGCCACTGCAGGCGCGCGGCCGTCGCGTTGAGGCTCGTCATGCTCGCGTTCACCAGCTCGTCCACGTCGCTGGTCGCGTCGAACGTTATGTTCCACACCTCCGACGATTTTGATGTGAAGGCGTTGTTCGTTGCCGTCATCTGCAGGGGAAAACATAATATTCTTTAGCAGCGTATTATATTCTATTGTAACTAATTACATAACTCGTCTTTTCATATCTGTTAATACTTTTTATCTGGATGAAAGGTTGCCAAGTCTTTTTTAAGCCATATTGAATTTGTTACGTTTTCAGGCCCTAACTAAACTCATCATCATGAAATTTTACTAACACGTATTTGGTAAAACATATTTTATTATTAGGTTGCATTATTAAAAATATTTAATTTATCTACATAATAAAAATGTTAGAATCTGCATTTTTTTAACGGTTTCCTCAATTTAATTTTCAATATTTGGTTAACCTTTTATTATAACTCTAGAAAACATGTATTAAAAATACAACTTACCCAGAAGGAATAATTAGTATTTGGTTCAAAGTAACCCTCAACATCGAAGGATATCGTTTTGTTATGGCTAGCCAAGATCGTTCTTTCAACGGGCGGTAGCGGAGGCGCGTAATACAGCGTGTAGGAACGAATGACTCCGCTGGGCTTCTCCGGCCGGTCCCACATCACATTCACTCGGCGGCCGATCAGCTGTCTCACCCCGACATGAGCCGGTGGCGAAGGAACTGTCAATTTTAATAAATGATTCAGTATCTAACTTAATAGAGTCCCTGTTTAGTTCTGTGAACCGATTTAATTTGTCAGTGTCATTATTAAATTTAGTAAAATAATAATTATGAATAAATTATTGAATTATATAATTGACAAGTTGCTCTCTAGGTGCCAGCGCAGCTACCATCGATCTTATAAAATCTTCTTATGAAAAGACAACTAACGCATTAGGAATTTAGCCTGTGGAGCAGAGGACTTCACCAACATTCATTCAAACATACACAAATAACACTCAAACTGAGAATAGATCACACAAAGTGTGGCTCTATACCCATCTACGACGATACAACGTAAGTGTTGTGACGGTTTGGTATAAGAAAGGATTTCATTTTCATCACATGACTAACGACATGTCATTTCATGTCATTTGCCTCGAAATAATAATAAAATATTGATTGTTTTCTATTTACTTACCTCCTTCACCGGTGGTGGTATTCACGTATTTCATAGACGGATAGGTTCTATTCGATTTACTGTCCCGAATGTAGAAGGTCACGTTATAGTTGGTGTATGGCTCCAAATCTGTAAATCTGTAGACAAAACTGTCAGGTTTATCAATAAAAAGTATTAATAATGTCAATTGTAATAATGACATCTGAAGAAGGAAAAAAGAATACATTGAAAAAATAAAAATTGCGGCATTGAAACAGATAATAATGACAAATACTTATAATAATTATCTTTATTCGACACTCGTTTTACAATGACGGAAAAATTACTATTATGAACAGTAATCATGTTCATATTATTAAAAGTAAATTCCACACTAGTAATGATAGCATAATCGGTAGGTGAAGATCTGAGTATCATTGCAATTATGATTTGGGTAAAATTGAAAGTATGGATCATCATCATCATGTATGGATAATTCATAATAATTAAATTTACGATGATTAGTGGATTACAAGTTAGTAGAGTACATATGGAGTCAAAAATTTATAAAATAGTTGAGTGCTACCATAAAATGTTGAAGTATGTAATTTCGTCACACATAATATTTCATTAATGTTTCACTACATATATGTAAAATATTTATAATTTAGAACTAATACGAAACAATTTGTTTTTACTTAGCTGTATTTTCAGCCGAAAATTATTTTTAATTTAATAATGTTTAATGCCTACCTGTAAATGCTGTCGTTGGTCCATGTCATGTTGCGCCAAACACCATCGCTGACTTTGGATATAGAAGGCAAAAAGCTGTATTGAACCATCTTCTGCTGAGCCATCCAGCACGAGATCAGGAAACTAGTTGAGTTTATCGAAGACTGATCAACGCCTATACTCAGAAACTGGAACAACAAGAATTTAACATAAAGGCGAAAGTTTGTGAGTATGTGTGTTTGTATGCTTGTTAATTCTCCCGTTGAAACGGTTGTACCAATTTTGATAAAATTTAAATTAGTATGAAGGTAACTGGACTAACACATAGGCTACTTTTATCCCGTAAAAAATTTAGTGCTCCCGTGGGATGAGCAAAGAATTTAAATATGTATCCTGTATACATATTTCAATTCACATTCATTCTGTAAGGGACATCGTAACGAATACTGAAGTAGTGTAGTCAAACCATCACCAAGTCTAAAATCATTTAATTAATCGTTTAATAAATTCATTTGCTTCCGGAAAATTAAACTTTTTATGCAATCAGCTGTCAAAGGTAAAGGTCATTCTTCGTAAGTATCGCACAAAAGTAATAACTATATGTGTATTCCGTGCAAAAAAATCTACGCACACTAACACCAGTGGGCGGCCGTAGTGGTTGGCGGTTTGATTAATTACATTGCAGTTTTTGAAAGAATGCAGTATTTATTAATTTGTTTCCGGTGAAATCTTCTGTAAACTCATTGTGATATCATTTTTAACCAAAAAAATGGCAAATTTAAAAATAAAAGCCGGCAGAAATTTCCAATGATTTTCGACTCAGAATCATGGTCTGAATACACTATATCAGTATTCGTTACGATGTCGCTTACGCCCTGTATAGTTTTAGTGTATCTGATAAACAATAAAAAAACCTAAAAACCTAAAAAAAAAAGATAAACCTCCTTTCCAAGGAGAGGCCTATGTCCAGCAGTGGACTAGTATAGGCTGTTGATGATGATTGATGATAAACAATATAAAACAATAACTTACTTGATAAACATGATTATTATCATTTGAAGAACTTGAGCAGTTGAGTTCGTCAGTGCCGTCGTAGCAGTCCTGTCGCCCGTTGCACACGTTACGCAGCGGCACGCAATTAGTGCCATCGTCACACATCAGGAATCCTCTTTGACATTCTACTATAGGTTTGTGACTCTATAAATCAACAAGATTTAGAATTGGTTATTATAGTAACCTGAAAAAAACTAATTATTGGTGACATGAGTCATAGTAACTCGAAATACCATAATAAATATGTACTGATGGCCACACATAATAAATATGTACTGTCCGTGTGGTGACGGATTAAGAATACAGAGAGTCACCACCCCTATTCATCCCGTGGGTGTCGTAAGAGGCGACTAGGGGAGAAAAATACGCAGGACAACAACACTGCAGAGAGAAGGAAAACTTGAAACAAACCCTATACCAACCCGTCTGGCCAGCGTGGTATAGTAGGCCAAAACCTCCTTTCTAAGGGGAGGCCTATGTCCAGCAGTGGACTATTAAGGGCTGTTGATGATGATGATGATGATGATGGCCACATTATGCCCAAACCTTACTGGAAACTAGCAAAACTAAAATAAATTATTATTATTTTAATACTAAATAAATTAAACGCCAAGTATTATTTTTACTAAACGCCCAAACTAGAGATGATAAATGTGCTCCATAGCTAGCCTATATTTGCCCATTGTAACCAATGCCTTACTGGTAGGATATTACTGGCAGATAATTTTAAGTAGGTATTTGAGGCAGCAGATCATTTTGTCGGGTTTAAAAGGTTTCACATTCATGCTGCCTCAAATACCAACTCAGAATTATCTGTCAGCGCTTGAAGGTTTAGCTTGGGTATACTCACCGAAGTAGTAGGACAGTGTGCCTCGTCACTCTTATCGGCACATTGCGCCACCCCGTCGCAGATGTTGACGTTGGGCACGCACGCCGCCCCGTCCCCGCACAACGTGGCGTTGGCCCCGCAGCGATTAAGCCCCGTGTCCAAGCCGATCACTGTTGAAATAGTAGGACAGTGTCGCTCGTCGGCTCCATCCAAACAATCTTCGGCGCCGTCGCAAGCCCATCGGAGGGGAATACACACACCTGATAGATAAGTGCACTGCAATTAATCCTATTCGATTCGGAAGTTTAAAGAAGAAACTAATAAACTACGCAGGGCAATGGAAGGTGTTTTCTATGCGGCATACTTAGTCTGTCTATAGATAAGTAGGAGAAATGTTACCCTTGTTTTATCATACATAAACACATTGTTCGAGATCGATCTCCAGTCACTAACATCGAATTGTAAGTTATATAATCGATTACTTTAAGGACAAACCAAAATGTACGAGGTACTTGAATAGCTGAGAATTTTTCTTTTTAAGTTTGGAAAGATTGCTGTAATCGCGCAATTATACTAGATCTGTAAGATAAGCCCAGTCCCAGCATAGTCAGTAGGTAATTCGTAACAATAAAACAAACTTACCCGGTGCACAAGTAAAGTCGTTCTTCCCACACTTGCGTGGTAGTGGTGAATAATGTTCAGAATGTTCGGTCGTCACTGGCTTCAGTTCCGGTATGTCTACTCCACATCCGATCTCATCAGAATTGTCTCCATCGCCACAATCACTAATACCGTCGCACCTCCACCAATCCGGCATGCAGTTTCCATTATCACACTTGAACATCCATTCTAGACAAGTCCCGTTGCTTGGGAAATGTGGTTTCTCTGTCCCAGGAATAGGTAGCAATTTTGAGTGAGACGTATTTGAGCAGTCTTTTTCATCTGAATAGTTATCGTCGCCGCAGTCATTCTCGCCATCGCAGACCTTTTAAGAAGATAGTTGTTTAGACTTGAGTACAGTCAATCTTAAACGAGTGGCCTTATTTAACCACTTAGTGATAAGGTACGTACGTACAATGTACGTACTTTGTCCTTGTCTACATGTAAATTTACACATTTATGTATCTATTTTAACATTCAATTTCGCAAAAAAACCGCCTTTAAAGTACGTGATCGCTAATGTGCTTTTGACAAAAACACCTATTCAAAATTACTTTTTATCTTCATTATGATTGTTAGTTGAGTCATACAAGTTAACAATTCGCAATGTTAAACAGTAGGTACTTAAGTGATTAGATTAAATATTTAAAAAACAAAGAATAGTTTGCAAATCCCTTGCGCGTACTTCTTTATTTGCGCGTGGATTATTCAACTTTTGATTTTTATTTTTTTTATGTTAGAGAGGGCTGACGAGCAGACGCGTCACCTGATGGTAGGTGACCCTCGCAGCCCATGAACGTCTGCAATTCAGTAGTTACAAACGCATTGCCGGCCATTTAGGAAGAAGTACGCTCTTTTCTTGAAGGTCGTATCGGTCCGGAAATATCGCAGACGATAACCCGTTCCACAGAGTGGTTGTGTCATTGGTTGTCTTAAGTAATTTCTTTAAAAAAAATTAAGCGAAAGGGAAAACAGTTGTGGCTCCTAAGTTGCAGGCATTCATAGGACATTCAAACTAAGAAAGAAAGTAATCTATTCGTCTTAAAATTGACACACGTCTATGGCTCAGATCTGTATTTAAATAATACCTCTACTCCAAAAACCAATATTTTTCTGTTAGCAGAATGATGGTTCTGTACAGTGATATAAAAATAAGAACTTATGAATCTTACCCATGACTTAAATATACACTTTCCGCTTGGACACCTAAACATGTACGGTGCACAAGTAGAATCCATGCACCGTTGTTCGCGTTCGTCTTCTCCATTGTCGCAGTCCTTTTCGCCATCACATACCCATGAGTTGGGAATACACATGTGACTGTCATTGGAGCAACGGAAACCGTTGCCAGCACAAACTTCGACTATATCGGGCCGTTTGTATGGTACCTGTGAGAATAAGAAACAAAAACAAATTTAGGTTACATAGGATTAGGACATCCATCTTTTGTCAATAAACCTTCAGGGAATAATACTAAAAAGGAGGTACATAAACTTGTCATCAAATATTGCAAATCCCACAAAGAAGTCTATAATAGTATTCCAAGGTTTTTAAAAATACCCATCTGTTCCAGAAATACATATTCGCTACATTTTGGCACAATGACAAAACTTCCTATCGACATAACATGTATATCGCTATAAGAATATGATTATTATTATTGTTAAAGCTAAATATGGCGTAGCTAAATGTTCGACATCAATCAACCTTATTATGAAAGCAATTAATCGATTTACGCAAGTTATTTCAATTGTTGGATATCAATAGCTACTAACTGTGCAATTGCGTTCGTCAGATCGGTCCTTACAATCGTTGTCACCGTCGCAGACCCATCGTTTCTCGATGCAATGTCCATTGTCGCACTGGAATTGATTAGCGGAGCAGTTGCGACGACCGCAGTCTGTGTATAAAAAAAGAATTTACACACTATGAATGTTTGATCGGCGGTTAATATAATTTCCAGAAAACACTGCTAAAGTCAGTTCTATAGATAGTTTTGCTCTCAGTTGCTTCACCATATCAAATGTAGTAAAAATACGATAACTATACTTTAAGTACAAAAACAATGTAAGTATAATAGTTTTATGATAACGGGTTAAAGTGTAAAAATGGCACTTTATGAAACATTTGAAATATGTAGATTACGCACCTATCGCTAGTACCACTAGTCTGATACGCGCCAAAATGTAGGACCTAAGTACCTAATAAAATATAGACGCTATACATTAAAGTTTTATATATCACTCTTTTACGAGAAGTTTAAGGTTTTTTGAACGTCTTATTAAATGCATGCACGTAAAGTATAGTTTTATGGTGTGTTACTATTTAACGCGTGCTTTGTTAGCGAACATGTCCATTCAAATCATGATATTTTTAGGAATTTATTTCAAGCAAACAAAGACACTTAGGTCTTATAGAGACAAGTATTTTCCAACTCCGTAGTGATGGCTGATAATCGATGGATTATTATCAGTCTTTAGATATTTCAGGTTATTTCGTTCTAATAAATACCTTTTAGCCATGTAGGCACTTGTATAGAAATACCGTTTTTATAATAGTTTCAAGTTTGACATAACCACAGAAGAAAGAGATTACATTAAACATTAGCACGGTAACATTTAAATAATGTACCTTTCTTTTAATTCATACAGTATTATGTATGAATTAATTGTGAATGTATAATACTATATAATATGGTAATCAGGTATGCTGTAATAATTGGACTACTTTTTATAAAAAAGTATATAATATATATTTATTATATACCTTATACCATACAATATATAGTTTAAAGGAAAACGAACAAATCACCGGTTTTAGTGGATGTCATCGGTTAATTTATAATTTGAACCGCAAATAAGGGCCGTGTCAAAACCATTAATGTGCGTAAGTGTTAGGTTTTCATAATAGGTATAGAACTGAATTGAAGTAAATGCTGATAATTTTTTTTTTGTAATAATAGCTTTTACTTTCATTTTATTAAGACTCATATTAACATAAATAATTAATTTCTTTAAAACAAGATAAAATAACCAATTTCTAAACTATGTATCAAACACTCAATAGCTTAAGAAACAGTTAACCTACTTTGGAAAACTACTGGTTCGAAAAATCAATCAGAAAAGTATACCGACCTTTTTCATCGCTTCTATCAATACAGTCGTAGTCGTCGTCACACCTCCAGTGCGGTAAATAGCATCGAGTGTTATCACACATAATCATTGGCGGTACACATAGACAACCGATTTCATCGGATAAATCGCCGCAGTCATTACTGAAGTCGCAGCGAGCCGACGCGCTTATACATTTGCCATTTTTGCACATAAATTGATCCTGAAAGAAAATACATTTTAATTAAAAATATAAGCTAGTATTTTACTACTTATTCAACGGCCTTTATAGTCCACTAGCTGGACATACGCCTCTCCTTGGAAAAGAGGTTTTGGCCTACTACCTACGGGTTGGTTTGTTTCAAATTTTCTTTTTCTTGTCCTGTGTAGTTTGCTTCCTTAGTCGGCTCTTTCGACCCCCACGGGGTGATAAATACTTGTTACAAGTTACTATATGACTATTTATATAGACCCTTCACATCAGTCGATGAAAAAACTATACTACAAAATTTGCCGAAACAGGTGCCACGAGAATGCAAATTTCTTTAAATTAACCTTTAAATATTTTGCGTACTGAGTTTTAATAAATGACTCGATGCCTGCTCCAACACATTAAACGTAATTCGCACCTAAAAGTTTCGTCTCTTTCTATTGTATCATAACGCGAAAGATAGCCCTAATTCTTATTTTCTTTTGTTTCAAATCATCATTCAATTTTGTATACACCTTGTCAGATATATATATAGAACAGGTTATATGACACACATAGCATCCCGAAAAAACTAACTTGTTTCTAAATTAAAGAAAAGTCACGCGAGCAACGCTTGTGCGAAACACAGTTTTAAATAAATAAAAAATACACTTACAGCACTGCACGCAGAATTATTGATCTGTGGACAAGTCATGTTGGCAAAAGGTGCCGTGTTATTCGGACACATACATTTTCCGTTGACCATAGTCAACCCATCCGGACATAAGCAGCTGAAAGTATTCCTTGGCCCCCCCAGGCATATTCCATCACAACTTGTGTTTTTATAGGAACACGCATTATGGCCAAACTGAACAAAATGAGCAAAAACTTTCAAGTCCATCAAACCAGCAAATGAGTCATTTATTGTCATAATGTTTTCTCCAGTATCTTTGTCAGCAACAAAAATAGACTTCGCCTTCCAATCGTCCCAATACATTTTATCTTTCAAAACACCAACGGCGAAAGGATGGGTAGCTCTGCCATCATTCCATAATATTCTCCTAAAATATTTGCCATTCAGATCGGCGCTGGCAATATAATCCTCCATTGCGTCTACCCAGTAAATTCTCTCGGACATTTGGTCGATCGTTATACCATTAGGCCACTGGACAAGTGGCTTGGTAAATAGTTTCACTACATCCGTACCGTCGAGTTTCGATCTAGATACTGATGGATTATTTCTATCCCAATCAGTCCAGAACAGGTATCCTGCTTTAGGGTGAACAGCTATTCCTCGTGGCCTTGATAAAGTTTTCGAGTCTAATATCGTTGCCCTCATTCTGCCGTTTAGCGTCATGTCGGTTCTTACAGCTTCGATCTTCTTCCTCATACCGTCAACAAAGAATAGAACATTTGATATATAATCGAATGCCATTCCTTCAATGCTTACCAAGTCTCTATCAATTATTACTTCCTGAGATGTAGCATTGTTGAAACATTGACGAGTGATTTTATCCAATTCTATGTCAGCCCAATAGATACAGTTGTTTTTGATGTCAAATTCGATAGCGACAATATTCCTTTCATTAACCACAGGATATATTGTGGTATTATCAGATAAGTCAATATGAGCAATTTTATTACCCAAAGCTACCAGCATAAATTCAGTTGGCTCTTCTATTGGACATGGGATCATATCGGGCACATAAGCTATATACCCTGATATAGTGCATACATCACCGTCGATTTTTCTGTATCCTTTTGTTCTCTGGTAATAGTGTCCCGGACGACAATGAGATGGAATAGCATAAGGATTGTACTTAACCGACTTATTTTGAATACATTCGTTTCCAGAGAGCATGAATCCGAAATCACATTCAAAGTCGCGGCGACTGCACTCACAGACTTCTTTCCTGGAGGGCCTGTCATAGTCAATTCCATTGTAGCAGTTAGTATGAGCAAGCCTACGTTGGAAAGTGTTCCTCGTGCCAAGCACACAAGATACCGATGAGTTTGGAGGCGACGGCGACCAATACTTGTAATCTTGTTCAGTACAGTTGCGCGTAAAGGTGTTCTTCAAATCAATGGTGATGATTATCCATTGATGTTGATCATTCGCTGATCCAAACATAGTGAATGTAGTTGTATTTTCACCCGGCTCTGTCATCAATCCATAAATACGAAGGTCATCAGCGTTGAACCTACAAATTAACATTATTAATAACCAAACAAATTTAATTAATTGAATAGCGTTTAATGTAAATGACTCACTGATAAGAGTTCCATTCCATGCCTTCGTTCGTAGAGTATAATATTTTTCTCGTTTCGCCGCGCGACTTAAAATATTTAACCGCTACTAATATACCGCCGTGATCGCCGTAGTTAAAGAAGTAATAATCTTTAAGGATTCTTTTCCAAGTTAGACCAGCATCTCTACTGAGATATACACCAGGAATTCCTTTCAAGGATTTCCCCATTACGCCAGTTGCCATAATAATACCGGGAGCAGACTTTGAGCTCAGGATACTTGCAGACCTACAACAGATAAGATATTTTTATGTCTCTGACCATTTATCCAAGTGATTCACGAAACAGACACTCTAATCAGTCGATTGTACTTGTATTTACCAGACATGTAACTTTAGACAAAAAATGTATTTTTCCATATGATTAGTTAACCGGTAAAATAATAGTTATATAAAATTTTAAATTATACTCAAGGGCATAGTTTAGTTTTTTTACTGGGTTAGAGGTTATTTACAAACAGTAAAATTTGTTGATGCAAATGTAAAGGCACTAAACGCCAAGTGGAGCCAGAAGATCAGGCTCATCGGTAGATCCTAAGACGTGCCGGTAATGACCTAAGTGAATATTAAACACAGACATATCATAAACATACATTCAACAAAAAAAACAACTGAGGATTAGTGACTATTACCCACTTTTACAGTCATAAATTAACAAAATCAATGTTTATAAAAATGTTAATAGAAAAATAAGACTATATGCGCGAAGACTAACTTTACTTACATAACATGTTATCGACTAATGAAAAAAAACAATTTAGTATGTCGTTACAATCTGCAACCACATACAAAACAATAGAATAACCGTGCAAAGTGCAAAACAGAAACAAAGCATATTTTTAACTCAAAAAATAATGATTATATACTCCTATGTATTTTAAGAGTTTACCTCAAACCGTTTTCAACAACATTTCCTGGTGGGCTGCAAACAATGTATTTTTTCATGAGTATAAAAATACTAATTATGCGATAATTTAATTCTAATCTTTCGTTTAACAACTCAATAACTATTTAGATAACGGTTTAGTATTAATACACTGAATGATACTATAAAACTATTACAACGTACGATTTAGTGGCAGTACTACTTGTTAATCTTAATCGCTCACCTCAGTTAAGATGACCTCAAAGTTTTTAAGTAATGACCTTTTTTTTTTTGTTCCGTGCGGAAATCCCCTCGGATACCACCATGTCTCTGTCTCTGTCATGTGGCATGTCGGACTCGAACCGACTAAAACCGCACGCCGTCTCGGGTACTAATAGCCGGGGAACCAGGTATACCCTAGAAAGGAAGTCCCTGGTGCCCCGACATACCTCGGGCCATCTACAACAACAGGTAGACGACCCCCACAACAGGTAGACCCCCTTAAGTAATGATCTAAATTTTGGGTTTACTTTTGAGTGTTTAATTATTATTTTTTGTTAAAGTACCAACGTCGATGTCATATTTAGTTGCATTTTTTTGATTAGTAAACGCAAGATCTTTTTTATGGGTTTACATTTAAATATATAATACATATCGTTTTAATTTCATATTGTCATCTAATGAAATATGTATGATGAACTTATAGTTTATTATACAATGCATATGTCATTAACTTTAAAGACAATATATTTTTGCCATCATTGAATACGAAAATATGCGCAAAGTTAGTCTTTAGTTTGGTCACAAAATCAGTTTACTTTCACAAATAGATTTTTCTTAACACTTCTTGAGGTTATTGCCATCGGTCGAGCAGATCTCCTGTAACTACTTTCATTATTATTATTCTTTAGACGTGACTAAATGCAAGTATAAAAGTATTAAAACAAAAGTATTCGATACCGTATGATGGTGTTTTAGCCTATATAAAAGAATATTATAATAAATGAGCATAACATTGTAAGTACTATAATCAAACTTTAAGCTTTAAGAATGACTAAGCAATGATGAATAATTGTATATAACATTGGACTTAGGCAACTTACTGAGTATTGACAGAGACATGATCATAGACAATATAACTTAATATGAAATAACAATGGTGGAAATAATATACATAATAATATCTATTGATTATTCATCTTATATTATATCTGTGTTACGACCACCGTTGAAGACCTCTCCTAAAAACGATTTGTGTACACTAAACACAAATGTACATAAAATTTACTATCTATATGTACCTCTGTGTAATTTAATTTTGCTATATAATTCTCACACTTCGTTCTTCGTATCATAGACGTTAATAACATCCGTAAGCAATGAAAGATATTACTGCTAGAGGGGTAAGTATATATTTATACATATCTAATACACATGTTTCTTATTTACATGTATACAGATTAATATTATCAAAGTTATTATGTGTGAGTGTGGCTCACTATGGGTGATGTTTTATTTAATGAATATAGGCATATTGATGACAGGATAAAAATTCTTGCGCAGACATTCCAATATTTTATTACAAGTAAATAAAACCACAATGCTGTTTTAATATTAGTAACATAATAAAATACGAAGTATTAAAGTGAATCACTCGCCTGATATGCAAATTATGTATACCTAAAGTATTTTATTATTTTAAATAAATCAAATAACTAAATAATGTTTTAATTGAATAGTGGCGGATTTGACTTCAAATAATAATTAAAATGATTTAAATACAGTAAAAACTAATCATTTTTAATGTTTCCTTGCCAGCTACTTTGACAACAACATTAATATTAAATTTTAAATAATACTTTAAATCCTAGATAATATATTTAATTTTGAGTACGTTTAAGGACTGGATTTTTTTATCGGATTTCTATTAAATAGGCAAAACACTAATACTGGTTATTGAATTTAAGTCAAATTTTTATCTAACACAAAATTCTGGTTTAAGTAACATTTTCTTGAACTACTTTATTAAATTGCACATACAACACTGTACAAGTCGAATATACGTTTTGAAAATTAAGATGAAATTAATAAACAACAATTTTGAAAATAAATTGTAGACTGAAAGTAAGGTTGAAATTCTTGTAACACGTAAAGCCATAGACAACAGCTGGTAAAACATTGAAAAAAAAATTGTTGTGTTGTTCATCGTCAACGATTTCTAAAAAAATAACAGACGCTAATAACCTTGTCCATCAACAAAGGACTTTCCATTTCCATACAACACGGGTCAACAAACTGCATCCCAGATAAATGCTATCACAGCTCAGTGAGCAACTATATCTATATAGAGAAATAAAATATTGTGATATGAACATGATATTTAAAGTTCAAGGCGTCGTCTACATAAGATAGTGATATGACGATTCATACAGATCTTCTCTTATCTATGTTTAATACTTAGCTGTTGATAAACAGTTTGGTAAACAAGTACTAGCACCAATAATATATTTCCTTGTTCATTTGGATATTAAAACAAAGGGCAAGTTTTATTAGTATTCCAAAAACTTTTCAAATTTAGATTTGCGCTAAGATTAGTTAAATATTTAATAATCTAATTCAGTAGAGTACTGATTGTACTTTACACTAAAATTAGAACCAAACTATCAAGGTGGCTCATTTGATACTGAACTTTAAACTTAAAGGTTAAGGGTAATTTTTCATTACCAAAATGTAGGCTGTTGAACAAAAATGAGAAATATCCGATGTTATCTTACCTTGTAACTGGATAGAGTTGACTAAACTTCTGGCATATGTGCAGACTGCAAGAATTCTCCAGATGGCAGCTTAAAGGTTTCCCTATAAACAAACCACAGATTAAGAGTGCGAAAACACTACTAAAAAATGTAGTCAAAGGATATTCCTAGCGTATGAGCGTTAAAAAGGCTGCAAAAGCTAATGAAATACCATATTGTTAGAAGTCACTTCATTGGTACATACAAATACTCCACGGTCTCACAGGGAAGCAAATCAATTAAGCTATTCCGTCGTTGCTTTTAACCGAGTTAACGAGGTTGCTAAAGGGCAAAGCAATCCCCCTTCCCCCCACCTAATTCTCAAAGGGCGGCAACGCAGTTGATAATAATAACTTCATACATCTCACACACTGCTGTCTGATCCCAAACTAGTCAGAGCCTGTGCTATGGCAACCAGATTACTGATAAACATATATTTCGAAATACATAGAAATTATAGATAAATTACACCCAACAAATGATCGTGCTCACCACACAATATTTATCCTGGAATCGAATCGAACCCACGACCTTTGGCTTAGCAGTCAGGGTCACTAACCATTAGATCAACTGGCCCGTCTAGCCACTAGACTTGTGACTCTTCAGTTGCAGATATCCATGGGTATACCTACCACATCACGTGACCCGTCTGCTCGCTTGCCCGTGTCCATAGGTGGCGGTACTCACATACCGTATCAGGTCACCACGCCTACTCGTTTGCGCCAATAAAAAATGGTCAACAATGGTTTGCCACCTTCATAAAACCAAGATAAAAGCAATCAATATCAATGGCAAGCCTAGGATTGTATGCAATTAAGCGTAATTCAGTTCGATATAATTGTTATCCTTAACTTGCATAATTTATTTATTTTCTAACATAACTTGTACACACTAGTGACAACACTAGCTGACCCCGCAACTTCGTCTACGTCTCTTAAAAGAAATAATTTGTCCCCGTTTACACTTTTCATTGATACTCGACACCTATAGGCAGTAGCGTGATGTTATATAGCATTGGCTTATTTAGCGCGTCAAACAAACTCTTCAGTTTTATAATATTATAGTTAAACCGCCGTAAGCTTGGCCCTCCTGATGGTTTGGGGGACGCGGGGCGGGTGTGCATTCAACCAATTAGCTAGTGCGTCGCTGTCCGCCGGCAGTGACTGACGTGAAAGCATGGCTGTACGTGTTATTTTTCTTAAGACTGCTACACACGGTATTATTTTGCAACACGGATAATCTGCCGACTCTGCGTCACAAAAAGATTTAAAAACTTGAACTTCGGCTTACAGAGGTTCTACTGTTAAAGTTCTAATAAAGAATATTTATTATTTTACTTAATTTTTAAATTGTATCTGAATATAATTTACATGATGAAGATAAGGTGATTTTATTAAAATTATTTTACAGTATTGAATTTTACAATTAATCATAACAACTTACAATACACTGATATTATAATACATGGAAATAAATTCGATTTTTATTACATCGTGTGTAGATTAAATCTCAAACAAATAAATCTGAAGATATCGAGTTAGTACATCGTGTCATGTATAGCCGAGCGCATCACCCGCCCCGAGTCCCGCAAACCATCAGGAGGGCCAAGCTTACGGCGGTTTAACTATAGTATAGATATTACAGCGAACTCTGAACAATGCTCATTTAATTTGAACGTCCTGCAGAAGTTATTGGCAAGGAGAGTTATTGCTTTGCCTGGCCTTGGTCTTAATCTGCAAAAAGTGGATGTTCTGCCATATCTAAATTCTAGTTTATATTGGAGTTTCTAAGTACAAGTGAATGCCATGATTGCCTTCTTCATTTCATAAAAAAAAACATTCGATATTTTTATACTTTATATAGCACCGGTGTAGTACACTAATAAAGAACAACTAATAAATACTCGAATCTGTGACGTTATAAAGTCAACAGTATTCAACTGAAGTTAAACGTCGTAACCTTTCAAAACCTTTCAATTTTACTAAACTACGCAAGCATGGCGGTTATTACTGTTTTACCCTCCGTCGATTTCCAAAATCCACAATTACAGTAGCCAATAAAAAGAGGTAATCAAATAGATCAGACAACTGATACAGATAGATCTCTCTTAGGCCGAACTTGAATGATATGGTTATTTAAAGAATAAAAAATGACATTGGCATTGTAATAAACGAACTTATGAAGTCTAATCAGGAAAACAACAGTTAAGTACCTTTTTATAGCGAAGTATCGTGCATAATATATTGCATTTAATATCCATTACTAGGTCAAGTTGGTTTAATTACAGAATTAGGATGCTTTTAGTGACGAATTCGACGTCATTGTAATTATAATGGCTGGTCGAAATTTTCGTTTTTTTTTTCGAAATTATAAAACCATAATTTTTTATTTTGTTAGATTATAAATGCTTTTCTTTCCTTTGTTTCACGAAAACGAGCAAAGTAACTTTTGAGATCTATATATATATATATATATATATGTGTAAAAATAATAGGATATAAGACATTCACAAACTTTTTGTTACGTGTCACAATCATGCGTCTTTAACGACTATACTCTTAAAACAAAAACGACCACATGAGAGAATCATATAGAATAAAAGACACAGTTTTATCAACAAAATTAGGCAAATCTAATTTGATAAAATAAAATGAAATCCGAATGTATTTTACTCAGAACGCAACGTAGAGTAGAAGTACAGTGCATGGCCTAATTTGGCTAGTTTCGACAAAAACAGAAAACTGCAAGCAGCCAGGCAAGCTATTTTTGCGAAATACAATATATGACTACCATATAGGAAAATATTTGAGACCTTTGAACCCAAGCCTGTGACTCAGTTGTTTCTAAGTGGTATGATGTAAATATGACAAATATTCCAATTGCAGTTATTCACTGTTGTTGTCATAATAAGTCACTTATCGGTTGAAGTTGTTAACAAGCATTCCAATTTGTTTATATTTTAAATCAGATCGGAACATGTAAAGTAAGTTGTCGTTTGACACTGTGTGTACGAAGAAAGCAATGTTGATACGACTGTAGTTGGTAAAGCAGGAATACACTTATGTGGATTTTTTTCAAACGTCCTCTAAATGAAGTATAAAATAGACGTAAAGTAGGCAACAGAATTAGTGGAGTGCTCGATATGTAAGAGCAATTCTACCTACAAGTAGTTATCAATTACCTTTTAGCAAAACATAGTCCAAAAATGCGTATTGCAGGATTAAGCAGTTTCTAAACCGTCTTATATGTATTCAATGCAGAATCAGAATAAAACAATGAGAGTTTCACTTTTCGCACATAATAGATTTTGGGGGCTATCGGTAGGCAAGTTGTTTTCAAATATTGTTGAATATTTTAAATATTTTGCGGTTATTTAATTCTTTATTGAAAAACAAGCCGCTTTTTATAGTAATTTGAATTTGCATTTAGCATTAAAAGCCTTAAAATCCTTAACAGTTTTACATTATTTAATTTTAAAGTAGTTCTTACCATTTTCATCTTCAGTTGGCGGATTGATAGGAGACCACGTGACTCCGTGGTCGAAGGTAATGAGAGAGATAAGGTGCTCAGGTCCAATGTTATTGACATGCGCTTTGGAATCAACTCGCGATGCTATATAAATACCCTTCAGTCCTTCCACACGATAAAGATCGGTGAACGAGTCCTCGGTGACATCTCTGAAAGTTGAAAACATGTTTACACAAAAGTTTTACACAAATTTCTTAATTTAGAAATCATGATTTTTATACGCCAATGACATTGTATGCTGCTGACATTCATGATACTAAAAATAAAATAGTTTTACCAAACAAAATACTTTGTTCTTTGTGAGAAGGACAAAATAAGTTTCCTTAAACACTTTCAGAAAACGCATTTTAAAGCAAATAACTGTCAGTGTTGTACAATTTCTTTACATGCCACCTTAATCGTTGTTCACTAGTGCGCAAACAGATCTCGCTATATGTTACATCAAACGGTCTCATTAGCAGCCTGTGCGCATCTTTCTTTAGTGAGTAGTAAATAGCAGTGCATTATCCTCATACAGTATGTGTATGAAATATTTTCAAAGTGAACTTAGTACTAACTAGTAGAGAATTAAAAAAAAAACTTACTCTAACCAACTATCCTTCCAATTGGAATCTGGGAAGTAACACAATATCTGTTCCAAACTTATTACAAAGTTGTACTGAGTATAATTGTTGCTTATTTCCGACACATATAAATCAGCCAGAGACTCGGTGTGCATGACTGAGACGAATATACGTTGGTCAGTTACATCTGCTATGTGGAACTTTCTGAGGTCTAATTCCGTCTGGAACTCGGCTTTGTAGAATGGGCCGCGTTGATGTGAGATGTATAGGTGAAGAGTGTTTTTCTGAAAGATAATTTGTGATTAATGATTATGAATGTTAATTACCGTTTTTTTTTCTTAATACCTGTAATATCTAATTAATAAGTAAGTCCTTTAACGGAGCCACTGTTTTGACTTCTACCTACCTACTATCCAAGTACAGTTTGGGTTCATGTTTATTAAATTATAAGAGTTAAAAATACACAATATTATACAGAGGCAAAATTTGTTCGTATGTAATATACAAACAAATTTAAAACTTTCTTTAAAACTATTGAACCGAGTCCGGAATTTTTTTCACTATCCCTGAGTGATAGTGGCTAATAGTTATAGTCATATCGGCAACAGTTAGTGCTTTGTCTATATGTCCATCTTCGTCTTCCATCTATGTGCAACTTCGTCTATATGTCCAACTGCGGTAACGCCAAAAAAGTAGCGTTATTTGACCGATATGGACTTTGGTCTCTATGTGACTTAGAACTATCAAGAGGTTGAAACACTTTGTCTTGAATTCATCTTTGATGTTCAATTAATTATTATTGTGTAAAACAGAAAATATGTTTTCTGATTTTTTTTTCGATCCATTGAATTTCAAAATAAGAGGTTTAAAAATGTTTTATTTACTAATTAGTATTTTTTCACAATCTGGTTTGTCGTTATACACTTTTGGAAATATATATAATATTTGGAAACTTAGTTTTTGAGTAATGTTGTAGACAACAAAATATATTCAGATTTGCTTGAAATAAGTGGTTATTTGTCACGTATGACTCAACTATAAATCTGACTAAATAACAACATTGTACAGCTGTTTTCGCCAGTTGATGGTAGATATCTTATTAAAAAACGTAAGAACGCTTATCACGCATGCGCACGCAACCAACAGTTGGTGGTCTGTGCGGTCAAATAAGCGCTCCTTTCTCTTCTGCATCTACATGGGTAACAGTATTCTATGTTTAAATCGGTTAATGATTATACAAGTGTTATATGTTTACAATATACATATACAACATACAACCACACCTAGACGCTGTCGCTATTGCGTCATCGAACTATCATCCCCCTACTGAGCAATGATTGTCTATAATTACACTATACTGTATCGCAAAAAAAAACAGATACTATGCTGTAACTGTCAATCGCTCATTCATTCATTATCGCAATTAAACAGACATATCGCTATGGAAAAATGTAAGGAAATATATTCCGAAGCACATACATGCTAAAACTAATTTCAGATTAGATAAATATTCTACATAATAGGCTTGGCGTCCCTGAGGTAAACTTGCAGTGCAACATAATACTTTAGTCTATCAAGTCTATTAGCTAAATCTCTAAAAAAACAAGGAGTTATAATTAGAGGTGATTAAGTTTTGGGGTCATGGCTACGAAATTGTCCTGAACGGCAGCTATTGCAGTACTTCTTTTCTTTCCCTTAGGTAACATGTTTGTGTACACCTTATATAAATGTTATTTTTGACAAGAAGGGCCAATATTGTAATTTCACGGCAGGTGGTTTGCTATCAGAAGTTAGATAAGCACTAAATTGTAGGTGGTACCTACAATGTAGTGCTTATCTAACTTCCTTTTCGGAGAAGTACAACAAGGATACCACATAAATAAAAAGCTTATAGTTATCTGTAGAACCCGTAAACTATGTAGATGCTAACATCTTGGTTTGTTATACCTCTATGTTAAATTAGTTAATGCATATTGTAATTTTTTATGATTTTTAAATAACGCATAAAATGTAAGTGACAATAAAAACGCGGGCAATTGTGCAATCACTCGATAAATGTACATATAATCAACACAGCTGACATAAAAGAAACTGGTGTAAAATTTGTATGAATCATTTGTTACTTATGAATCATAATAGCGTTGGTAGAGAGTACATTACAGCAAGTCTAATATACAATTTATATTTATATTGTATTTTTATAATTCGATGTCTCGTAAGTCAGCTTCTCATGGCTCATGTCAACAACAATATAAATAAATAGATTGTGTAGACAGGCACCAAAGTAACAACAATGGATAAATTCAGAGTGAGAATAAAGACAATAATGCTATTATAAAACTAAAATAATTTCATTATGATAAAAGTAGTTCCCTCTCGTCGGCTTTAAACATTTATTTAGGTGGTACGGTACACAACTGATACTAATGTGTTTCGTGTATCGATGACACATTTATGTAAGCATAATATCGGTTTCATACCCGAAATATATGAAACCAATATTATTCTTTGGACACGACATAATATAACACGATACAGTAGAGTGTATGTTATTTTTCATTAGGTTAAAAGATTGGTTGGTGTTTATATTTACTTTTTAAAATATCGATTCGACGAACGAGTCCAGCTCCCTAAAACATTTTAACTATAAACTAGGTATATATCAAGATTAACGGCAATTTTAGCTTACAAATAAAAACCTTTCATTAAATTTATGCGGGCTTTCTTATTATTATTTTTTTGTTAAAGGATTTCCTAATGACTGCCACTGAATTTTAAAAATAATAGCAACCGTCTATTTACCGAATATAGAATTTCTTTTCCTTAAAATTCTTCTTCGGCTTCCTTATATGGTTCATAAATACATAATTTAGCAACATTTATTGTATTTGCTATTTTACGGAATTTTGTTATTATTTCAAATGTATAATTCTAAATTTACTAGATACAACATAATTATTATCATTAATATATTTTTTTAACTTGCTTATTTGTATTTAATTTGGATTAAATTTGATTAAATGCAATTGGCGTTCAATGTTGTAAGTACATTTACAAAGCTTATAAAAATGGTAGGTATTTCGAACATCATTGTCATCGTTGTATAAGTAATAAGTTGGGAGTGTAAAACACGCTTTTTGTTTGTTTTTTTAAGTTGTTACATATTATTTATTTCCATCTTCTATTAATGGTTCACACAAATTTTTGTTCCATGCAGAAATCGAACCCACAACACTCGCCCCAGTGTATTCAATTTCAGACAACATTAAACTAAAAAAGGCCTTTATAATGACGGAGTAAAAACTTTTATGCGGAAATGAAAAGAGCTCGGCAGATTCGTAAACATAACTGAATACTGTGACCTACTTAAGTTTCTTAAATGTCAAAAGACTCTTATCTCGCGCCTAAAGTTACTTGATAAACAAAGGCACTTATATGAAAAGTGAAATAAAAAAGCCCTCTTTGTTATACCATACCATATTGCGTCACAAAGGACTTGTTAAGTATGAAGTTTTGAACTACTTCAATGGTTCCACAGATATTACTAAAAGGAATTGTTTGTGAACCCAAAATCACATACAGTAGACATAAACAAATAAAATCATTGTGCATAGGTTTTATATTTCTAAACAATGTTGCCTTTGTTAATATGAAACTTAAACTCAAAATATCTTTATTTCATAAAGAAAAGTTATGGATCAACACGCAAAATAGCAACAATCTCTGATTTGTCAAATATTTGAGTTAAGGGGTTCGCACTACCCGGCTGTTGACAATTAAAGTTACAAGTATTCGACTCTGAGATGCTCGACGGATTTGGAAGTGTATTCTAAATTAATTGGAATATGTCAAAACCTCCTTTCTAATGAGAGGCTCCTGCAGTGGACTAATAATAGTCCACTGCAGGAGGCTGTTGCTGTGATGTGATGATGATGTGATAGGAATAAGCAATATACATTTCTTGCCATTACTTTTCAAATCAAATATAAAAATGTGAAATTAGAGACGTAGTTTTCTTCTACGTCTCTACTGACGCTTTCCGGGACAAACAGGGTGAATGCATGTCAATGAAACGCTATTATGGAACTCCCTGGCAACGTGTAATGTTTCACTTCAACTTATATGTACCTAACAAACGAGTCGATAATAAGTTTGAATTTCAATACTGTTGACTAATATTTAAGAGTAGTAGGTCCTAGTACTACGCAGAAACGAAGCTGTTATTTATTTAATGCAAATAAAATACTCGGTACCCAAATGCTATTTGAAAACCCCGTCACAAACCTCAGTCTGCTTACTATGTTTCGTACTACTGGAAAGAAATAAAATTAGTTTTCACGGTCCTGCTGGTATAACCATATATAGCTACAGATTCAATAATGCCAAAAAAAATAGAATATACGATATAATGGAACACATGAGACAATATTATAATATATATCTACTATAGACTATGAAAAATAATATTTGCTTAAAGTTTTAGGGCAGTAGTAGTAGTAGGCCAAAACCTCCTTTCTAAGGAGAGGCCTATGTCCAGCAGTGGACTAGTATAGGCTGTTGATGATGTTGATGATGTTTTGTAACTGCATGTACATTGTGTCATATACATGTGTTTAAAATTTCCTTAAACAATAATATAAAAACGATAGGAAGTAGTTATAGAAGTTTTTTCCTTATTTATCACATATTTTTATGTGTATACGCTATTGTTTATGAAAAACATATTTAGAACAATGTCACCTTCAAAACAAAGAATGAATAATTCATTAGTTAAGAATAATTTGCATATAGACTAATATTTTGTATAACACATAATATTGTGTAATAACAATCAACAAATATTAACGTTCAACGTGTATCAAATTTCATCTGATTATATTTATAAAGCATGCAAATCCTTGTTCTTGAACGTTCACATAAACTTCTAAAGGCGAACTACAAGCAATGACCTAATTTGCAAATTCGTAATCATAAAAACATAACCGGTTAGCATAATAACTGTTTGGCAAGACTTTTGTTATAATAATAATTGTGTATGTAACACATAGGGAAGGAAGGGGGTAGCAAGAGATAGATAATTGACGATGAGTGTACTTGTGCCAAAAGTTATAAAATAAAATAAATAAATAATTTAGTCCTACTTGTATATTGCTGGCATTAGTTTATTGCCATCAATTGGGAACTTTGGGAATTAAATGGGATAATTGACAAACAAAAATACATTGAAAGGGATAGGTAGGTATAAAGGGGAGGAAATATATTGTACACATTGTTAAATTAAAAGGATATTACTTAAAGGAATCGATTTGAGTGTTAGCCATATCTCGGGCCCCTTAACATAATTTTATACCTATACTTTTTTCTTCGTACATTCAGATTTAAGAATAATATTTATATTATTCAGTTATAATTTTTGGTATAATTAGTTCAGTATTCTGAGTAGATAACATAAATGTATGCTGCTCCATCAATTTTTATTTTTTATCTTGTGAGGTTTTATCGCTTTAATTTTATCATCGATAAAAACGGCAATAATGGTAGATACGGAGTAGATGTCTGTTATTATGTACGTTTTAATACCGGTAACAACCTCACAGGTATCAACTAGAAGCTGTGTGAAGAAATTGTTTATATTTACATTTTAAATGTGTGAAATTAAATTTTAAATTTCAAATCGAATAAGATTTTACAAACGTTTATATTAATAGCATGTCTGTGTGCACACACACTCAAATATAATCGACCTCACCGTGCTGGTCAAGGTTATAAAAAGGAAGATTTCATTGTTTTATATTTATCTTATCAATATTTCATATTTCTATTCAAAATAATACACACACATATGAAGAGCATACATGTTATTTATTAGATAAATTAATCGGTAATAGACCTCGTTGGTGTAGATATTACAAGCGATAATTTCGTTTAAATATGTACCCCAAAAAATGTACATTATTTTGCTATGGATTTCGAAATAACAAGGTAGTCTTCGTAATAAAAACCTAAGTTCAGTGTAAATTATCATATCAACGGAGGTGATTTGGGTAATTGTACGATCAGTCGAGACGTGAAGAAGCAAGGAGGACAATTTGCCATGTAGGTATTATTCGCTTGACAAGGCACTTCCTTTGTATACAACAATGCATATAGAAGGGTAGGGTAGCACGATGTCGCAATGTGTGGCACTTAGTCGTAACTCAATTAAAGTAAATTTATATGAAGGATTATTAATGGTGGTTATGTAAACAGCCACTCTGTTATTGACAGAGCATGTCTTGAGGAAAAATAGGAGTGCTAGTAACACTGAAATTATTAAAGATTTTGTATTGTAAACTTAAATATAGAAAACGAAGTTTTTTCTTAATTACATTCTATTTTAACGTTGGGATCAAATAGGTCGTAAAGGACATTTTTTGTCAATTAAACTTTGTAACCTAAAGTATGTACTTGTTTTTCCTTAAACAGTGCAAAAAAAGCTTTAGATACCTACCTAATCAACAAAATACTACTCCCTGATATTACCAGTATACAAAACTCTGTATTCAAGAGTCAAGGAGAAGAGTCAAGTTCTCAGAGTCAAGCTGGTGATTCAGACATGTATTTCAATTAACAAATACAAATAAGATATTCGAAGTAAATATTAAATCTAGACAGGAACATAAATATGGCTCAGAATTATTAGCAGACAGCAGATAAGTAATTGTGAGGAGCTATACTGTAGGTATATGTTAACAAGTTAAACGACTGATAACATGACGTGGAACTACCTATTCGATTATTATATGTAAATAAACCAATTTTAAACAAAGTAAAACTTCATGTCAAGCGTTTCTATGTAGAAGAGCGAGTACAAGAGTGCGAGTGCGCCTAGCATTCTACGAACTGTAAAGAACCCAAGCGTTATTGCCTCAAAGGGCATGATAATGCTTTGCTGGACCAGGTTGTCAGAAACAGTAATGACTAGTCTAATATTATATACCAGCTTTTGCCCGCGGCTCCGCCCACGTGTATGTCGGTTATCGCGGTAAAAAAAACCCAGTCCTTTATCAAGAATCAAACTATCTCCATGCCAAATTTCATCTGAATCGGTTTAGCGTTTATTGATTCCCCATACAAACTTCCACCGCCCTCTTCACCCCCTTAAAGGGTGATTTCTGAGATAAAAATTATCCTATGTCCTTTCCCGGGACTGAACCTATCTCTATACCATTACACTATTATCTAAATCGGTTCAGCGGTTTAAGCGAGAAGAAAAAGCAGACAGATAGACAGACCAGACACACTTTCGCATTTATAATATTAACAACACTATTATTGTTGTTGACTGCTGTTGATCATCTGGCCATCGGCTTCGAGGTCATTGACCTATCTCAAATATACGCAAGACATAATAAGGTGGATACATTTATTGTGTTTTTAAGTAGAGCCAAGAAGAGATTGTATATTTCGTTATCTTGTTTTTGTTTTCAAGCTACACTAGGCGACAACGACTATTTGTTTCATAAGTTACTTCTCTTATTAATTACAACATATTTTGTATATTATGGTAACCGGTATGATATAATGCATTGTAAGCACACTCGATATTTAAGCTCGACATTGGAATTGACATTGTGTTAATAACTTTTCCAGTATTTGAAAATCAAAATCGTTTTATGAAAACATTTTTATAAAAATTATTATTAATGTATTGAAATAAGTACCTAACACCGACTATCTGTTCTATTACCTATTCTCTATCTATTACCGAAGATCGTGTGGCATCACTTCGGTCGAGTCGCCCATATGTGCCATAGCACGGTGCTCTCACGATTTAAATGTTTATGTAATTACCAGTTGGTACCCGCGACTCCGTTCGCGTGGAATTTGAAAAGCGCTGCCTTAGTGGGTTCAATACCTGGACTGGGAAATTTTTAAGAGGTTTTTCTAAGAGGAAAAATAGCCTAACTTACCCCTTATATAGACAGCAACCTGGCAGTAAATTATTATCAAAATCGCTTCGGCCGTTTCAATGATTACCCGGAACAAACACAGACAAAAAAACTGGTTTTTAGGCATTAGGTATCGTGCAAATAATTGTGTGAACATGAAAAAATTACCATTATGTATTTTGACATTACAAACAGACACTTCCATTTTATTTATTTGTATATACAGGTTTACTGGGTAAATCGATCTAAATATTTAAAGGGGTTGTAGTTGCCATAATTTCTAATAGATTTCACTATGAAATACCATATCCCAAACCCAACCATTTTCAAGACATTGAACTTTTAAGAGTTTTATAAAAATTGTCGAAATTTTGCCTAACAGTTTTTTTATCCCTTACTGTTTTTTACTGTTTTTGTGTAGTTAACCCACTGGGCCGAAGTAGATGGTTAATAATAGTTAATAGAAAAAAAATGTTTTTTTTTTTCACGAATATTTATAAAGAAACTATGACAGTTAAACTGCAGATATGTTAAAAAACATGAACGTATTGGCAGCTATCTAACGAGGTATAAAAGTCCAGGATACTATCAGAAATTTATAGAAAAAAACTTAGATGAAAGACCGCTTCGTTTTCTATTTTTGACTAACTATTGCTAACTTAACTTTGATTAGTCTTTCTGATACTATCGGAGATGATGACATATGCGAACGATGAATATGTTCATATTTTGATTGCTTACAGATACTGCCAATGCCTATCCGCACGGGCTCGTGGATGAACATAGCACTCTATCCCGGCCATCGAGTGCCGGATGTTGGAGGGAGCCTATCGACTACCTAAAGCGACCGGCTCTATTGCAAGGGGACGATCTGCTCTACGTAGATCACTTTTCACTGATGAAAATGATGAAGAAGGCAACGAGATAATTCAACGATTTAGATTGGTTCCAACAACTTCAACCAATATTGTTGCCTTAGAACTTAAGACTTTCACAGTGGAAAGTGCAGTTATTAAAGAAGTAGATACTTTGAAGAGATTGGATTTCTACATATTTATGGCTAATGCAGATTTATGTAGAAGACCCTTTATTTTATTTCTGAGACATTTCATGGAAATGAGTAGTCCAAATTTGATAAAAACGGTATAACTAACTAACACTCAATTGCTGAATGTAACCCTTTCAATTATTAAACCAATTTGTAAAGCTGTTGGTCTTCCAAGATTAAATAAATTTATAAACTAATTATCACAGCATTAATTTTTTCCCGACAAAAGCACTGATAAATCCTAATATTACGTAGATACCCTTTATCTATGTATGTAATTAAAAAACAATATCTCAACTACACAAAAACAGTAAAAAAATAGGCAAAATATCGGCAATTTTTATAAAAATCTTAAAAGTCCAATATCTTGAAAATGGTTGGGTTTAGGATATGGTATTTCATAGTGAAATCTATCAGATTGGTGGCAACTACAACGCCTTAAAGTATTTATAGAATTTACCCAGTAACCCTGTAGATTTATGTGTATTCGCTGCTTAATAAGGTTCCATTGTAGGCCACACTAATCTGCGATCCCTTACAACTGTATTTTATATACAAACTAGCTTTTGCCTTTTGCTTAAATGTCGGTTAAGAAAAGTAGCCTATGTCTTTCCTCAAGAATCAACGTATCTCCATACCAAATTTCATCTAAATCGATTCCCCATACTAAAAAAACTACATTCTAAGTAGATTATTATAAATGATTATGTTAGCGATAATATTATCAGGTGATAATTGACGCACACACTGATATAAACACAAAGTAATAAGAATTTCATTGGCTTACAAACACTTTTGTCTTACATACACAAAATTTATTTGACCTCATAAAGGTGAGCGGTAGTGATTGATTGGTGACTAACTGCGAAATTGAGTACATCGTACTCATGATGTCTTTGTCACTCTTTGTTAAAGTGTTTGCTGAAATATTGTTTTGATAAAGCCTAAAAGTGTGAGATAATTAGAACAAAGAATAGAAGTATATCGGTTTTCACTATCATTGTTTTTGTACCTTTGTCAAACACTAGCTGGCCCGCGTAATTTTTTCAAAACAGGTTTTTTTCCAATTCTATCCAGTAGTACCTGAGATAGCTCGTGCAACCAAACAAACAGACTGAATATCTTCTTTAATAGTGATAAATCATACCTCTTTTGATTGTTTTGTGGCGAACATAAAGTCCCCTTTGATTTGGAAGTCTTTGGCTTCTTCGAAGAGAATGTCGGCGTTAACCAAATCTGTAGGATCACTTGCACTGATCACTGTGCTAGTGCCGTCTGGCTTCCAACGTTCCATGTAGAAAGTCTTAGGGAATCCTGGCGCCGATGACCAGAAGAACGTTTTCACATAACTCTGGATCATTTTAAAAGTTTTACCGCCGTCCAGAGTTAGATATAGCTAGAAAGATGAAAAATATGTTAAAAATAGTTCATGTTAAATTTTTTTATTAGGAAATAAAAAGATTACAAGATCACGTCTCACAATTTTTAAATATAATTAAATTTGATTGTAATATTTCTTTTAATATTCCTTTTAATATTAAGTTTATATAAATTCTTGCCTATAAACACCCACAACACGTATCATTTGTGTTGCCGTCGATATAACTACCCCTAGCACTAAATTCTGGCAACCGTGCTCATCAGATTATACCGTTGTGATGATTTATCGCCGTATTCTGAAGAGTGTAGGTATGGGAGATGGACTGCTTGTCTTTGATTATTGGCAATTCTAGCATAAATCTTATATTAACTTGTCAAAATTAACAGGTAACATTTTGAATGGTTATATAAGTCAAGATTAAATTATACAATTTGGTTGCAAGTTTCGCAACTTGACCGAGCAGTGGACAATAGACTAGCGTCTATCCCTATTGAGAACAGACATCAAATTACTAGAAGCTTCTCGAACAAGTAGTGGACGACATGATTGTTTATATCCCTGCAGTTATACCTACCTCTTTCTATTAACTCTTAGTAACGTTTGAGATGGAACACGACCTCGATTTTCTAACAACGAAAACAAAGGGCGCTGTAACACGGGGGGGTTAATAAAACAGAAATAAATTTAGTCACCAGTATAACCTTGCTTACCAAGAAAACAGTCTATACACAAAAAAAAGATTGCTATTTTTACTATGGTTAAAAGTGATTTCGGCAACCTTTAAGGTTCATATCAAATTTATCGTTTTTAAGTATGTATGAAAATCGATATTCGTCAATCTAATCATAATTAGATTTATTTTATAAAACTACCCATAAATATTTCTAATATGGTTGGCAATCAAAATTCATTTTTCGCATATGCTATCTACAAAGGGTCTCCCTTCAGTTGAAGTTACAGAACACTGTGACTATTGGAAAGTCGAAAGGGTACTTTTTAGGGTTCCGTACCTCAAAAGGTAAAAAAGGAGCATTTATAAGATAACTCTCTTGTCCGTCTGTCCGCCTGTCTCTTCGAGTCACCACCGATTTTCTCAGGAACGGGTGGATCTAGCAAGTTAAAATTTATACTGAGGTCTATAGTCCCTATTAAATGTATAAAATCAAGATCCTGAGTCAACACGATAAAAAGATATGGGCATGGTACATGGGATATATTAATTAAATTTAGATTTTCGCGAAAACTTGTAAGTACCAAAATTTACCTTAATTTTCAACTTTCTTTTTAATTTTTTCCGAATTTTTCCTTTATTATTTGTAAAAATCTGGGTAGGTACGGAACTTTCGGCGGAGGAGTTCGACTCTCACTTGACCGGTTTTTTTTTTTAACACATCGAAGTACCAACGCAGTACAAACTGCATATCCATATCAACATGTCGGAGGTAAACCAGTTACTGCATGTAAATGCCTAGAGCAGTTTAATGTCTTCCGTTCTGGAAATTAGTCAACATCGTGTGTCAAATCTGTGATAAAACTTGATAATGATGAGGGGAAAGAAACAGAGGAGTACGATTCAAAGTTGTTTACGTCAGAATTGGAACAAATTTCAACATAACTATGAAACGATACTGGATAATTTCCAATTGAACTTGTCATTTACGACAAAATGTCCATTCTATTATATAATGGAAAATGTCCGTCACTCTAGATAGACAGAAGGAAGAAACGAACAGATGCCACGAGAAGATGCTTGATTGTAAGGTGGGAAAAGTGTCGACGTGCACTGTTATTACAGTTTCTTGGGAAATGAGGACTGTAAATACAGTTTATGGGTCATGTTATTCTATGTGAGCTTGAACCACCTTTATGATTCAATTAGTTTTTCCCCATAGATCCGTACGAAATAAGGTTGCCATGGACGAACTGGTATGGTTACTTATTAGGAGTGCTTGTGCTCAGGCGTTCCTTATGTAGCTGTAACAGTTTGTACTTACTTTTCTATCACTATCAATTTTGTCCAAAATCACGAATTTATCAGGGAACTCATCGTCAAAAGCCAACTCGCTAGGATGGAACGTCAGGTCGGATCTATAGATGTTGCGGCCATGGTCGCTCGTATAGAACAACTTCTTGTTTTCGGAGTCAACGAAGACACACTGCGAAAAAAGAAACATTTCATTATGACGAAATACATAACAATTTCAGAAAGCTTAGAATTGCGCAGTTACTTCGATGATAGGCTTTAGCTATCAATCTAACGGCGCACTTTCTACTACGCCTCGTGTTGTGGGTTCAAACCCCACATGGGACGACAATTTGTGTTTGACAAATTTTGTTCTGAGTCTGGGTGTTCTTTATGTCTGTTTCGTGTACGTTTGTAAGGTCACCCGTGACACAGGATATTTTCCTAATGCGGAATTAGTTTTAAAAAAATCCTTAAAACATATGTATAACTATTAAAAAGTGATTTTAAATACTATATCCTACATCATTTTATAAAAAGTTGAGTTCTTTTTGAAAAGGAGGAAGAAGCTGCCGCGAGTGATAAATATGATTCATATGATTACCGTCCAGGAAACAATGACATCTCACTAATCGGATTTAAATTCCCATACGTTATACTATAACGGAAACGACTAATATGAATTCGGTTATTTTAATAAACGGGCACTTATTTGTAAATGTTAGTTTAGTTTAAAGTCGCTTGCCCTTACACCGCCGACATTGATGACAGATCGCTGATGCTAAGATATTTTAGGAATACTAGAAAGTACTAACTTTAAAGCCATATTAGCCAATTTATGAATATTATGCAAGTTCTTAAATTTAACAGTTATGTGAACTGAAAGTTTATTACGTTTTCTAATGAATCATGTCATGTCCGTTCAGAATATAATTTAAAGCTCAATCTCCATGCGAGACGAAGGAGTTACTAAGCAGTTACGATGTTACTAAGGGTGATCCCCTATCTCCCCAAGTTTTAAATTACCCAAAAAGATTTTTCATACATTCATTTCCAACGTCCTAAATAAAATTTATTAATTTGCAAAGTTCACACTTGACCATTCCTTGTATTGACGTCTCCAAAAGTGGTAGAATAAAATAAAATCAGTACCTCATTTTCTGTATATATAATTTGTACTATGTTTTTTAAGATTTTTTTAGTTAGGAATGTATCCAGTTTGTTCTGGGGAAAAATGTAGTATACGGGAAGAATTTAGATTGTGTTAGAGGCATCCGGCAAAGAATTATTTGGCTCAGGAAATTTTTAGTAAACACATCATGTACGTCGTTTTGCATATTTTTTACCCATTTATATCAAATAACATTAAACAATACGTACGGAAGCATTGATTCGCAAACTTAGATTTCGGTCAAGACAGAGTCGTAAAATTTTATTTATTAATCATAAGCTTTGGGGAACTTGGGCCTTGAGGAGATTGGGCATCACCCGTTACTAATCCCCGAGCAAACACACATAGAGAAAAACCAACTGCAGATTCAGTTACATAGACCGACTTAATATAAAACGTGCACAAAATTCGATCAATATTCTATTTACATTTTTTTATACATATTATTCTATCTAAAAACCGCAACATGAGTTCTTTCCCGGCAATCTCTCTATAGATATCACAAATACATTTTTCTAAACTTAGGTCAGAGGTCAGATGGTAATGTTAATTTAAAAATTCGTAGTCACGAGATACAGTCCTTTTAAATTTTCCTTTTTCAGTAATTCTGGCACTGCTCTAAATATAAAAATAGAAAGAGGAAAATCGTACTTTATGGTAGTAGAACATGTATACAATTCTGAACTGTACTCTACCATTTATTTTATATACTATTTGTTTGTAAGCAAATAAACAAAAAATATTTGTTTCTAAACCAATTAAAAGTCTTTCACCTCATTATAACAAAGTAATAAGCTGTATCAATTATTATTTACATTTTAAATAGTCTCCGGTTAACTATCTTCATAGATAACTGGCGATTCATTTACTGTGAAAAAAATTAAATTATGAAATGTTCTTGAAGATTTTTTTTATGGTGTCTGAGAGAAAGAAATCAAGTTAAGGTTACGGTTTCTGCTAGAGGAATCTAATGCTATGCTCAACCAGCCCGCTAAAATCTTCCCTGGGCCCTGCCTTCATCTCCTTTAACAGGGATTTTTTGTAAGTAAGACATAACTTCCCACTCTTTCCAAAAATTTGATGGTGTGAAGGGTGCTAAAACTGGTTACGTACACAAGCAAAACCTTGGCTTGATCATCACACAACTTGAAGTAATAGCGCATCTTGGAAAAAAATGTTACAAGTTACAAGTTACGTTAGCCTTGGCGAGACTGATAATAGAAACTAGAATTTTTGTATTTATGCTTTTCGTACATGCTATCGACTATTGAACAAGTATCATTAACATTGTGCATTTAGAAGTCGTTTATAGTTCATATATCTTTCAGTTTTCATAGTTCTTAACTTAATTTCGAATATATAAGTTTAGTGTTTTATACTGTTTTATTGAATTCTGTAAAATATTGTTACATCCAACTTAATGCGAGGATTATAAAATTAAACTCCGACAAACATTTCGCTGCCGAATGAGTCGATGACAGAATGTTTCGTTTATGAATTGATCAACGACGGAACCTTTCAGATACGAACGATTCGCCGACAGAATGTTTCGTTTATGAATTGATTAATAAAATACGAACGATTCGCCGACAAAACGTTTTATATAAGACCTAATCAACGACAGAACCTTTTCGCTACGAATGTTTCGCTAACAGAACGTTTCATTAAAGAGTGAATCAAAAAAGGATTCGTGGATAAAGCTTATTTAGGCATGGTTTGTCACTACTATTGACTAAATCTAAAGATTAAACGTTTTTAAAGGTTCAAAGAAAAATATTTGCAAATGAAAATTACCATCGTTAACAATTAAATACAGAACATGGTTTTTAACTGAACAAAAACACAACAAATCAACTATGATTAATAAAAATAATTCTAAAGTGCATAGACACATTATCACACTTCCCTTCTCAGGTCTGTACGGTTCATGTGTTCCTTCGTATGCTAACTATTTAAATATTATTTATGTGGTTTTCCGCTAGTAGGTCCCGATTTTCGAGCGGCCAAAAGTTGTGTTTAGTATTTTTAGAGAATAATGATCTGTGACTTTTTAAGCATAAATATAGTTTAATTTATTTTGTAAATTTAATTTATTTTATTTATTTAGTGTGCGACACTTCAAATTCATTTGTATACGAAGTCAGAAAATAATCATGTGGACATCTTAAATGTCTGGGCGCACATTTCTCATTTAAATAATACAAAATAACGTGTCCTAGTAGTAGCGAATAGTAGTAAGATTCTGTCATCGATTCACTCATTAATGAATCGTTCTGTCAGCGAAACGTTCGTAGCGGAAAGGTTCTGTCGTTGATTAGGTCTTATATAAAACGTTTTGTCGGCGAATCGTTCGTATTTTATGAACAACTCATAAACGAAACATTCTGTCGGCGACTCATTCGGCAGCGGAGTGTTTGTCGGAGTTTAATTTCAGAATCTAATGCAAGTTTTACGATCGATGTGATTGATCTACATTTGATGATATTGATATACGCCAATCGATGAAGGGTCATCAATTGGCGTTTCAAATAAAGAAAGCGTAACAAAATAATGAAATCCAATTTTGCATCTATGGTAATACAATAAACGTGAAAGTTTAGATGGGTGGATGAATGTTTGGTACTCAATGGGATTTGAACGAAATTTAGTACAGAGATAGATTATAGTCGTGAACAGGACCTACACTGCTATTTATCTAGGCAAAATTGATTGTCAAAATCGACAGTACCGCTTGCGAAGACGCAGGCAAAAGTTTATAAGCTTAGAATGAGACGATCACCCTTCTTTATAGCCATCACGATCAAATGATTAGTACTCTTATTAGTGCATTCGATATTTGATCGATCCACCATCGGTTGAACGAGTTTCAACTCGAGTCGAAAAACTCGTTTCCATTAAAACGAACACTTCTAACACTTCTACACAAAAAACCTAGTTTTATAACCGGTTCGAAAAAAAGCATGAAAAAGGGTAAGATTATGTGAATAAATTCTATACACTTTGCTGTCCTGTTATGTGATTAAGAAAGAGATAACCAACCCTTATAGGTTCTAATGAACTAAAGTGTGATTTAGTCGTGGTTACGATGTCATATCTAATCAGTGATCTATAGACTCGGAACCTTTAAAACAAACATCAATATGCACAAATCTTTTTCTAGTTCCTAAGTTCTGAATCGAAACAAATTGTTTTAATACATTTAACTAAGTATTCTATATATTTAAGGAATTAAATTAAGAAATTACATAGATCTACGGACTCTCGCAGTCCGTCTTTAACTATGGCAGGGCTCGCGTTTCTTCTCTTTTCTTCAAGGGAAACCCTTTGTCCTTCAAACTTATGTTCTGCAGAGATTAGGGTCTCCAACATTTTCGACCAATTTTTTTCACAATATAACAATTTCAAAGGCAGAAGGAACAATGTAGAAACGAAAAGGCCGAGAAATGGGGTTCCTTTCGAAGACCATCAATGGTCGTAAATGATAGGGCTTTGGAGTTACGATAAAGGCATCTTTATAAAAATGCGTTTTTTTATGTTTAAAGTGTTAGGCTTAGAGAAGAGGCCTGGAGCTTCAGATAACGATTTTTAATAAAATCATAATAAAATATACCGTTTCCGTACTTTTTTTTAAATATGCCAATTATGATAATAAGGATTTAGGAATAAAGTAACGTATCAAAGTATAAATAACATGCACCAGTAAGTTTTGTTGATGTTCAATTATTTACGACAATTCAATTTAATAGTAGTTTGGTTCAGAATTATCATAAATTATTAATATCAATTTGTAATTTTTTCCTCTAATTATAAACACTAACTAAATAAATTACTGAATTGTTATTACACAGATTATATAGTTATGCATGAAAATATGTGATAAGAGAAGTCAAAATATTGCATTTCAAATGCAATATTTTTACTCTAAATACTAGCTGGTGCCCATTCGTTCGTTCGAGTGGAATTTGAAAACTGTGCCTTAGTGGGTTTGATTCCCAGAACGGGCAAAAATTTGTAGGGTTTTTCTGAGAGAAAAAATAGCCTTAGTTAGTTCTTACAGAGACAGCTACTTGGTAGTAAAATATTATCAAAATCGGTACAGCCGTTTTGAAGATTATCCAGAACAACAGACAGACAAAAAATATTTAAACTGGTTTTTAGGCATAGGTATCATGCAAATGACCGTGCCAGCAAAAAACCTATTATTTTGACATTATGAACAGAGTACATGAGAAAAATAGTAAAAATAATGTATGTACTCACAAATTCTGGATACTTGCGGTGGTTAAAGAATTTATCAAGATGTGCATATCCACTGTCAGGTGTATCACCCAGTCTAAAGCTCTCAGTCTTGTTAGTAAAATTCTTTCCATAATCATAGGATATGAAGAGAGCTGATGGTAAAGTAATTCCTTTATTTCTTGGTGAAGAATCTCTAGCTAGACAGATGATGATATTGGAACCTTCTCCCACCCAGTGGACCATCAGCTGCTGGTGACTATCATTTAGGTGAGTTGTCTGTTGAAAAGTTTAATTTGTTATAAAATTGATCATGTCTTTAAAATCTTCTAGAAAATAAAGGTAAACAATATTTACTAATTTATTAAGATCATTTAAGTGCTAGAATATAATATGTATGTATTTTATTAAAACAATAATAGTATTGCATTAAAAATCAGGAGGCTTTCAAATTAATGGTTTAACCTTTAATCATAATGAACCCTCATGTTTACCAAACAATTAAATATAAAAGATTGTCTTGGCATAAAAAAAACTTGTTAGATTATTTTTAGTTGAAGACAAAGAGAATACTGATTGTTGTCAACCCATTTTTAAATTAAACCAAATCTAGCCTCAGAGTGAGGTTCAAAATTCACAAAATTAAAATGCACAGTCACTTAGCAAAATTGCGTCGAACTGTCGGCGTCATAGTGCGTCCAAAATATAAATACAAATGACCTTCTTAAACTTCAAACCACGGAAAACACTTTGTCATTGTGTGACAAAAATAGTAGAAAGTAAATAACATCAACATCTTATTATATCTTATATAAACATATCGACCGATGGAAAACGAGTTCGAAACATTGAAGGGACCGTTTGTAAATAATAAGGATGTGAACTATTACCCATGTACTTAGGTTTCTTTCCACCGAGGGAGTTGTTAAGGTTGTCGCTTCGCGTTTTCTCCTTTCTATATGAGAGCTGTCGTCCTTTTCAACGTTTCTATTGATGATTTGTATTTTTTCACGATTTGTATGCGGGTCTTCAGCCACGTACAATGTGTTTCCAGATGCTCCATACTGACGCACCGTAAGTATGCCCGATAATAAATACGACAAAATAAAAAAACTGATATCACGTCCAAATCTTAACAACATTTTGTTAACACTGCATGTCCAAACACATCCGTACAAATACGATTTTAAAACGATACTAAAATTGCGCTTTTCTTTCCTACTACGCTACAAAACATGAAGTTAGCTACAATAGACACCGAGAATTTTGACATTCAGTTACTTTATCGATGTTGCCATATCCACTTGCTTCTGTATAGATAATATTGTACAAAAAAAACTTACTTAAATAAATAATCCCATTCCATTCTGTACAAAAAAAAATTGCAATTCTGAAATGGTTCTTTTAAAAGGTCATTACCATTTCATCTTTTTTTTTCTTCCCTGGTGTCAAAGTGGAAGTATTAGATAGATAGATAGAAAAGTCTTAATTTGTACACCGTTTTACAAGTAATGTACCAAGGGCGGCCTTATTGCTAAGAGCAATCTCTTCTTTAGTAGAAGGTGTAATGAGTTTTGTCAGGTTAATTACTGATAAATATAAAAGAGGTAAAATTAGATAAATATTTCTACACAAAACACATATTTATACCTACCTACAAATATACAATATACATGCATACATAACTAATTAAATATATCACAAAAAAGAAGAAAGAAAAAAAGAAACATTCTTATCATACCTTCATTTAATATCACTTACTTAATCTAGATACATAAAAATTCTTGAACCATTCTCTTAAAACTGCTTATTGTTTGCGCTCGCCTGGGGTTTATTGTCAATGCATTTCACAAGCGTAGAGCTTTAACCGTTAAAGAATGGTTATAAAAGTTTTTGAAATGCAGAATCATCTCCAGTCTCAAGTCCTCGGATGACCTCAGACATTTTTTATCAAACAGCCTGCCCTTCGGCGTGATCAAATAGAATCAGGCGAGATAGCCGATTCAGTTTTTAAAAAATACTTGCTATACCCTAACCGCTCTTCGCTGTGGCACATTGTGGTAGCAAAAAAGGGATGAAAACCATCTTTGGAGATTGTTCTATATCGTGTCAAAGTTTGAACTCGGTGCAGAACTTTTTGACGTTTTGAAGCGTAACAAAACAACTTAACATTTTTTATATACTTACCTATTTAAATTTTATATGTATAGATGATGACTCTATTACCACCAAATCAAAAGCGCCTGCGTCAACAACCGCTATGGCAACTAACCCTATTCAACATCCACGTAGTTTTTAGTTGCCCGATAAACCTGTCCAACTCCTAACCGTTGAGGAGTTGTACCTTCCATCACCAGCTCATCAACACGATATAATGACTACCAGACGCAAATAGTAGAATAACTTTAGAAAATATATGAAACACATAATAAGTGCCAATAAAATTTGAGGGTTGCCCTCGATTTTCCTTAGATCCCCTCATCAGATCCTGACTTTGTGACAATGAGACTACCTCAGGACTATGCTCTTTCTAATAAAAAAAGACTTTTGTAAATCGGTCCACAATTGGCGGAGTAATCGGTAAACATACATAAAACAATACGTAGGTACAGTGGAACATAGAGCCTCCTTTTTGAAGTCGGTTAAAAAACTCTGCGATGGTATATCTTAACTAGTGATGTGCCGGATCGTTAACAAAGTATATCCGCGGATACGGATCCGAATACGGATATTTGGTGTCAAGATAGAAGAAGAAGAGATAGTTGTCGCCACTTGACGCTTTGCCGTTGATATTTAAATATTTCATTATTTTAATAAGCTAATACAAAGATGTTTGATTGATCTCATTATAAAGATAGCTCTATATTCTCTCTATATTTTGTTTGTGTAATTATCTCTATATTTTGTATAGTACGATAAATCATTGCAATACAAACGTGACAAATATTTGTTTTAAGAAATAAAAAGTAATCTGAACAGAATTTAATAGTTTTTCATAGCTACCTAATAACCATTATTAAGGGTTATTTTAAATTTACTGAAAATTTCTGAAGTGCATATTAATAAAATTATAAACAACAACTTTTCTTCTGGGCTAACACCGAAAACGAAAGAAAAAAAAATGTTTCTCCATACAAACTAACAACATTTGATTGGTTATTTGAATGGAGAACCAATCTTTTTACATTTTGACGTTGGCCAGAAAAAAGTTGCTGTTTATAGTGTTACAAACACATACTTAAGAGTTTTACAGTGAATACAAAATCACCTATATAGAATTTCATCTATTTAATATGTATTGAAAGATCCGCGTAAAAAGTCACGGATACGGATACGGTTACGGATCTCTGTTCTCCCTTGGATATCCGCGGATACGGATACGGATACGGATATCCGGCACATCACTAATCTTAACACGGTACTATTATAATACAGTAGTGTAACTCGGCCGCATGATAGAAATAAATGCCTACAGCCGCGCGGTACGTAAACATGCGTTAGGGCTGCCCGTCTCCAGCATTTTAATTATATTTGCCTACTTTCTGTTTCTATTTAGATTTGTGATTGTAAATATCCTTTTTATATAAATAAATGAAATACTTTGTATATTGAATAGGAAGTGTTCAATAAAAATGCGTGTTGTTTTTTGATTGGTAGATTTATTTATTTTATTTTCTTTCTGCATTGGAGGAGTTCAAGTTTCAATTTTCTTTTTCTTGGAGTGTTGCTAGAGAGACTCGTTGAGGTTTGAGCAAAGATTTCATTTGTTGCATTTTCAGTCTGTGTACTATTTTCATTTCCTAGCAACGGAGCAGTTTGGGTTTGTTTATCTTCTTTTAGAGATACTCCTGGATCAGTACTAGCTAAGCTTGGCAGCATCAACAATGGTAGGGCATTCTTTTTTAAAAGTTTTCTATTTGATGAATGTAATACATCCTCCAAATTAAAATGTTTTTCACAAACTTGGTAGGAACTAAAGTTAGGTTTGTTTTCCAAATCATCTCGCCGGATCAGTTGCAACCATTGAAGGCGTCTGAAAAAAAAAATACATGTGACACTCTCGGCGACTGCCGCGGTAAAGCTATTGCATAACATTTCTTTTTTAAAGAACAAAATCTGCGTGGTGTCAGGTATTTTTCGTTAGGTTTTGAGAATTTCTTGATTCGGTCACCGCGCCGCGCCGCGCTCAGAGCCCGCGATAAAAGCTATGCAATAGTTTAAAAATCCTTCTATAGAATAAAAAATGTGCTTTCTCCTTACGCGTTACAAAACGCCAATCCTTAGAAACTCCAACACCTACCTACTCAACTATAATGCAAGAAACAGCTGACGAGTAAGTAACTTTTTATCTCAGCTTAATAACGTCTCTATAAATTAGGTACCTACCTACAACTCAAAACAAAAATTCTTTGGTCACCAATTAATTAATTATTAAATCAAGTATTCACTCGTCTCAATATCTTTCCGTTACTCTATTCGCTTTATTTATTAATCCAAACACCTTTTTTTTCGTAAGATAAAAAGAAATACTTATCCATTAAAAAGACACACATTATGTACCTACCTACTAGTAAGTAAAATTATTTTATAGTCTTACCTTTCAGAGTTTCCAGGTAATTTAAAAAACTTATGTCTGGATGCGTTATTGACGAATTCATACAACCAAAAGCAGCACAATATTTCCTACTCGTCATATTAACTGATATTTAGAGAAAAAATCGCGCGGTTATTGTTAAAAAAAACAACACACCGTCCGTTCGACACTGCGGTACAGCCGTGACTGTCTGCGCCCCGAGCGCACCCCGAGATCGAGGCGCGTAGGTATAGCTCTCGTTTCGTCCGTTTGTATGAAGTTGGAGTACTGTATTATTATTGTACCGTGATCTTAAGGATATCTCTTCTAAGGGCTATCTCTTAAGGATAACCCAAAGAAACCATTTTATGTATTCTTTAAAATAGCTTCGTAAATAAACAGAAAAAAAAAACAAAAAGATAAAAATGGTTACTGTGGTTTAACCTTAGGAGATAGATATATACCAGGACAGACTTTTTTGTAGATCTTGTTAAGATATACAATTCCATAGTACCTACATTATTTTGGTTTATTATATGTAAAACATGTTTTTTGTCTAAAATCACAAAAATATGCTTAAACATACATTTAAACCTGCCTCTTGAATTCTTTATTTATTGGTAAAAACAGCATTAAAATCCGTTGCTTAATTTAAAAGATCTAAGCAAGTGCGTGCGTACTATAACAAAAAGTGTGGGAAGTCTTGTTACACGTTTTTTGGTCTAGCTACCATCCGCTCAGCGCGTGTAACGCGCGATAAGGAACTTCGTTCCAATAACTTAGAAGTGTTATGCATAATACCAAAAAGTGGCGACAAGCCACCGGCTGATCCTAAATCCTAGCGACCAATCACATTGTTACCATCGTTAGGAAAGCTTTTAGAACGTCTTGTAGTGCCCCGGCTTCTGCCAGGTGGAATCAAATTTCATGTTAGACAATTTGGATTTATTTTGGGGAAATCGACAACTGACGCTGTTATATCGGTTAGAAAGTTTGTCACAGAGTCAAAATTTCAATGCGTGCTGGTTATTTTCTTAGATATATCTGGCACCTTCAACAACGCATAGTGGCCCATGCTGTTGCTAAAATTAAAATCACGGGGGTGCTTTAAAAATATTTATTCCCTTATCTCTTCGTACTTTTCACAAGGTACAACTAAACTAATACTTGGTCATCATTCTGTGTCTAAGGCGCTTACAATGGGATGTCCTCAGGGATCGGTGCTAGGTCCATACTTGTGGAATATCGGGTTCGACGATTTTCTTGCCAATACCATCCGGATGTACTCTGAACGCGTATGCTGATGACGGCTTATTACTAGCTGAATCTGATACTAGGGCGGGGCTTGAGAGATTAGCCAATAGATGTTTGAACTTGATATCTCAATGGGGTGAACGTGTGGGTGAGATTAGTCCCTATAACAAAAAAACGCTAATACACAAAATCTCAATTTTTAACTACCCTAAAATTAAATTGATGAACAGCTAAAGTAGAAATGATTAAATTATTAATAAAAAAGAAAGACCCTATTCATTTGCTTCGAAGTGTACTCGTCGTACTTAAAAATGAGAAAACGAATCAGGAGCAACGACAATATCGGTGAGTCAATCAGTGAATGATGTTATGATTTGATTACCCCCCTCGTCCTACCTCGAAAGGTACCCAAAAATCGACTTTTGCGCAGGTGAACCACCCATAAACGCTCATAACTTTTGAACCAGTCACCGAAAAATTCTTATATTTGGCGACGAATTTTGACTAGTTTTTTGTGCTATCAAAATTAAAATCCATGATGATGGCCAAGCCAGTGTCAGTGACACATTCGACTAGGCCCCAAAACGGATACGTTCGCAAGCGACGGTATGGAGCCGATCGTATGTGTCGACATCCTGCCGGACGCGATCGGCTGTTGCCGTATCCTTTCTGGACACGATGGAAATCATCCTTTAGACTCGATTACCTCACTAACAGTTCATTTTGGACGGATCCGCCAGATCGTGATGACACCAGATTGCAATCCCTAACATGCTATAAGCCTCTTTTACTTTTGTTCTACTGTATCTCCGTCCTTACCATATTTACAGAATGTTTGCAGTACAGAAACGTCATGTTACTTGTATTATACAATAAAACCAAAAAATATATTTCTTTAAGTTTATTAGTCATAAAATTATAGAACGATGACTGCTTGTTTAGCCGCCTGCTTAGCCTTTAGACGAACTTGTGCGGCGATTCTGTCGAGATCACGCCTTCCCTGGACGGTCAGGATACGACCACCATCTTGCATTTGCTCAACAAGCTTCAGAGACTCAAGGGCCTGGAGGGCTTTGCGAGCAATGCTCCCTGAGGATCTGCAAAGTTCAAAAAGTTGCAGGTTTATAACATTAAATGTATCTGCACAATGAAGACAATGAAGTTCACTTGATAGTTTATTATCATCCATTTACTTTGTCCTCGCTTTTCTGAGGTTCATTGTGGATATATATGCAGAATTATGTTAAGTCTCTTTCATACAGAGTTGGGGATCAATCGACAAAAAAAAAACAATCAAAGCATCACTTGATAGTGTTAGTGAAAATAATAATTGTGATTTACAATTGAATGTTAATATCATTTACAATCCTTTTTTTAAGATAAAGCTTTACTAATTTTAAAATTAAGTAGATCCCAATAACAATTATCAAAAACAGGAGAGAATTCTTGATTTGGTTGTATTTTTTAACTACCATTACTATTAATTAACAAGTTAATTATTATGTGACTAACAAATTGTATTTTTTTATTTTTTAATACATAATAATATAATATCAGTAGCCATTACATCGAATAATTCAATTATTTTTGTTTGTGGTAGTCACATTAAGCTCTCATAACCTGCGAAAATTGTGAAATGCCACTACACTGTAAAATGCTTTCATAGGTAAGCGCTAATTAGCGCAAGCGGCACGCAAGAAGTTAATAGAGTCAATGTCTTATGTTTGACATTTAATCAACTTTTAATCATTTAATTGTAAGAACTTAATTTTACCTAACACCCTTTTTTTTTACCTAACACCCCTAATAAATGCTGTACATGAACTTAATAATCCAATCCAATAAAATATTATTTTTTATTTATTTTATTTTAAAATAACATAGGGTACTATTTACAGCTATAATCCTCATACACGCGGGCAAAGCTAGCATTTTAAAAAGAGGGAGGCAAAAATATCCTCTAGTCAGCCCCATACCAGCACTCAGTCAGCCTTTACAGACATTATTTCTATTTAATTAGTATTGAAATTAATGTCTGTATGGTGACGGATTAAGAATATGGAGTGTCACCACCTCTATTCATCCCTGTAACTGTAACCGAGTATTTTTTTCTGTCAATAGTTATAATCCTAAATAGAATTTAGTGATATACACTATGTAAAAATCTTAGTGTTGTGTTTACTAGTATTCATATGACGTCCCTAACACCGTGAATGTCTAGGGTATGCTTATTGGGATGATGATTATGGAAAGTTAATATATGTAATATTTTTAAATTCTTTTAGAGCTTTTCTTCCAGTGAAGTTCTAGATTAGAGCCCTTTGTGAGATAATTATGGTAATTACCTGCAGAAATGTGAGGGAGTTACACCATTACGCTTGCGACCACCGAAGATCTTGGTGACGGTCTTGACTCCTACTGGGGAGCGAATATATATGTGACGGAGGATTGCAGCACATCGCACAAAGAACCAGTCAGGATCGTAGGGCGCCAGCTCTTTGAAGCGACCAGTCTTCACCAGGTCCATGTGTTCAGGTACCTTTATTTTGCCTGTCCTGGAAAAATCATTTTTTTTTGCAATTTTTATTTATTGTTATATAACTTTCAATTTAGGGAAAGCCTTAGCATAACTGGTCTGCACTTTCAACTATGTTAGTGACCCTCACTGTTAAGCCAGGGGTTGTATAGGTTCTATTTGCACCCAGAGGGCTAATTCTCGTAATAATATTTCAGTCATCATTCAGTTCCAATCAATTATTGACTCGCAACTGTCATAAAAATTATTTTCATAGTAAAATTGTAAAGTATAAGATTACTAAGACTTGCAGATTACCAATTCAATTTTCAGTAACAATATGATATAATCACATTACAGTCAAGGTTGGATGTTTAATAATTTACTACGAAAATACTTCTTTCGACAGTTATGAGATCTGGAGTTGATCGGAACTGAATTGTGACTGAGCTTTTAGTAGGAGAAATAATAGTCTAGCAGCAATATATAAATCTGTTTGACAGCAGTCTGGTTGTCATAGAACTAGGCTCTGCCTAGTCAGAGATTAGACGGCCAGTGTTTTTTTGTGATAAAAGAGGTAAACATGCAGATGAAGATGTTATTTAAAAAATAACTATTAATAGCCACCATTTCATATAACACAATTATAAGGACTTATTGAAAACTATTAGGCCAAAACCTCCATTATAAGGAGAGGCCTATGCCCAGCAGTGGACTGTTAGAGGCTGTTGATGATGATGAATAAAAACTATAGATTTATGGATATGAATCCACATACATAAAGAATGTAACTGTATAAGATACTAGTTGTACCATTCACATGTCCACTGGAATCCTTTAGCTTAAAAAAGAATTAAACTGTTAGTAGAATAAAATAAACGGCCTAAGATTGTCCACCAACTTTGTTAGTTAAAACTGGAACTCTTTAACTTTGGTGTTAGGGTCAACTATGCATCAGATACACCTAGGTTGTAAGCTCCATTCAGCAGTATTACACTAGATTATTCATAAAAATAGTACCCAGCAAGTATACATATGCAAGTACGGTGTCTATGTTGACATTAAGTGCTTATTTAAAGACCAAAGACATTGGTGTCAGCCTTTATCATCAAGATCATGCAGTTGCATTTAACAGATAATATTTACTTTTTGAGATGGGCAGCGACGGTCTTGACGACCTTGTCTTGTTCAACATCCTTCAAGGTGACGGAACGCATCTGAAATGATATATAGGCATCGTAATAAATACAAACTTTCATTTCATCGCAACAAAAAGTTAGGTTATGTATTGTCATGTTAAAGTACTAGTGCTGTTGTAGTCCAAATGTCTGAAATCACTTTTTATAGGAAAATACCTCAGTACTGTAATATTTTAAAGCTTTCTGTTAGTAAAATGCATCACGGAATACCGTCACTTCCAATTTTATATGACATTTGATGTGCGTCTTTACGAGTAACAATTTAACACATTCTTGAACATAGGTTGCTATGTATAACATTTTTAATAAACCTTACCTTGGACGATAAACAACAGAAATAGCACTAATTTATAAGTATTTAACAAAGATTACACTTAAAAACCATGTGGCTTTTTCCGAAAACCCACCTTGCCTTGTGTTGGCAGCCGGAAGAAAGAATTCAAAAAAAGCTTTTAGGAACGACATCCTCTAACTATATTTTCTACCAAAATGTTCGGTTTTGAAAATAAAAGTAAGTTAATAAAAATTGTAAATGATATCTTGTGAACATACATAGTACTAATAAATTTATATGGACATTATTAATACTTTTATACTCATTTATTTTTATTTTTTTATTTATTTTAATTTTTATTCATATTTTTTTTATTTTATTTTTACACAGACTATGAGGGGTTATTGAATATTAAGTAATAAGTAAATTTTTCCACCATAACAAAATAGATGTGGTCAGAAGGTCAATTTTATTCATCATCATCATCATCATCATCAGCCTATCGCAGTCCACTGCTGGACTTAGGCCTCTCCCATTGAATTTTATTCTGGTATTAAAAATTCGTTCAAAATTCAGTTCCTTTCTACTATCGATGTCATTACTGTCATGAAAGCTATTGTCGTTGTATATGTGTAAATATATTGCGCTGATATTTTTTATGATATTATTTTCTAATTATGTAGATAATTACAACTTAAAAATGAGTTATATTCCACTAATGAATTTTCATTAGTTTGCTGTTGCTGTATGTAAAAATACTAATTAAAGAAAAAGTGGATTTAAGTGCACATTTTGGTTTATATTTTAGCTACTATTTCATGGGTTTAAAAAGTAATAATCTATAATCCGACTGCAATAAGACAATCTGAAAGTAATGCACCAAATAGAGCCAAACAGTGTGAGGTGACTATCTCAATAATATATTTTTAGATTAAATTCTTTCTCTAGAGGTAAATAGAAAAACTATCTATTTATCTACCAAATCATGCATTTCTATAAATTGAAAATAATACAAGTTTACGATATTCTCTACTGTCTGTACTCCTACCTACTCTACGGTCTATGGTAAGATAGATACCAAATTGTCATTGTCAGTAATTGGAAAATGGCCGCGAAACAAAATCCTGTTGTTCAGGATGGTAATTTTGTTTATTAAGTGCTCTAAACTAGTTTCTAGTAGTTATATAGTTACCAGTTAATCATTGATTTTGAGTTTTTAATTGTTTATAGGAATCATAATTTCCCTTTCGGTTTATGTGTAATACTTGTGTTGTTTCAGAACAAACAACAGATGATATTCCATTGACATCGTTAGAAGAAAGCCTTTTTAGCTCTGAGAAACTTGATCGTGCTTCTCCAGAATTATGGCCTGAACAAAGTAAGTATTAATAATGTCCATTTCTTTTCTAAGATTTTATTTTAATTGTTGAAAATATTGATATTTTCAAAAATCGCGGGAAATATGTTTACGTTTTATAATGTTGTCATCCCGTTCTATATTTCGCTATTTCATTTTGGTTTAGTATTTCGGTTATAAACGACGAATTTAAAACTTTTTTGGCGATGAGCGACAGTAACGTTAATGTTACACATTCTGATGATGGTTCACAATGTTCGTCTTCCTCGTTCACAGTTCCGGGAGTGTCAGAATTTGCGCCTTTGCCTAATAGCAACCAATCACCTCCAGCATGGAACCGAGGGGTCACTAAAGAGGATTGTAATTATATGCAACGTAAGTACTTAGTCTGCCTATTGTAATCATCCTATCAGAGAACTCATCATAAATCATCATATCATTTCAGAGAACTTTATTTCTGATTTAATTGTGGTGTACACTTTTTCCTTGGTAAAGGAATTTTGTGTAAAATTTATGATAAATTTAAATGACTATAGCTTGTTATTGATAATGTTTATGTTTTCTGATATTGTTGCTACTTTCTACTAACCCATAACTGTTGTACTGTACTATTGAATTAAATAAAACAATCTTAAAATTCAAACGGTAGCTACATACATTAATCCATTGAAACAAACATCACAATAAGTTTATTTATAACATTAGTAGTGATATGGCTTGTAAGCACAGATATATCTGAATAGAGAGAACACGGGGTGCAGCTGCCTGTTAGTGGACGCTATAAAGGCAACGAGAGTGATTGATGCCTTATTATTCCCTCTGTCTCTGTTTAGCTAAGCTGTGATTGGCTAACATGAAGCGGGCATGATTTTGATCATAGACCAGGAGGGAGATTATAAATTTCCCCAGCCAACCATAGAAGCTCGGCTAGAAAGAGATAGAGGGTACTATCTATAATCCATCTGTCTTGTTGCCTATGTTGCAAGATTGGGGCTCTTGTTCACTCTATGCATTTCTATGCTTGAAAGGCTGAAATAAAAATTAGCATAGCCAACGACCATGAAACCATTATTTTATATTATTGTGTAGGTTTAGATTTTCACTTGTATTAAGTGTACATGATGAAGTTCATAAGAAGTGTTAGGTACATCAGTAACATGTTACAAATCATGAAAATTTTAGTAAATAAAAACCTCTATGAGCAATAGCAGAACAACAGCACTGCAGAGAGAAGGAAAACTTGACACAAACCCTATACCAACCCGTCTGGCCAGTGTGGTATAGTAGGGCCAAAACCTACTTTCTAAGGAAAGGCTTATGTCCAGCAGTGGACTATTAAAGGCTGTTGATAATGAGCAATAGCTTGGTTGTTAGTCTGTTAGACCTGACTAGGGCAACTAGCAACAATTCATGTGCTTTAAATTGCCAAATTTTTTTTTATGGTAGTTTGCATAATTGTTTATTAAAATTAAAGATAATACAGGTAACTCATCTTTTTATTTTTAACCAACAATTAAATACTTTACTATATAAAAGAAAATGATAACATTTGACTAAATTTAAAAAAAAAGTTTTTCTCTGACTGTAATCTTTCAAGAGTTAAAACTCTGTTACTGCTTTTAGATATATTTACCCTTTGTACTCTTAATATTACATTAGCAAAATATTATATTTGCAAATGATTACATTCTCTAAATGTTATACAATGTACAAACACAGCCAAAGTTGTTTCTGATTTAGATGAAATAATAAAATAACTATGATCACCCTAAAACAACCCCTGTAGGTTTGCTTTATAATTATCTGCATTACTATTAAATTTTGTGTTTTAATATATGCAGAATAGAATTAATATAATTTTTGATGTATTTGTTTGTATTTGAGGTATATCCAGAGAAAAAAAAATTTAAGGCTATTACATAAATTTTTTAAATGCCGTGATAGATAAGACAGAGTAAAAAATAGAATTTTTATTTTAGTTAGTTTTTTTTTTGTTTTTGTTCTTACATTTGTAAAATTCTCACAAGTCTCCATCCATAGCATACTCAAAGTTAAACGCGCTTAACGCGTCAAAAACTTGACAACAAAAAATAAATTGTCATTTTTGTAGGGCATCTGTAGCTTAAGCTTTCTTCGTATTCGGCCTAAATATATTGATTCAAATTGTCAAACATGTCAATATAGGCAAAATTCATATTTTTAACTAAAATAAATAATGGGATTGGATAAGATTATACGAAAAGTTTGTTAAATTGTTAGATGTGATTTATTATTAGATAATTAACTATAAAAGTACGATTGTGGTAACTAATGTGTTGAGACTCATTGCGTGCTTGACTTTTTGCAGGTTTTGGCTTCTGGTTTTGACTATATACTTGTTCGAAACTTAGTGTATGATCCTAATGAAAAATATTTAAAAAAATGCATAATAAAAGGCTGTTTATTAATTACATTAGTAGAATTTCTTTGATTTTCAAATACAATTGCAGCAGCACTGGAAGGTTATTATTTTACAACTGGTACTTTAAAATCCCCTGAGTTGCCTGTATTAAAAGTTTCCTTAGTGTTTATGTAATGTTTTTTTTTAAATCTTGCATCGGAAATTGAGTACTTTATTTTTTTTTCTGAAATATGATTCATTTAATTTTTCCAGAGTTGGGATCCTTGTCTACTAGTGGTTTAATCATGGAAGTTAAGAAACTTCATGATTTAGCCTATCAGCTGGGACTGGAGGAAGCCAAGGAAATGACTAGAGGGAAATACTTGAATATATTCTCTTCACGGCGGCAGCGGTGAAAAATTAAGTAAATTTAATAGGATTATTTATGTTGTATGGTTAGGAATTAATATATTTGTATTGGAAACTAAAAAGGTAGTAATAAATAAAAAAGTTTTATTGTATAAAGGTTCCTATTATTAGTCTACATTGTAACTATTAGGTACTATTTAAACATTTCACTGACTAAAAACCTTCAGACTAAGACAAAGCACATTTTAATATAGGTTCCATTTTGTTGTAATACAAGTGACATGTTCAAGCATGTCTCTAGGGCCGGTCCACAAATCTTATTTTCAAGGGTTTATTTGGTCTAGATATGAAATTTCTTGTAGATTGGATATCTCCATAGTGGTATTCCAGTTTGTATTTTTGCACAATCTGAAATGAAAAAATTTAAAGTAATATTTTCAACCCTAAAAAAACCCGAAAGTAGGTGCTTTGTCATCTTGAAAAACAGTGCAATCATTCTTTATTTAGTTTTAAGCTACGATATAATTTGCACTTTAGGCTTGATCGTCGTTTTTTAACTTCATATCGGCCAAGTGCTGTTGTTATGAACTGAGGCTTGTTAAATCTTGAAAGTACCGGAAATTCCACTGACGGGTCGTAATTAGAATCGCCCCCTTTTTGTTAATAAATAGTTTAATGAAACTTTTAAACAGTTACAGTTTTCAAAATCTAAAGTTCGTGTAATAAAGTGTTCTACACCTGCCTAGACTTACTGTTCCTGCTAAGCTGAAAGTGAGTTAACATTTTGACGAATACCTGAAGAATACCTGTTTAATTCATAGTCATATCTAAATATGGTAATTCTCTTACTTTGGCGGTAAGCAGTGCCAACATCGTTTCTGCTATATTTTGTCCTAAGCATTTTCGGGGTCCAGAACCGAACGGTATAGAAGCGAAAGCGTGATACTCCTTAGCATCATCCTTAAGCCATCTTTCTGGTGTGAAGACTGCAGCGTCCTCATAGTTACCTTCTTTTAATGACGAATCTTGTGTTGACATTATGATTAATGTGCCACGTGGAATACTGTAACATGATGAATAGAAGTATTAAATCATCTAGTTACTAATTGCATCTAAGTTTTTCATCCAAAATGGGTAAGTAATATTATAAAGAGGTAAACAGTTCCCCTGAAAACGGTCAAAGATCGAAGAAGAAGAGAGAAGCTAAAGGTGTGAGCGCAAATTATTTAAGTGTTCTGTTCTTGAGGTTGCGAAGTACTTTCAGCTTCATATCTTCACAAATAAAGTGCGGAGTAGGCCAAGTCTGTATAATATACCTGTGGGTTAGTTATTTAATCATCTTACTAACTTGTATCTGTCCAAAGTAATATTTTTAGGTAAAACCCGGGTTAACACTGGTATCGGCGGCACTAGTCTGTAATGAAAAATTGTTTCATGTACATATTATTATCCTGTCAGTGTAAATAATTAAAGTATTTTAAATATAAAAAACAATATAGGTACTCTTTTAAAATCTTACTAAAATGCGAACATAGTAACACTACCAAAAATAAATGTTACCAGATCACGATCTACATGGATACTGCGAAAAACCATAGAACAGTCAAAGAAATGCGAAGAAGCGATCTTCAGAGTTTATCAATTGTTAAGGAATCACTTTATTTGCTGCTTTTTATTTACATATAAAAGTTTGTAAATTGTTGATAATATAAATGTTCGTTGAAAGCAATGATTGAAAATACCGGTCCAGACAAGTATCTCTTTCTTTTTATCACAAACCAAACAGAAATATGAAAATTATTTTCTGTATCAGATTACTTACCAACTTTTTTTACTTAAATTGCTTACCGTAATGTCTCTTTTATACAAGCCTGAAGGTAAGGAGTTTGATCAGTCAACTTTTTCATGTCATTTATAGAAAGGTTTGAATTAAGTTCGCGTATTTCATTGTATAATATCTTTTGTGCTCTCTGATATTTGGCTAAATAATAGAGAATGAAGGACATGGACGACGTTACCTGGAAAGAGACGTAGCAGAACATTAAATCTTAATCACTGCTAAAAAACTGACCTGTGTCAGTGTAGTTGTTAGTAAATCTAAAAAACTCTTTCGGTATAATCGAAAGTTCATATAGAAGTGTTTTCTGGGTTAAGGTATATAGATAAAGAGATACTCTATATTGCACACAAAAAAATATTGTTCAATCTAAAAATATCTTAAGAAATAGTAATAGATCTGTGATGCGATGTCTGTAAGACAACTGATGGACGCAGACTAAACTATACAGTTAAGACCGTACGTCTATAATTAACTGTCACAGACTTTAATATGCTTAAATAAATAAGTAATACCTACGCCTAAGTTTAAAATGAATTATTTCGCCTGTATCATTACATCTAACATCTCAATCTCAGCGTTAAATATAAATGATTTGACAAGAACTACGAGGGAGTGTTTTTATGTTCGCGGAATGGGGGATAAGGGGTGGAAATAAAAAACCAAATTATTTTTCCTTTCCAATATATTCACTTGCAAGACGGATACATTTTTCAGATCTTTCAATTAATTTGTTTACACCCTCATAAAAAAATGTTATCTCTTTGTCTTCAAAATACGCCGAAACTGCCTCCTTGACTTCATCATCGTTGGTAAATTTTTTAACCCGCAGCTCTTTTTTCATTTTTGGAAACAGGTAATAATCGCTGGGGGCCAGGTCTGGGCTGTAGGGTGGGTGATTGAAAATATCGAAGCCCACCTTATGCAGGGCAGCCAACGCAACGCGGCTCTTGTGGACGGGCGCGTTGTCGTGCAAAAGCAACACACCTTTTGTCAATTTTCCCCGTCTTTTCTCTTTAATGGCTTCTTTGAGTCGCTCTAATATTGAAGCGTAGTATTCTCCGGTTATAGAAACACCTTTATCTTTATAATCTATCAATAATATTCCTTCTGAGTCCCAAAAGACCGTTGCCATGAGTTGCCCAGCTGAATGTGACACATTAAGCTTCTTGGGAGGTGCTGTGCCCTTTTTATGCCACTGCATGGAGTCTTGTTTCGATTCAGGTTCATAATGATGAACAAATGAATAAATAAATGTGATGTGTGATGTGAATGATGAAGCCAAGTTTCGTCTCCAGTAACAATTCTACTCAATACAGCATCCTTGTCTTCATTACAAAGGTCTAAAAATGCACGTGAACACTCTACGCGCTGTTGTTTTTGCGTCGGCGTGAGCATTCTCGGCACCCATCTTGCACTGACCTGTCATGCCAAAATGATCGTGCAAAATTCTAAAAATGGTTGTATCAGATACTCCAACCATTTCTGCGAGTTGTTTCTTCTTTAGTCGAGCATCGTCAAGTACAATTTTTTCGACTTTTTGGATAAGTTCTGGCGTGATCACCTCGATGCTCCTGCCCGGCCTCGGGTCGTCTTCAAGGGATTCCCTTCCTTGTTTAAATAAACTGTGACATTAGTACACCATGGTTTTTCCTGGACAAGAGCCGCCGTAAACCAATGACATCTCATTCATTATGGTCGCAACTGATTTTCCTAGCTTGAAAAAGGAACTTTATAACGGCACGATATTCGATTTTTTCCATGTTTCACTTTTCACTCCCCATTATGTTGCTTGGTTGACGATAACTCAGACTGTCTAATAACAATGAAACCTGGTATTTACACTAATATGAGTCACTGAACACGTGACGATTCTAATGAGCCTAATCACCCCCCTCCAACCCTCATTCCGCGAACTTAAAAACGCACCCTCGTAAGTATGACGTCACGAAATAGTATCTCATACAAAAATGTCCCGCGTCTAGCGTTTTGACGTTTATAAAAAGACACTGATTTGACTTGACAGTTATCTACCCTATTATCATATTCAAATCAAAATTATCTTCTTTCCTTCAATTACCACCCTTAGAGGTGGCTTTTTTGTTTGAATTTGAATTGGACATTTTTTTAATAGTTTCATAAATCAAGTTCTGGGGTAACAAACAAAAACTAAAAATAGTAACATAAAAAGTTGGATTTCTATTTCTAATAATAAGTTAGGTTAATATTAAGGTTTAGGTCTTAACAGCACGGCAGCGCAAAATAAAAAAACAGCTGTAGAAAATAAAATGTTTTTTTTATGATATAGTTCGCAAACGAACAGACGAATCACCTGATGGCAAGTGACTACCGCAGCCCATGGACACCTACAAGTCAAGAACCACAAGTTCGTGCCACCCTTTGAGTGAGAGGGGGTTTTGTGATCAGAGGGCCAAGTGCGAGTTTATTTCACTTCTACTCGATGGTCACGCTGACCGCGTTCGACCGAAAATTTCAGCTACGATTAGCGCCGAAATTTTCCCAGCACTGAAATTTTCACCAATCGCAACGCTAAACGTGCTTGCCGTCGAGAGCGAGTCGATGTGAAATAAACTTGCACTTAGCCCTCTGAAGCATGTGTTAGTTTATTTTTCTTCTACTCGATCGTCACGGTGACCGCGTTCGGCGTTTGTGATTGGTCCACACTGAAATCTCCACCAAACGCGCTCACCGTCGAGAGCAATTCGATGTGAAATAACATTGATATAATACTTACATAGATGAGTAATTACCGCCTAAAATCGTTGCTACTGCACATATGTCCACAGGCATATGCGTAGCAAACGTCAATTCATTATTCAATGTGGCGTCAACCGAGTTGAACATAGCGACACATGACAGTAACAATCGCCAAAATGGCTAAATGCGTAGTGAAAGAATGCGATTCAAGGTCACAAAACATTAATAAATCATGCGGAATTACTTTTCACGTGTAAGTTTATGGTTTTTGTATTGATAATATCGTAAATAAGGCTATAATTGAAATAAAACACTGATAATTGTAATTTAGAATCAGTGTTACCATTAAAAAATCATTTTGGTTTTCCCACATTAGTGGGAGAATTTATAATTTATGAAATAATATGCTTTATACTGTTTTTAAACATTTTGCCAATAATAATAAAATATAGGAAGAACGGTAGTTGTTAGGGCTGGACCGATCCCTTTTTTTAGGGACCCGTTGAACGTTTTAAGGACCCGTTGAACGCACTGCGAGCTTGGCACTTCTGCCAAGCTCGCAGTGCTGGAGACTTTTGTACAAAAAAATTAATTCATTGTTTTTCTTAATTTATTATCAATTTTAAATAATAATTGTACAAAACAATAATAATAATAATAAATGTTTATCATAAAAATAAAAATATGAAATAAAAAAGTAAATAAACAAATATTTTTTTTTTATAAAATAAAAATAAAAAAAGATTTTTTTTTTTATTTGTTTTTTAAATTATAATATAATTTGCAATACACCCTGGGGATTATTTATTATCAGTACAAGTTGATCATTCACTTTTATTATTAAATGCTATTATTTTTACATACGTAAAAATAAGATTGTATCATGAAAGTAAAATATCCACACAAACTTATAAAAAAGAGTCTAAAAGACAATTGTATACAAAACTGATGCTTCACAGCGCAGTTTGATTTTACACTGAATATAAACCCTTTTAACCAAATATTTCCAGTTATTTTATTATTTATACCTATTCTATTCAATTCGAAATATATTATTTAGAATATTTAAATTAATTTATTTTATTACAAAATTGTTTTAAAAAAAAATTGTTTCTTAGTTGTTATGGGTAAAATTTCATACGGTAGTCAACACTGGCCCACCATCGTAAAGTTATATCTTTGTCTTTGTCTAATCCGAGCGATGGTATTGTTCTTGTCTCGCGTGTAAATGAGACATAAATATGTTTACTTTCAAATGTTTAGTGGTATCAAAGCTACGTCGTCAAAGTTCAAAAGTGGTTACACTTTTTTCGACGTGTGATAATGAGGTTTGCTTCTCTAGTGTTGTTTTAACTCAATGTGAAATAAACTCACATTTGGGCCTCTGGTAACTCACCCGACCACTTACTTGGTGAAAAGCAAAGTAAGCATATAACTAAGATAGTTTACGTTATTTTTAATACTTAATTATTTAATTTAGTATACATTTAATAGTAAACATTTAATGTATATTATATCTTCAGAGTCTTCATTTTAAATTGATTTACAATGTAGATCTAAGAAGAGATAGGATTACCGAGTAATTTTGCAGTTTAAAAATCATTTATATATTGTTTTGATGAGAAAATAAATAAAAGAATATTGCCATAAAAGGATGCTAAATAACCTATAATTATACGTTGAAGAGCAAAGAGGGATTCTTAAACATTCAATGACGATAGCGATTTTAAAATACTTACAGTATTCACTCCAATCAGAAGCATATCCATAATTATTGTAGCGATGTCTTCAGCACCCATTTTCTCTTCACCCATTAACATTGCATGTATCAAAGATTTATTTTCTATTAAAATAAGAGACTATTTTTTAGTAACATATTGCTTGTCTTCATTATTAAATGATTATTTTAATTAATAGTTTTTTTAATTTATAGTTTTTTTATGCATCCTTTCTGTTACCACCAGTGGTAACGGAAAGGATGCATAAAATATGGCACTACATTAAACTGACTCCTTATTTTATTTATTTTTTATTATCTTCCGAGGTATTATTTAATAATAAGGATTAAGCGACAAATTAGTAACATCTACCAACAGATATAAGTCCCTACTCTGTAGGTAAACTAAACATAACTTTGTCGCTCGCTGGAACTAATTCTTATTTCTGAATCTATAAACCGGTCATACGATATTACACTACACTTAAAAAGAGTCGGAGCAAAGAGATCTTGCATGTCTAGCATTAGACAGTTCGACTTATCCTACCTACTCGAAACTACTACTAAAAATCTTAAAAATATGCAATCATACAAGCCCTACGGCTCATACATAAAAAGTTTAATATAATATAAAAATATCGTGTACGTACGTAATGAAGTTCTTAAACATAACTTATGCATTTATCGATATCAATTATTTTTCATTCGTAAGATCACAACCATGACAATTTAAAAAAAAACTGAAGTTTCCAAATGTTAAAAGATAAAGTGAAACAAAGATATGGTGAAAAAAAACGTAGTATTTTATAATTATCGGATCAACTTTTATGACTTCATTTAGTTGTTTTTTTTTGTAATGGATACAATTTTTATGTTTTCGAATCGTTTACGAATCCTTGTGAACTCGACCAATTTCGGCGTTATCCTTAAACATTAACACAACGAATTGTTTTATTACGTCGTTCATCACAATCAGGAGTGGTGTCGTTAACAAAAAAAATTGTAACCGACACACCGGTGGTGTGGTTCACTGGTGACGTTTACAATGCACGAAAAATATATGTATAAGTATATAGGAATAGATATCTCAAAATATTACCTACAAATGTCTCGTAAATGACTATTAACTTACTTATTTCAGAAATGTCTTTTGTGAAAGAAATTGACTGTTCGGCCTCCATAACATGTTTACCGATCAAGCTGAAAATAAGAAGGTGGTATAAATGTATTTCGGAAGGATTAAATAAATGGGCTCTCGATCCAGATGTACACTATTGCACTTACACACTAAGAATCGCATCTTCATATTATATCATTTTATATGGAGACAATTATGACCTAGTGTACTACTACTAAAGTAGCAGTGGTTATGTAAATCAGACGCAGGTGTGATGATATGATTTATAGATCATGTGATTTAAAACATGTGAATGTGATTTTATTCCATCCCTACTACTATCCTCGACCGATTTCGCCAACGGCAACCTCTTCAACTCCGTTCAATTTGTCGTTGGTGTGCTCGTGTGTACATAGGCGATCTTATGACCTAGTGTAACAATATCCTATAGGTAGGACCAATGTACCTATCTACAACATGCTTAACTTATTTGCAGAGAAACGTTAAATGCTTAAAACTAGATGAGAGATCTTAATCAGAGATCGAATATAATTGTGTGTAAGTTTTACATACGAGGATCATTAAAAAACAACAACTGCACATTGAGACTGTTCTAATAAGACCAAACATGGTATATATGCTATAATTTTCTGAGTAGTTGGCTATCCCGCAGACTACTTGCAGCATCAAGTCCCAGGTTACCATGTCGAGGAAATACCATCAGAGTAACAGTATACCAAATTTCAGATCAATAGGACTTGTGGATTTTAGTGAGATGATGCTTAGGCTTTCTAATAAAACAATCCGCATCGAAATTGGTCCTGTCTGTCTGGTCATTAAACATAATTGATGCAGTTTCCTTCACTATGCACGAGACGCGCAGGGCGCCTCCCTACGATTCACCGGTCGCCATCTTGAACTTCCTTTTTTTGTGGGCAAGCGTCTTGTGCGCAATGCACTCTAATATAATTATTGGAAGTTACTTTACAATATAACAGTTCATCAACAGTCTATGACATGCCACTGCTGGACATAGGCCTCTCCACTGAAAGAAGGTTTTGGCCTACTATACCACGCTGGCCAGACGGGTTGGTATAGGGTTTGTTTCAAGTTTTCCTTCTCTTTGCAGTACTGTTGTCTTGCGAATTTTTCTCCCTTAGTCGACTTTTACGACACCCACGGGATGAATGGGGTGGTGACATTACGTATTCTTAATCCGTCACCACACGGAAAATATAACAGTTACCAAGTTCATAAGTCTCGTTATTTATTTCTACCAGAACCACAGCTATCGAACGTAACATAATAATAATGTTATCGGACATCTTACACACAACGCGACCTAGTTTTAAACTAAGTGGAGCTTGTACTATGAAAGCTAGATTCACTAATAAAATACTTATAAACTTTTTTTGTAAATACATACATATTATACATAGAAAGAACCCAAACTTCTAAACTGATCACACAAACATTTGGTCCTACCCGGGAATCGAACTCGATTCCTCAGCACAGCAGTCGCATACGCTACCAATGCACCACCAAGGCAGTCAAATCGATTAATAATGGTTTAGTCTTATTCTCTTAGTCTTAGTTGTCCTTAACACTGCTATTTACATTAAGCCCTTAAACTAGTGCTTCAGGCATAGGTAGGTACATCTACTACGGTGCGGTTCTAAGAAAGCAGCTTTTTTGAAGGAGCACTTTTAATCATTTTTTACATACCTATCCAGATTGTCACAGTATTTTACCAGCGATGACCACGCAGGTGTCGGGAATAATTTCCAGAATTGCAATCCAGATTCGCACTTGATGATTGCTTCGGTGGCCTTCTCAAGGCTGTGATACAACCATGACATATCGCACTGACTGTATACGAGCTCAGTGTCCAGCATAGTGAATCTCTTTGAGAAGAGTATCAGTCCTGAAATCATTTACTCTTTTTGTTTCTAGCGCTGTTAGAGTTAACATAATTTTGCAAGCTTTTTATCAGAGTAGTAACAAGCCTAATGAAAAGGAAGCGCCTGAAAGTATGTAAATGACTACATCAAGGATAACGACGGTGGCACGGTCTTTAATATTCTTTAGAAAAATATGACTCCACCGGAGTGATACCAGAATCTCACAAAAACCCAGTTTCAAGCAATTCTTTTGTTGCATTTCACCGAGCGTGTGAGACCCTGGGTGACCAACTCCTCCGCCTCACAAATACAGTTCAGTATAGACTCGACTTCAGCAATAAGGAAGATGACCAAGAGGAAAGAAGGCGCATTAAAATTAGTGATGTTATTTTTAAATGCGAGATCTTTACGGTTATACTTACCCATACAATCGAAAGCCCATTTATGTAGCTCCTTATAAAGATCCTTAACCAACTGGTCCTGATAGTTCCTGGAGTTGTATATTTTTCCAGTAAAACTATCGCACACATCGTTGATACCTATTAGATGATGTACAATCGAGTCGTTTAGAGGGTTAACAACTAACGTTCTCTGGCGACACCAATCGTTGCCTTGTCTGTAACATAATGGGATTATGAAATGTTATCCGTTCCATCGCGGTTGTGGTAGCTCCTAAGGGTCGTGATGTTAAAAAGTCGTAAATACACAATAGTAAAGAGCGCCAGAGCAGACAGAACTAGAAACTTCATAAATTAATTTAGTAGCAGAAGTAGAAAATTATCATTTTTATAGTCAATCATCAAGAAACACGTAACAGAGGAAGCAAATGGCAATACTAAAAACTTACACTGTATACAATCCGTAGGTATGGTGTCTATGTTCTGATCTATACTTCTCCAAGGAGTCCAGAGTCGACCTCACAGGATATTCGCCTTCCATGGTATAAACTTTCTGGATATGGTCCGGGTGATTAATAAGTACTATATCTGAGCCCACGGGACTAATAAAACGAACAACTGGGCCGTATTCGTCAAATAATGACGATAAATTTTTCAACGGCTTTCTAGTATTTATATACGTTCCTGAAAGAAAATTCGGCTTCAGGTTAGGCTACGAATACGATACTATCGTCAGCGTTCAAAAGATAAAATAGTAAGGCTTACAATTTTCTACGCATACTGGAGATACTTGATCATCCTGCCTAAACTTAAACCAACCAAGCAGGCCACAGTTAAATGTTATTCTAGAATATTAATTTCTACCGGTAAGCACGGTCAACATCAAAGCTCGACGGGTAAGGGACATAGGAACGCAGGGTATTAAATGCACTCAGTGGGATAATTGACACCATTAGTAACATTTCTTCCTCCATTATTATATGTATTAGGCAGCCGTAAACTAGGGTAACGGCGGGTCGGGCACGCCGTCATCGCGGCGGTAAGACCCGTTATGGAGGATTGGCTCGAGAGGCGTCACGGGACTCTCTCATACCGACTGACGCAGATGATAACTGGAAAAGGATGTTTCGGGGATCACCTGTGTCTGATCCGCAAGGAGCCAACGCCTGAGTGCCACCACTGCGATGGCCAGACCGTGGACACGGCTCTCCACACGCTGACAGAGTGCCCGGCGTGGGTTGAGCAGAGGCGAGACCTCGTGGCGGCCATCGGAGTGGGAGTTCTCTCGCTCGATAGCCTGATTGCGGCTATCGCGCAGAGCGAGAATGCGTGGAACTCTGCCGTCTCCTTCTGCGAGCAAGTTATGCTCGCGAAGGAGACGGCGGAGCGGGACCGGGAGAGGTTTAGAACTCTCCCGGATCGCCAGACCCGGGAACGGACTAGGTACCGCAGGCGACTCAGGCGCCGGATGTCGCAGAACGACCTCCGTCCTCCATAAGCGCAGGCCTGTGGGTGACAGGTAAGGCCATCTGTCGCCCTAGCAGAAGCAGGCCGGGGTGGCGGCGAGCGCCTTGCGAAGTGCGCTCGCTTCCAGGGAGCAGAGGGAACATGGGGTTCCCACACGGGGGGGGGGGGGGGTCGTCTACTCGTCTGTAGATGGCGCGAGGTATGTCGGGGCACCAGGGACATCCTTTCTAGGGTATACCTGGTTCCCCGGCTATTAGTACCCGAGACGGCGTGCGGTTTTAGTCGGTTCGAGTCCGACATGCCACCGATAGGTGGTATCCGCCGGGATTTCCGCACGGAAAAAAAAAAGGGTAACAGCGGGTCAATTGTACGCTATTACAACCATCAAAGCCGGTCTTTGTTTAACCCAAGCGTTATCCGCCCGGTTTACTCAAAACCCTAATAGAATACCTCGTGAAAACCTATTTATGCATTTAATTATATTTGTAACTATCATATAATAAACCCGATGACTGGGCCAGGGGTTTTTATAATTACGTTGCAAAAAAACTCTTCGGATCAGAAACATCTTGTGGTTTTAGATATCGAGATATAGTTGTCAATGATGATGATACTACTTTTACATGCTTATTAACTGCATAGGATCTGTAATTAGCGAAATGTGTTCAATACATAAACTATCCCTTTTCACAGGAATCATCATCTTCACGAATTGAAATTGCCAGTGAGTAATAAATGTTAAATGTGTAAAGTTAGTGGGAATATACTAACCCACATTAAGGCCAACTGTTATGAAGCCAGCAGTGAGTTGAGTGCCGACTTCCGAAAGATACTGACGAAATCTTGCTAAATGTTTTAAAGCTTTGGGGCCCGGCACGTCATCGAATGACAAAATTACAGGTTCTTTATTTGTCAATACCATCGGAACTACTTTAGCGGTAGGAAATATCTCGGTTGACATAATTGTTTCGTCTTTCTCAGTTATATTCATGGAAACCGCCCTAGGCTTAGTAGCGTGCTGTTGCTGCATAATCATTTCCTGGGCTTTTACGCACTGTCTTATAGTTTTCTGGTAAAAACGTTTGTTGCAAGTGATTAAACCCATCTTGATATTGTTATATGGCTGAAAATAGCGCAATTGATTTAGTATCATTTTTACTATCTTTCCGTTTCGTTTACGAAAATATTATTCACATCAACAAGATACGTTGTTTCTCTAACAAACAAAAGAAGTTTAAATAATTCGAACTCAGCGCCTTTTTCTTCTAGGCATTGATTTTACTCTATGCTTTTTTTTTCTTTAAATTTACGAAATATAGTTTTAAGATAATATCATCTTCAAAACTAGTGTGATATGTACACTTTTCCCTTTTTAATTTTTTTTTCTTAAAATTATTATGTTAATATAAAATATTGTTCGGTAAGATATTTGGGGCGTAACGAAAAAACATCATTTCCGAACGCAGGAGACGTAAATTACTGCCAGTAACAATATTTGTTTTAGTACAAATTCTCTACTACAAAATCATAAAACTTCTAGTTCAAGTTATTTTATGTCAAATGGGTTGACAAGGGAACGTACCTTATTGAATTATTGGACGTTCTGATCCCGTAACTGGCTAACTTTAATAATAAGTCAATAACATTTTTTTATTTGGTCGGAGTCATGCGGAACCTACCTACACTTTAACTACCTACTTGTTTAATTTCTAAAATAGGTTGAACTAATTTAAAGTTTGATTTTTAATGAAAAGTTTATATCTTAACTAAATATAAGTTTAATGTTTTGTGCTTGCAGTACGATTTCTTAAAATATAATGGTAACACATCTCTGTCAAATTTGCAAATTGTCGCTCAAGCGAAGAATAGCGAAGCGAGTGTGCGAGCGAGCGAGCTAAACTGGTAGATGGCGGGAGTGATCTCGTGTGATATAACTGTGTTAGATTAGTTTTTAAATTAGTAGTGTTTAATTTTTAGAATAGTTATTAAAATGACTAGGTAAGATAATAAATTATCAATTTACTAAACTGCGAATCTTTACGAAGTAACCTGTTTCGCGTATTACGATGCATAAATGAGGCGTAATGCCTGTTCAATATCGTACAATATTACCTATAAAATTACATATTTGCCTTTACAGAGCTAAAATAGAACTTGGCGACGTGACTCCCCATAATATAAAACAGCTGAAGAAGCTTAATACAGTGGTTTTCCCAGTGTCTTACAATGATAAATTCTACAAGGATGTTTTGGAAGCTGGTGAACTCGCTAAGTTAGCATATTATAACGATATCGTCGTGGGAGCAGTATGCTGTAGAATAGACACGTCGGAAAACTCTCGAAGACTGTATATCATGACCTTGGGATGCTTATACCCTTACAGAAGACTTGGCATTGGTACTCTGATGGTAGAACATGTGCTCAAATATGTTGAACAGGATGGCAATTTCGACAGTATTTTCTTGTAAGTATATATTTATTATAATTATTTTACTACTGGAAACTATGTTTGATACCTATAATGAGATTTTGAATGTTATATTTATAGCCTGAAGGTTATGAATCTGTGTAGGTATAGTGTGAACCATTGCCACATTTTAAATTCTATTTATCAATGTATAAACAACTAGTGCAGGTAATCTATATTTTGCCTACTATGATATATATATATATATGTTCTTTTTATTAATTTAATTTATAAAAAACTGATACTAAGAAAACCTCTTACAATTTTAACTATCCAGAAATGATTTTAGGTTGTATATTAAAACATATGTAAAAATATGACCACCAAACATCTCTATCCTTCAATTTTATTTATGATGATAATGGACAAACCATTTCAGGAATACTACTTTAAACATTCCTTTTTTTTTATATATATACCCTATACTTTACCTATGTATTTATTATTAAACCACAAATTAATTCCAAATCCACAATAGCAATATTACTCTCACAGCATAAGGCTCTCTAAAACAAATAGAAACATAATTTTAATGATAGTCAAGTTAGAACTGTTGTGCTGCGTCTGGGAGTTCTTTGTGTCTGTTTCATTAATCCTTGTAAAGTCCTAGCAACCTGATTTGTTCCTAGTACTGGAGTTGTCTAATAAAGGGACCAAATTAATAATTAGACTAACATATCCAATCATATATATTTATTAGGGATGGAAATAAATCACAATCACATGGGATAAATCATTTTTGATCATGATTCACCTGTGATTGATTAACAAAACCACTGCGACTTAATTATTAAGCTGGCGCAAGACTCGAGAAAGGTGTAAATCTAAAAGGAGGTTGTAATCTTCAAAAAGAAGAATTTTGATTGATTTTAATGCCATTTATATTTGTCTATGACGAAATCACAATCACATGTGATATCGCTGTGGTCTAAAACCAATCATTTCATCAATATGATTTAAAAGTAACAATAATTCCTTGTTTAATATTTATGCGTTATGTTAGTAAATTAATATTAGATGAGTGGGGTTATTACATGAATAACATGCTTGTCACTAAGCCTTTTGACTATACTCTTCTAAGTCTGCAAGTGCTGACAGGTGCTCATAGCTATCATCATTGTTATAATTGGGAAATAAATTATTTGCTAACATGTAATTCTTTTCACATCACATTAAATCAACAGCCTCTAATAGTCCACTGCAGGACATGGGCCACTACTTAGAAAGGAGGTTTTGACCTACTATTCCTAATTCTTTTAAAAAGTAACAATTATGTTAATCTTCTGTAAATTTTAAAATTTAAAACTTGCCATTGTGCAAATTATTTAAATGATTTCAGCAACTTATAATCAATTATTATATTAGTATTATTGTTTAATTTAAATTGTTATAAATAATACCAAACAGTGCACAGTAAACAGTTGTCAAAACATCGGTTTAACTTGTATATTTCAAAATAAATATGCAATGTAATAAGTATGAAAATTGTTCTATGAATGAGTCTTACACCATCAAATAAAGAATCAAGCAACATATAAATAAAGACCTTAAAGAATAAATAAAACAGAAAACATATTCAAACACTGATATGCTGTCCAAAAAAGTCTTATACTCAAAGTGAGAGCTTTGAGAACAATAAATACGACCGCCTTCTGAATAACTGCTCACGATTCGTCAGCGCCGTCAGCTGCACGCCCTCACCACCCTCTATTCCATACTCAACTCACCTATTTCCCCTTCCTACCTAACATCCTCATTTGATTTTCTATGTGCCAATCACAACAGAACTCTCCGTTCATTAAACAATCCACTTCTGTTATGCCCCACTCATACTTCCGCATGTGTCCACTCTTCGTTCTTAATCCAATCTGTCCTCCTCTGGAACGCTCTGCCTTTGGAAATCAGGATAGCACCCAGTCGCCTCTCATTTAAGACGAAAGTCCGAGCTCGAATTCTCGACACTTTAGCAGACTCATCACATCCCTAAAGTCTTATATGTTATATGTAGATATAGGTATGTACTATATGTATGTAACTCAGCAAGTATATATATGTATGTGTATCTCAGTATGTATGTAACCTAATTTTAATTTCATGCACCTACTCAGACATTTCCCCACCACCCAAAGGTAGACTGGGAGAAAATGCCTTTGGCATTAAGGCCGCTATTGTACAATGATTTGTTATTTGTGCAAAAAGAATAAAATAAAATAAAATGAACTTTCAGCGTTGTTTTCAAAGTTACATTTTACTACTTACAATCATCGTAGAGATGTCATACAGGGCTCATTTTTTTCGTTTTGACGTCTACTTTTTAATTAAATAATAAAACAATACAGCTTCCATTTGTCAAACATGTCAAACATGTCTAAAAATTGAAAAATATAAAAAAAAAAATTTTGCAAAAACAAATTTTTTGGTTATTGTTAATAATTTGTTATAAATAAAAAAAAAAAACAAAAACTAATAAGACCATTGAATTGTACGGTATTGAAAACACGAAGAAACATATGTTTTCCTATTTAAATATTTTTTTTTATTTTTTGTACAATACTGCTATAAACATTGTAATAGCATATTCCGTGTTGTTGAAAGATGTCAGGTAAGTACATACAATGCGCTCGACTTTTACTTTAATAATAAAAGTTCCTCATTTCTCGCGATGAAATTAATTAATTCAATTGTTGCTCTTCTGCATTGTTTTACTGGATGTGATACAACATCCGCTTTATTAGGTTAAGACAATTTTTAAAATACTTTCTCTTTTGTTTTGCACATCAATGAAACATAACAACCCAAAAAAATCTGTAGTTGGATGTTTGTGTGTGACACTACACAAATAAACTAAACAAAATTAATTGAAAGTCAAGTAAGTGATTGTTATACAGTTTGTGTAACATCATTTCATTGTTACCATAAAACATCTTATTATTAAACAACACTCTTTACATCATCTTTAATGAACACCAAATAATGAGCAGCTTGGATCTAATTTGTACACTATTTTTACCTTCTCATTGCCAAAATTAGCATTTAACTTATGTATTGTTATCACACTCATGAGATCAGGGAAAAGCATTCAAAATAGAGTTTCAAATTTCTAAGATTTATAAGAAATTACTGATAAAAGTAGATCATTTCTATTAAACTTGATGAATCTGATGAACAGGGATCTCTTCCCTTCATCTCGTCCTATGTTATGTTGGGTGTCAAAATTAAAAAAGATAAAAAGAAATGCTTTTGCTCTTTTTTAAGCAGTGTAGAGTAGGTTGTACACTATACCTAAATAAGTGTGTGTGTTCTGCTATATATGTAGTGAATATTCTATCTTTTTAGTTATTAATTTTTCTTATATTGTTTTTCTACGGAAATATGAATTCATCCTTGATAATTCAAATACATATTTCCAATTTATTTTAATAGATATTGTTAATGATCTGAAGTAAAAAGAATAAAAAACCATCTGTAAGACTTACCAATAATATCAGGATTCTCTTAAAATTGCTATTCACAAATGTATCAAATCAAAACTAAGAAGTGGCATATTTCTGTTAAGCAGTGCCAGTTTCTATGAGACATGCGAATTTTGCAGTAATCTTTATATTGTTATTGATTTTTCTATTATACAAGTGGCAGTAGTATATACAATTGGGCCAAACCCTCCTTTCTAAGGAGAGGCCTATGTTAACACAATAATATACCTAACACATGTTACACATGACCCTCTGATCCCAAACTAGGCAGAGTCTGTGCTATGGTAACCAGACTGCTGATAAACATACTTATATATTTTTAAATACATACATATTATAGATAAATTACACCCAGACAGAACAAATGATCGCGCTCATCACACAGTATTTGTCCTGGATGGGAATCGAACCCACGACCTCCGGCTTAGCAGTCAGGGTCACTAACCGCTAGACCAACAGGCCCGTCGAGTTGATGATGATGATGATGATGATGATGATGATGATACAAGGGGTTCCAAATAGCATTGAAAACTGCGAAAGATACATTTTGCTTTTTTCGAAACTGTATCTTTCCTGTAAAATACATGTAATTTTCGAAAAAAACAAACTACTGTTCAATGTCACTATCACTGGCTCCGTCGTAAACTTCATCCGTTTCATGAAATGTAGGTTCGTTTTCATTCGAATAGACAATTTTTAGATTAGAGTTTACAAATATTGATTTGTTCAATGGACCTACCGTCAAACTGTTGCGATCTTTGGTGTGAGTTTTTCAAATCAAAGACCATTTAACGACACTGGATTTTCAAACATTCTTACAACAAACGGAGATAAGAGCTTTGACAGACACAATCCTTGCCACCAGTCGCGTGGATGAAGTTTGTTTCGGTAAATGCGTTAAGGTGGGCATGGCTCATCAAGGACACCCGACCAGCACCGCTGTTAGTGTTCTTTGTATGGAGTACTATAGGTGTGCGCTCAGTACATCAACTCCGGAGCGCTCCGCCCGCGGGTTGTCCACGCGCGGACGGCGAGTCGTCCACTCGATGACCACCTATGCGCTAGTGGTTCACGCGCGAGGGCGATGTATCGTCGGCACACTGCCCCTCGAACGTGCGTTTTCTGGTTAACAACGCGGCATCCACCCGTGGACCACCAGTCGACAACGAGTGAACATCGAGTCGAGGTGGTGCTGGTTGGGTGTCGGGTGGGGTGTAATGATATATAACATTAACATAGCAATAACATTCCATTGCATTAACAGTAAGGAGAATAATGCATCTAAATAAAAGGTTTCCATAGCAACTCATTGCTCCAAAATCGACTTTGTGGCCTATAATTCTGAAATACCAAGGTGTTCTTTATGGACAACATAACAGTAACTTTTGATATACGAGTATAAGGTGTAGCTGATGGATATTCGTTGTCATCAAGGCTCACTTCTTTAGTGGTAATATAATCATATTAATGCGAAAAATACACCCTCAGAACATGTAAAAAACTTAAAATTACGAAAGATTCAACCGAAGATCTGCAAGGAAAGTTTCTATATTTTATTGAAAAATACATATGCGTTTGTAAGATACATGTATATCAACGCTAGTTAGTTAGAAAGTGATTTATATTTTGTTTATACAGAGATTACTTACTTTGGTTAAAGATAATTATTATTAATTATATTTGTTTTCTCATGCTCTATTGACAAATTAATTTGTAAGAAATCAGCTATTGTGATGGTGCACCATGTTTGTATTTGCAAGTAAACCTAAATTATTGCAAACTAACATTTTTATTTGCAGGCATGTCCAGGTGAACAATGAGGGTGCAATAGATTTTTATAAGAAGTTTGGATTCGAAATTGTTGAGACTAAAGAGCATTACTACAAACGGATAGAGCCAGCAGATGCACACGTCTTACAAAAAACGATCAGAGCGCCACAACCTCCAATACCTTTACTCAACGGATCAGTACCACATGCGAAGACAAATGGACATGATTGAATATAGAACAACACACAAAACACCATGTACTTGTAGAGCCTCAACTTGGCTGTTAATGTGAAACAAGTGATAACATATGTGTAAGAATCATAATAAAAACATTGAGTGCATACAGGATTGATATACATTAAGATATTTGTAATGGATGGGTTAATCAATAAGATGTGGTTGTGGACGCATGAGGCCATAAATTATATAGTACTAGAAATGACTGATATTCCATTCAGTACCATAAAAATGTTGTACAGAATATGTTCATAATAATACATACATGTTGACTAAATGTATTGACTACATTGCAATATGTATTGTCTAGTACACTTTGCAAGTTACTATGACTTAGGAAATAGCATTGAACTTGTAAATTTATTCTTCTCAATATTTCAATAGGTATATGTAAAGTAACAAATAATAAAACTTAGCTCTAGACATTCTTTTAACTATATTCGGACATAAAAATTCTGTCAGTTTTTTACTATACTTGTATATTGTGGTGTACTATGTAGTCATAATGCTCCATGTTCATCATGTCTAATTAGTAGTGTTTCTTGGTCCAGAACAGAATTTTGGATATTCATCTCGTGATTAATTAGTAGTGGTGTTTCATATCAATTGCATTTGTTTTTCAAGCAATGAGGAAATGATGAATTTTGATAAGCTGTACTGTAGGACTGGACATTTTTTTAACGACCGCTTTATTATTGCACGACGGAAATAAAATTATTTAATTAATGTTGAGTTGTACTGAAATTTTTGTTTTGTTAAGATTTTACACTGTCTGATAGTTAAATAGATTTTTTTATTTTGTAAACGGTATCTGTATAAGTAGTGATTGTATTGTTGTTACCAAAAAGTCAATTGACCCTTGTCAACAACTCTGTAAACAATAACTGTTTGTAAACATCATGTTCACTGCAACCTTAGCATTATTACTATAATAAAAATAATTAACATTTTATCCTGTTTAATTTTATTTCACTATTAATACGATTGGTTCATCGTGGCTAGGTCTAGTTCATTAAATTGAGAATGCCCCTTCGAGTATTATTCTTGAACAACAATACAAAGTGTAAACACGCTTAAAGTCTGTTGGCGTTTAAGACATTATTAGAATCATTTAACTATAAATAAATCAAGTGCACTATTTTCTGAATTGATAATATTTATTATTCGCAGGTTCGATACCTGATGAGCCCATTTACATTTTGCTAGCCACGGTCGAGGCGAGGATCTATTACGGGAGATCAAAGAAATAACATTGCTAAGAAAGTTACATTTATGTTCTTTGCGGTGGTGCTACACATTAATTACTTTTTTTGGCGAGAGTTGATACAAAATAAATTAATTTTCTTACTTCTACCTGTGCTTCTACCTCAGTAGTCCAATTGAGTCGGTCCAATAAGAAATCTGATTTGCTTTGTAAACAGCAAAAGGTTTAGACCGCGTTACTACTAACAAACAGGAAAAACTAAGTTTGTTATGTATGTATGTATTATGATTCGAATCGTGAAGAATATCGAATAAGTGCGGATAATAAACGTTACACATCATCGATTTGACGGAGGCAGACGTGCACCATCAAGATGGTCATCTCCTAACCACGACCAGGGCAACCTGCTTAACACGCAGGCCATATATTTTGGGATGAGAAGGTTAAAAATCTTACTTCCGTCTACGAACTGGTTTTTCTTTGTATCCTTGGTAAGACGGTCAGGATGATGTGAAAAGGCCAGAGGGCCTAGTGCTAATTTATTTCACATTGACTCGCTCTCGAAGGCGAGCCCGTTTAGCGTTGCGATTGGTGGAGATTTTAGCGCGGGTCAATCGCATCGCCGAACGCGATCACCGTGACGATCGAGTAGATGTGAAATAAACTCGCACTTAGGCCTCAGGTGGGTGGTATCATCACACCGTGTTTTATTGTTGTGTTTGGTGTGAGACATGAATCGACAGCTTTTGGGCATATCTAGTAGTGCTTTAAACTTCAAACAGTTTAAATATAGTAACTTAACGAGTTGGTCCAGTCCCAGTCATAACTCGTTTAAGTAGTAACTTAGTAGATAGTAATCAGTCACTTTGTTCTGTTTATAAGCAACAAACTAAGCGATCGATCGACACCTGTTGTCACTAGAATGCGAGCCTTCTTCACAATGTTAACGATCAACGTGACCATGCTGCTGAGATCGTTACCTGTAGGCGACGATGCGGCTGAAGTTTATGACGCATGCATGTTGTCCCTAGTTTATTATGATGTTAAAGTACAAAGCTTATGCCACAAAATGAAATAACAGATAACACCGTTCAATATACGTCGGTTAAAATTTGAAATAAAGTACGAAATTACAGAAATGCAAATTTAGAATAAAATAAATGCAATAAAATTATTGCCAAATTAGAACACCATTGTTAACATGAGTCGCTGAACTGTAGAGGAAAGCGACGAAAAGCAATAAGACTAAACCATTATTAACTCAACAAAACTTTTCTAAAAACAAATACCTCACGAACAACAACAATATTATTTTACCGTAATTTGTCGCGAGCGCATCTACAAGGACACAGAACAGCATAACACTCGCCGGTGGCCAAGGTCTGTACTTACCAGATGAACTAATTAAAAACGCTTGTCCTTCATTCTGATGACGCAATAATCAACAAATTTCGTTCGATTCGAGTGTAGTAAAAGCGGCAACGTGTGATTACCGCGCCGCGTATACAGCTGATCGCCGCCTGAGGTCAATGTATTATGACTGTATTTACACATGATGTTGCAAATTACGAAAACAAAAGAAACCTGTTTCTAAACCACTGAATATGTTTTGTTCATATTTTGCAAATCGTCTAGAAATAAAGTGCAGAATATGCCGTTCACAGATTCGTTAAAAGGTAGATCACACGTTGTATATTAATGTACTGATATCAACGGCCTTTAGTAGTTCTGCTGGCCTCGCCTTAGAAAGGAGGTTTCGTCCTACTATACCACACTGTCCAGATAGGGTTTGTGTCAAATTCTGTGGTGATGAATAGTGGTGACACTGTATTCTTAATCCGTCACCACACGGATAGATTGTTATAATTAGTAGTAATTATAATAACTTCATGCATCTCGCATATTCCAGTCTCATCCCAAGCCAGGCAGAGCCTGTACTATGGCAACCAGACTGCTGATTAACATACTTACATGCATCTAAATACTTAAATATTATAGTTAAATTACACCCAGACACAGAACAAATGATCGTGTCAATTAATTCTACATTACTAAGTGGGTCAGGCTTGAAAGAGATTACACATATTTGTTGCATTCATTTATTGAATAACACAAGACATTGTACAATATTGTCATTATTGACTAGTTGTTATTACTTTGGACAATGGACATTAAACAACTATTTCGATTGCAAATATATTTTATCAAGTAATGTGATGTAATCCGTTTACATAAAGCCTATATTAAAGTGTCCATCTAATATACTGCTCACATAAATTTATAAATATAGCTCTATTTATAATAAAATGTTAGTTTCAATAAGTTAATGTATGGATATTTTTATTCTATAAAAATATTCATAAGTACATTTTTTACAATTTGATAAATTACATAAACAGATAACACTATTTTTACATAATGAATTTAGATTTAGAATACTGTTAGTTACGCTTTTGGAAAGCTTCAATTCACTATCACAGACTTGTTGTATGGCATTTTATTGCATTTAAATTATTCGTTCTTTAATAAATTACGAATGCCAATACAGTAAAAAGGAAATGAAAAATAAAAAAGAATTTCATTAATTTTGTAATTACGAATTTTGTATATTTTTCAAGACCATTTTTTGTGATTTGTTGTAATATATTATAAATTTATTCGTGTAATGGTAGGTACATAATTAATTAATAACATTTACATACGATTTCGTAATACAGAAACATAGATTTGGTCTTTGAATATTGACATCGAATATGAGGATCAATTTTTTAAGAACACATCCAAAGCTAAGTATAATAAATACATCTATATAACATATCCAGTTGGTAAAAGAAAACGTTCCATGTAGCATTATAGTATGATGGAATATTATGCATAATACATTCAACTACGACCTAGGTCTACTTGCACTACAAAACTGTGACAAATAGAGCACAAAATAGCACATCTAGCAAGAAATGACATAATTGTACATTGAACACAGAAGTGGAAAAATGCTCCGTTTTTGAATTTAGAAACCCTTTACCATTTTGATATACACTTCACTCCGTACATTTTGATTCAAAATTAGTATAAAATATGTTATTTCATAAAACAAATTTATCAAAAATATACAACAAAGAATTGAGCTTTCAATATTTTAACACACAATGATATTGAATGATGGTCCATAATGTTTTATTAAGATTGATTTTGATGTTTTTCATGAAATACACTTCATGAGCCTCCTTATAAAATATTAAACGATTAAAAAATAATTTTTGTTACGGAGATGTAAGACAGATACCACTGCGTTTAATGCTTTGGATTTGATAATTTTTATTACAATGTAGACTATTAAGTTTTTACGATATAATATTACTATTTTAGACTCATAAATACACTTCCATAGCCAATGGTGTTTTGAGTATATCCCTACATAGTTCGTCGTCTGGTAATAAGGTTAATATACTTACGTACCTACAAAATCAGTCGCAGTAACTAAAATAAATAATTGTTTAAATAATTGATAACAGATTGAATTGGATTTAGTAAGTGTATTCCGAGTCTAAACGAAACATTATAGACACTCATATTACAATAAACAGATAAAGCTTTAATATAACACATAATGTAAATATAATTCACAACACTGCGCAGGGAAATAACGATACATTTAAAAACAAAGAGTTTAATTACAATAATTTAAATAAATGCATTTCCTGTGACACACAAATCACATTTGGCGATACTGTATAAAGGTGCCAGAGTCATTAAAAAGAAAAATTAAATGTGATGATAAATTAATGTGGGATCTATGATATATTTTTGTTAATAATTAATCAGAATATACTTTAAGATCATAAATCCTTCCGAATTGAGTACTAGTAGTAACTACGGACCTATCTATAGTAAATATGCCTAGTTCGCATCAGACCAGTATTTTAGTAGTGTCGAGTAATTTACTGACTATGCGTGTCTGAAGAACAATAAATAACAAGAAAATATAATATATATAATTATATTTTTATTCGAGTGAATTCATTTTGTATTTGTCGGGCGAGGATCATCCCCATCACGCTTCACTCCTTACTGGTTCTTATCAGTTAAGGTCTAAACCATTTAGTCTATTTTTTAGCTGCTGCACAAATATCGTTTCACGGAAGTAAATAAATAACTTTAAACATCAAAAGGTACTTTGGCATCTTTTTGAAGACAATTTCTTCAAAGTCAGTTTGTAGCTTCTTACTTCATTTTTTTCTATGAATTCCTTTTTGTAATTATAGCTTTTTTTTATAACTTAACTTTTTTTAAATAGTTATTACAATAAGCTTAATTAGTTCACTTTGTTGCGTTGCGACATGTTCATCTAGCAGAACACTACTCTCTTACGTTCTGGCAGTAATTGCGCAAAAACTACAATTAAATTACTAGTCTAGAGCGAACCAGACTATACAAACTGAGTGTAGCTCAAAGCAGCATGGTAAAATGTTGCAGTCATGTTCAAATCATATCAAACTGTGGGACATACAAGATACATCTTATTATACGCATAGTTATAGACTATTCAATACATGTGTGCTTCATCGAACTGTGAACTTTTATAGCAAAACTTAAAATTAACCAACGAGTATATTATTTTTATTGTACCTAAGAATTTTATCACATCCAATTTTCCAAGCAGATACGGTACAAGAGAGAAAGCGAACATGATAAATTATTTTATTACATTCTTGTAAGCCAAAATATACGATGAACTGAAGAGATTACGAGTGCTACATTTTTTTTACACAATGTATTAATGTCCCACTGCAGAGCAATAAGTAGGTATGTAAATTTAACTTTATATAGTGACAATTGGTAATCGAGAGTGTACGTTACACTCAATAGGAATTCAGCCCGTATAATACCAAGACAACAAAATTATTTGTGTTATTTTAACGCGTGAAGAACCAACAACATTATTCATATTAATCTCAATCAACAATATAATTTTAACACCAATGTTTTTATTCAGACCCAGTAAGTAGACGTAAGTAGAAGTAACATTGACCATTCTTTTCGCACTCTTCATCGAAAGTGTTGTTTGTATCGAGGAAATAGGCTGTATTAACAATTAGATAGGGTAGAATTTCAACCCTTTGAATCCTATGTACGTTTTTGTGGTTATGCTATTTTCTATCACGCTTCCTGTCTCAGCAGAATTTTATCCAAATGACATTTTTTTATTTTAAGAATTAATCAAGACATGTCATTCTTAAATTATCTAATAATATTACATTCCACTTCCGAAATTATAATATAAAATAGTAGGTACAATGTATACATCTGCATAACCCATTTTTGAGCATGACTCGTATATATTAAAATACTTTAATTAACAGAACCACGGATAATTTAAAAGTAACTTAACAATGACATGTAATTTATTATGACATATAATTTCAGAAGACGCGTTCACGTTCGGTTGCATTACTTTGATTCAAAGATATACCACGTCGCCACAAGCACCTTTAATATATTTAGTCATTATTTTCCTAATTTCAGTGGACTAGTGAGACATATCCTTACCCACACACCAGAGACAAAAAGTACCATAGACAATACTATGGTACTTTTTTTTTATATATATAATGTAGCGAATAATCGCTTACTACCGCCAATTAAGGGCACACTTTTATTCTATTCCCAAGTGCAAGTTTCTACCACGAATTTTTACCAAATAACCTCTAATTTCTCGGTGCGAAACTTTATTGGAAATATTAATTAATTAAAAACTTACTAATAATAATTTATATAGGTATACAATTTACAATATGTTGCTATAAACGATGACTTTGCAAAGGATAATTTCTATTTCGAATTTATGATTTTACCCAATAAATTTATTGAGATATTTAATTTGGAGAGAGTAAACATGAAATCTAAAAGAATAAACAAATTTGGAACATTTACTAACAAAAGGATATTTGACTTATCAATGTATATTTCATAAACAATTTATTTAACCAAGTGGCTGTTGTGCAATACCGACATATTCCAAAACTACGTCAAATTGTGTGATTGTAGACGTATACCTACGCAAACGTTATTGACTAAAATGAATTGTAAAAGAAAACATAAAAAATGAACATGTAACCCAATTTGAGCACTTAAGTAGATAACTTGTGCGAATTTTCAAGAATGTGTTCAGTTATCTGAAACTGGACTGTAGAATACGATGAACTTTGGATTACTACATTGAAAAGTGCGTATTTTTTTGTAAAGTGACGATAACGATGATGATTTTTACACGCTTTTGAACCTTTCCGTTCATTCTAGACTTTAGCGACTAAAACAAAGAAGAGATGTTTGGTGTTTTGACAATGTAAGGATAGATCCTCTGTCTGCGTCGTTTAATACACCTACCATTCATTACGCAAACATAAGCAACTTTACTAGTTGTTAAATAATAGTAGTCGATAGTTGTGTTGTGACAACATATTAGAAAAAAATCGCTATCTCAGGTGGACATTGGAAGCATATCTCATATAGATGTACTGCACACAGAGAAGTATAGATTAAGCCTATATACACTGCTACGTTTAGGCACACAACAGTAAATTAAGTCGACTTTGCCTGGAAGCAAACCTCCAATCAATAATCGACTTAACTGTGTTTAATATTTACACTTTTCGCTTCACATCCAAACCGACAAAAAACCCCAATAAATTTAAATTTGAATATTTTAATTGTCATTTTGGTGCTTTTACCCTTTCGGGTAAATAGATATACCTAACGGTTTCTGCTATCGGTAGTGGCAATAATAATTTGGACATTCCACGATTGGTTAGAAAAGCATTCCGCGAGCCTCATTTGCATTTATCATGATTGTTGTCTATTAAAGAATAACAAATAACCAAAGGTTTCATTCACAAACAATGGTGCACGACACGTTTTATAACGCGCTGCGAACCTATGTTGAAACGTGTAACACAAAAGGCCTGGCTTTTATCATATACCTAAATAAACACTTCCTAACAAAAGTGTAATATCTAGTAGAGTTCAAGAAATGGGTACAACTATACCTCCGACCATTTGCTAGGCACATATTAAAGCCTACGTTCTAAGTTCGGCAGCACAGTCCGCACATTCATAAATCATTGTTCTCTCTTGAACTAGTGTTGTTTTCTAAATCGAGTAATTGTGTTATTCGTTCAATGCACAGTTTTGATCCTTCGTTCGCTTCTTTGGCCATCTGTGAGAAAAAAGTAGTTGAAAAAAATGGACACAAAACGACCGGCTTGACCGGAATGATAGCTTCACAGCTTCATAGTGAGTGGAGGTTATTGTAGCCAAAAAACCTTCTCTCTCAGGTCCTGGGAGGGGGGGGGGGGGTTGAGTCAAAGTGTGGCAACTCACTTGTGACTCTTGAGTTATGGGTGGACCATGTGGTACCATGTACCATCAGGGGACCCGTTTGTTCGCTTGTCCGTGTGTTGGAACTTTGTGGTACCGCGGCTCGTTTGCCTCCCCGTGCAAAATACAATAATGTATTTTTGCTCTACTACATTTTGTTTTCTAAATTTCAGAAAACTCCGTCCTTAAAATTTGTTTAAAAAGTGGTAAAAAGGTTTTTCTTTACGTATTTCAAATATGGATATAATATTAGATACTTACGAGTGAGAAATTGAGGAAGCCATGAGGAAGGCCCTCCAACACCTCAATACCGACTATGTTGCCCAGTTTCTTAAGTTTCTTCGCAAACATTACACAGTCGTCCAGGCAAGGGTCCAAGTGCACTGTCTGAAAATGTATTTAGTCCAGAATCAACTTAATACAGGCTTCACCTAGTTTGAGAGTCCAAACAGTCGTGTGTGGTATCTTGCCAAGCTATCGTGGCTATCGTGAAGTGGGCATGGTTTTGATCGTAGAACAGGCGGGAGATTAGAAATTTCCCCAGCCAACTACAGAGCTCGAATGAAAGAGATAGAGGGAACTATCTAATACCCATCTCTTTCACTGGGGCTCTTGTTTACTCTATGCTTATATCTCTATGGTGACCTGTCTGCTCGTTTGGCACGTTTTGCCACTCTTGTTTCATAAAAAAATAATATACTATGATTGCTACTTAATTGATTGAAGAAACCACAAAATTTCAAGTTATTTCTGCCTAGCAATGGTGGGCTCACTCCTCACACAAAAAATATGTTATCTTATTGGCATACTACAAAAATGATACATACCAGTATTCTAACAGGCGGGAACCTTTTCAGCAGCTCGTCATCAGCCCAGTAGGGGGAGAGGAGGGGGTCCCTCGGCACGGAGAATATGAACTCGTCGGACGGAGAGCGCGCTATCAAAGCGTCAAGGTTCGTGCGCGCTGCTAGACTGAAGGACGTAATGTTACGTAGGTTATATTATATTCGATACATTATTTCACATAATTAAACTTCATTAATTTTTAATTATCAAAAAAAAAGGTTTGCTTATGCATAAATGGAAGATGTCAGTTACAAAATCATATTCTTCAGTGTTAAAATATATTTTGTTACAGGTGTGATGCCGCTTTGCGACTAATTTAACGTAGTAAGCATAGTAAGGTTTTAAGTGTAGCCGTGAAATGCTTTGGAAATGTAAAAAAAGCATGAAATTTAGATAAGGTTAACATTTTTTTTTTGTGTTATGTGCACATGTTATTAAATTCTAGTGAGCGTACGCGTGGAACACGTACCACGATCTGTTTTTGCAAGTAATTAATTACACACATTAATCTTTGCAGTTGTTGTATTAAATTGCAATATATTTACTAAACAATTCAGTGACACTTACTCATCTTGCGGTGGCCTAGAAATTGTGTTAGAGCCAGTGATATACGCCAATTTCGATGACATTGCACCCATGAAACCAGATGCTGCTTCAGTTATCCTTCACAAAAGTAACAATGCATAATTTACATTACGTGTTAAAAAAAAACGCAATATTCTAATAAGAAGTTGATTTACCTTGTTTTAATCTTCTTCTTATTTTCTTTGCCAAAGTCATCTTCAACTAACGGTGGCTCTCCTACTAATGTACTTGAGTTTTCCGATTCCGCCTTCCTGAAGCGATATACCTTCATTATTATAAGGAAAGAACTCCCGAACTGACTGACTGCACGGATGGCAAAGTTGTTTTAGCGGTCGCCACGTCGCTTCCACATGGGACGACACTTAGTGTGATCCACAAATTGTTGTTCTGAGTCTGGGTGTTCTTTGTGTCCGTTTCATGTATGTTTTTAAAGTCCCCCGTTACATAGGATATATTCCTAGGGCGGGCGTTGTCTTTTAATAAAAAAAAGATGTAAATCCTACTAGATTTCTTATGTATACATATATTTTTTGAGAAAAGTAATAGACGATTTTATGAACAGCAAGCAGTGGTAGCTCAGGTAAGCCGTGGGCCGATATATTGTATAATCTGATTTAATTGTGGCGGGATCGTGGGATCAATCTAATAATAACAAAGCTCTCTATAAGGCATTTCAGGTAGCTAACTTAACAATAACCTATGTATAATATTACACATCACTACTTAGGCCCAAACCAAGAAGAGCATATCTAAGAATTCTAGCACACGGGTAAACATATGTATCATACATATATATCATATTAAACATCGCGTGAATCTAACCTGCGATCACGTGGCAGTCGATGTATTAAAGTCGCGCAAGGGATTGTTAAATAACAATTCCCCCTTAACTTTGGGTACAATTTAAGTTAACATGATAACGAAAAATACATGCATTAACAGAACAACATATTGTAAAAAAGGATATATTATATATTTTCATCGTCATCATCATCTACTGAAGGATTTTCCCGTCACCTTACGTCAGCGTCACCGAAGTAACATTTCGCCAGCGCACAGCTATATATGCGAGATAATATCGAGTATAATTTGCACATCCGCACCCAGAAAACGAAGCTGTAAGTCGATGAACTCAGAATGCACTCAAACGTCTGTATTAAGATAGTTTTCTAAGTTTAAAATAAATTATTTCACAAGCATCATTGAATGTACCATCTTAAAGCAGAGCCTGAATTGTCTTCCATTATCAATTTAATGGTTTTATTGATTGGATATCTTGAAATTAACATTAAATATAAACGGTTACACAATAGCTAGCTATGCCCTCACGAAATAGTATTTCATTCAAAAAGTTTTGACGTTTAAACAAGATACTGATTTGACAGTCATCTATCCTATTCTGCAGGCTGGTCAGTGATGAGTGACTAATTAAAATTGAAAATATTACTTATGCGATTCGTCCTTTGTTTTGACAGGTTTGATGACGGGCATTCTGCGGCCTTCCGAGTCCGTGTCGCTATCCAGTACATACCGTTCAAGAAAATCTGATACATACTTTTGAGAATGGTCTTCTAGTGGCGTCACACCTAAAAGTATTTTTTATGGTTTAAATACGAGCGGAAATATCGTTACAAATTACGCCAGAATCAAGAGAATTTGGAGCGCCAAACCCTTTATGGTTCGGTTTTATTAATGACCTGTGGCAGTGTGTTCACTCTGCAGAGACGCTGCGCTGATGGTGGTGTCGGAAGACTTGCGCCGTTCGCTTCCCGATTTATGTGCTTGAAGTTCCGCTAAATCTGAAGGTGAGACTTCTTCAAACGATGATGGACCTTCACTTATGCCTTCTGTAAATTATATATTTATTGAAGTGATAACTTTACGGGCAGGAAACCGCTTCGTTACGTAACGCCGTTACGGCGCCAGTCTGTCTGGCTTCCCTTTCTCGCATACGGCAGCGGTACGCAGGCTCCTCCTCTCTCACTCTAACCCACAGCGCTAGCTGTATTTCGGACAGACGCTTTACATATAATTTTGGTAATAACCTAAGCTTTTCTCGAGTTAAACAATTTCAATATGAAATAGTTCAACTTAGATTAGTTTAAGTTATCACTTCTGTCGGCGTCCCGAGACGCACACGTTTTTTTAAAATTCATATCGTTTTCTAAGGAAAAACATCTATCGTACAGTTTCTAAAGTATTTTTTAACCTTACAGAGTATGAAATAGGTATTCTAATTAGTAGAATGGGGTAGTTTTTTTTACAACAATTGTATACAATGTAATCCTTGTCAGCATCCTTCGTTTTCTTTGTGTGTATTAAAAAAAGGAAAACGCCCAAGATTTTCATAAAAGGTAAAGATTTCCAGCAGCAGTATATTGGAAAAATCGGCGAGCGAGTATGAAAAGTACTTTATGTTGTTGACACCAAGTTGTTGTCTCTGCCTCCTACTCCGAAGAGGAATTTAGCTCTATTGTTTCAACTACGTAATTACACGCCACTGTGTAGTACACTGTGTAGTAGGCCAAAACCTCCTTTCTAAGGAGAGGCCTATGTCCAGCAGTGGACTAGTATAGGCTGTTGATATGATGTGATGTGTGTAGTACACAGTCAAAAAACCCTAAAACCTATCTATACCTATAAATGTCAGCTCAAATTACTATTACTATTAGATACACCTTACCTTGGGAAGGACTAACTCGAAGGAAGCCATTGCTCTCATTGGGAGTGGTGGCGTTTGATGTAGTGTTTAGATTGTTCTGATATTTTTTGTCATCTTTACTGCCCTTGCCGCCTGAGTTTGGACTCGCGTAGGCTGTAAACAAAATGTAGGTATAAATACTTTACTTAACTGTATTTAATCTCATTATTTCACGATGATTGGTTACAGTCAGAAAACGCAATCACTAGCCACATATAAGTTTAGTGTAACTACCGACAGTGCGAAAAAAGTAATGGAAGCCAACTGCGGCTTATTACAAAAAAAACTACAACTAGCTGAGGTGGTGGTAATTGTTCAGTCAATTCTCCACTTGACCAAGACGATAATAATCTAGATGACTATCAGGTCATTTCAGCGTCTTTTAGTAAACGTCGAAACGGAAGGTTTTGTGCCTTAGTCTGCTCAATCACAAAACGCCACACTATTTAAAAAAATGTTCTGTGTTTGCGAAATAATTTATTTTGATATATATATATTAAAGTGAAACGTCGTGGAACAAAAAGTTAATATATAGTAACAAAAATAACAAACCTTTCAGACACCTCATCATAAAACCAAAAGGCAACACCGGATCCATCAGACACAATAATCGCGCAGGGCTGGGTACGAAGCTGATCATTAGCGGGGCATAAGCCAAGAACATTCCTTCCGGCTGTCTGAGACCCGCTGACAAAATCTTCAAAGTGCAAGCTGCCACCAGGTTTGCCCCAGCCGAATCACCGGCGAATACTATGCGTTTACCTATCGAAATTTAATAAATATAAATAGTGTACGGAGGTTGACCTATTATCGTAGATTTGAAAAGAAAATACTATAGTGAGATAGGCAACTATAGTAGTACTTACTTAGGTATTATAAGTTAAGTAATCACAGTAAAGTTAACAAACACAAGTAAAAAACTAAATTAATAGTAGAAAAGAGTTCCACTACACACCTGGATTCATTACCAGATTATCGTTACTAAGCCGAATCTGTGTGATTCATCAAAAGGAAACATACGATACCAAACTCAAGGAGTACACTATTAGCCACTTGACTCCCTAGTTACCAAAATTATAATATTATCAGATGTAAATGGAGTTCCAATATTTATTTACATAATTTTCTAGTTAGTTATTTACAAATGCAGCTTATAAAACGTGTTAAAAAGGAAGTAAATTGACATAGCTTTGATATAGATAAAGTAAAAAATAATATTAAAAAAACCTAGTCATATCTAACATTCCACATCAGAAAATATATATTTTACTATATTAAAACATTATACAGCCACTATTATTTGCAGCAGAATTAAAAATACCTACCAGTGGTGCCAATTTCATCAAAATGTGTCAACATCCAGCAATAGGCGTAGAATACTTCTTCTAATGCTCTCGGGAAGGGTGCTTGTGGCGCTAGGCTGTAGTCTACAGATAGTATAGGAACGTTGAGTTTCGCGGCCCAGTCTCGGAGGTAAGTCTCATGGGACTTTGAACTTTGTGCCACAAAACCACCACCGTGGCAGTGAAATAAGACACCGTCGGACGGTGGTATTGAGGATGTGCCTTCGCCTGCCTAGTGACAAAATCAGTTTTAAGTTTTTGTTTCTACATAGCTATTTTTTTTCTTGGACAGAGGTACACTGACAATGTGATAAATGTAAAAGTGAGTTTAATTGTAGTTTGTTCGTTACCGTTCCAGCTCTTAATACTCAACAGACCGCAGTGAAATATTGAATACACATTGTTTTATCCTAACGGAATCGCTAACCTTAAAGTTATTTTTCTATTACTCGGGAAGAGTTTTTAAGAAAAAATATTAAGTATGTTCTTTCCTTTAACCCTAACAAATTGCGTACAAACTATCGTGATGATTGGTTGAGTAGTTAGTGCATGAAAGTGAAACCATACAATCAACCATTAAACAAACAAACTCACTTTCGCATTTGGGTGAAGCTTCTTTCTATTTTTTTTTATTTACTGTCCCGTAGGCATACACTTTGTTTTGTGGCTGAGTAAGTCAATTCCAGAGCGACGGACCTCCCAACAGGTATTGAATAAGTATCAATTAGATGAAATTTCGACCAGGTCGCACTGTACTTGGACACAGTCAGCCTGTGACTTCTTAGTGATAGCATTAATTTTTGTGTATAAACATAATTACATATCATGAAATGCAAAAGTTTAAAAGTTGTAATCGTTGTTATTATATCACGTGCTTGATTTGATAAACACAGTATTTTAAGCCAATTATAAGTGAAATAGATTTCTGCCGGCAAACAATAATGCAGGAAAATTGAATATTAAAACTTTAATTTTCCTGTACCATTAAGAACTAGAATGGGTATTCTCACCCATTTAAAAATAAGTACGATCATAATGATTTAATTAAATTAGAATGTTAACTTGAGGCCCTCACACACAGTCGTTTGATATTAAACTAGGTAGAGCCTAATAGTAACTGGACTGCTATACATACTGGATTTGATGTATGTTACTTCTAAATTTAACGGGACTTTAAATAAAAAAAATAAAGAGGTAAAGGATAAAAAGGTTAGGCATACCGCCCTCCGCCTGTGATCGCAGCCAGTACAACCTGGTTTAAACATCAGGCAATACACTGGCCTCACAGAAAACCGGTGTTAGGCAAAATTTTTGTTTTAGAAAGACATCTCCCGCACTAGGAATATTTCCTGTGTTGCTTTACAGACATACATGGAACCAACACAAATAACACCCTCACGACTCAGAACAACAATTTGTGGATCAGGCAAAGTGTTATCCAATGTGGTGATCGGCGGCAGTAGTCACCTAGCATCAGGGACTCAATTCAGACATTTTATATTAACGTATAAAACAGTTATTTATCAAACTATTACAAAGTTATCGACGACATTTTTATCAGTAACAGTTAGGTGACAAGTCATCCGTAGGCCACTGGTCATTCATAGTTAGTAGAATACAAAGTGTAAAACTATTCCGACGTTAGTATATTGAGACAATATTACAATAGCATTATTGAGGCCCAGGTGACGACCCGTATGCTCGTTTCACAATGTAAAATTTAAAAAAAACGAGTGTGCTTTAGACCACGCGACTGAAGTAAAACTTTTTGGCTATGAGAAAAAGAGGGGGCCTCCTCTTGCAGGGGCACTGTAGGGCAGTACGAAACGTAACTCTCTCTTTCTATCTTCAATAACTTATATCTCCCTCTCAACTTCCGTTCGCCTCGACCGATCACACTTTTCGTAACGATCTCGTGACGCATTCACCAGCTTACTCCCCAAGTCAAGTTTGCGTAAAGAAATTTTACTTCAAAAACTTCATTCAAACAAATCTACAACTTAATAAAAATACCACATCACTCACCATGCCACCTCTCTTGTTTACACTAATGAGTCTAACATTCAATCCCTGTAGTCCAATGTGCACTGTCGGAGGCAATATTGTTGTTTCTTTGCCATCTATCGTAGTCACCGTCACGGGTTCCGGAGGAATAGTGATCAGTTTGTTTACAGCAACTGTCGAAGACATTAGGCTCGGTACCCTTTTCATTATTTCTGGAATAAAACAACACGTTTTACTGGAGAATTATAACCTACATTATAACCTACTGAATATATTAAGTGAAAATTAATTTAATAAAACACAAGGATTCGACTTCCAAATATTTGCAGGATTCATGAATACGTCTATTTGCATTGCTCTGAATGTTTCTATATGTGTAAAAAAATATGTACAACCTCTGTACGTCTGAGACTGATTATTAAAATTAAGAATAAATTCTTACTGTGTTTCGGACTGTCTTATCAATGGCAAATTTTCGTTAATCTCCTGTCGCCTATTCATCACAATTCTAACGAGACAGATGCATTACTCATATTTTTACAAATGTACTGTATACAGTACATTTGCATTACAGCAAATTGAATTATTTATTTAGAATTATTTTTCATTTTTAAGGTTTCCGACTAATGAGGTCCAACTTCAAGAGTGAATTTAACTAAAGTGAATTTAACCATTATTGATAAATATTACAACAGTTCGTCTTCATTCCGCAGCTGAACTTAGCCTTGATTCAGTTTATAAGTTACAGAGTAGCCTCGAACTATATAACAGGATACTAAAGGATATGTGCAAAGATGCTGTAACTAAAGATGAAAACAAGGAAGTGTTTGACGAATAAAACCTAATTAAATATTTTTACGAACGATGATTAAACTTGGTCATAAAAATCCAGAATTAGTAAACAGCGTTATTTTGATAGAGATTTTATGTCTAGCCCTTGAGAGCCTCAGTTTTTTTACCGTCCAAACAGATAACATTCATTTGAGCTGCCAAAATTAATTATTTTTACCCACCTAGGGGCGCTGCACAAATCTCATACAAATTTTTGTTTTTGTAAGTTGTTCGTGCTCGAGGTACTGTTAATGTCTATACTTTCGACCTTAAAGGGTAAGATTTGATTAAACAGTTGTATTTTTAAGCGTAGGTTACGGTATACCTTTTACTTGCGCCTCATGCCGCCCTGAGTGTGGCCGCGGGTGGACGGGGTGGGTTTTCCCTCCACCCGCATTAGTTGGCCAGCCGCGAGGGGGCGGCGTCCGCGTGTGCCGGACGTCGCCTAAAGAGAGGATAAGTGGAGACGGAGCCCGCACCAGGAGCGGGCCGGCGCTGGGAGGGGTCCAGAAGGCGATAACTACCTGGACCCCTCCTAAACCGGAAGCGCAAAGAGGGCACACCGTGTGGTTTTAGTCGGTTCGAGTCCGACACACCACCCCGCCGCAAACCCCGGTGGGGTGACGGTCCGAGGGGATTTCCACACGTTAAAAAAAAAAAACAAAAAAAAATACCTTTCGTCAATTATGAACAGTCGTTTTTATTTGTTTATTCATTAAAGGAGCGTGAGTAAGTGGCATTGAAATCCATCTTTTTTTGCCAAATAATTGCAATAATGAAATAAGAATTTTTAGAGGATAAGTAAATTTATGTCTTTAATTAATTATTTAATCATAATAGCTTTGGCGTAAGAACAATGATAATAACCTGCGGTTCTCATACATTTCTTACAAAACATCTCGACACCATCAAAAGAATTATAATATATTAAGATTGTTGTCTGCCTATACGAACAAAGGGCTATTTTCCTATATACCTATTAAGAAATTAATGTTAATATTTATATTATTAGACTGGTTATTCAAAGATCTTACAGTCTCACACAATGTGGGCAGTTTTGCGTGTAGATCTTGGATTTAAAGACCATTATACATTATTACCCGCAGCATCGCTTGCCTTTATAATATAATGTTAATTAGGACAAATTAAACAAATAACATACCACTCTCAGCCAAAAACCAGAACGCCTTGCAGAATTCAATACTCGCCGAATGCGATATGTTGACAATACGCCTGGCCCTCATCTCCGGATCTATAAGATACTGGCCTCCAGTCCACACAGAACTGATCAGGTTGCCGTGGCAGTAGTAGGCCTCGGAGAATCCCGCCATGCATATTGATATGCCTTTTAGTATTCCACGCATTGACGGTAAGAACTGTAAGCATCAAATATGTAAGAGTGAGGTCATAGTCACAAAGACTGCAGTAGTTACTAGAGAGTATACTTTAAGTGTGCAAAAGTGGAGGGCGATAGACTGACTGATTGAATAATGAAAGAAAAATATATGTAGGTAGCCCAACTTTCGCCCAACTTTAAATAGCCCAACTTTCGCCATTGGGATTTATTGAAAAAATAAGCCAACTTTGTACAAGTATTTAAAATCAGTTTCGTTCAATATAAATGATTAATTGCTTTTTGTTCAAATTGTTCAAATTAAATGATTAAGTGATTTAGCGTAGTAAATCAGCTTTATGTATAACTAGCATAAATAATAAAAGAAAATAACATAATAAAACAATTTAGCTTTAATTTTTCATTTGGTTAAAGTAAAACAAAAATAAGTGCGATAACAATTTTAAGATATTATATTGAATACTTACAACTATAAAATCGTATAAAATTAATGCTTACCTGGAAACCAAGACATCGTCCATAGAAACAATACTGGTTGATAGTGTCTGCTTGCGCAAACAACTCCTCAGGAGTGTGAGGCTCTGTGGGAAAAAGTTCTCCTGGAGGCGCCCAAGACAATAGTGTGTGGAGATGATGAAGACATGTTCCGAGCGAAGCAAGGAGCTGGCCACATGACTCTATTTCCCTGAAAAAAAAAACTTTGAAGATGAAGAACAAAAAAGGTGGAAACTTACTAACTTTGGGGTACAAAATACGAGATGCTGTGTTATTTCATACAAGGTGGGACTATGTAGCAGAATTTAATTATTATAAATACGCAAATCAACATGTTTTAACATATGCCAGTTTAAATAAAAGTCCATTGTGATTTTAGATGATGATTCAGAGATTAAAAAATCGTTGTTTTCGTATATTCAAATGCCGCACAAATATGAGTTATCAAATAAAAATATAATGCCGATGGGTACTTTTAATCTCATTTTACGGGGAGCTCTGGCATGTTTATTCCTAGGTAGAAATATAATACAGTGTTGTTGGTTTATGAGTTTCTAAAGGGTAAAAGTACCGCACTATAGGTATATGAGTTGATATAAGCCCATCTGTCTTCTAAACTACTAAGTAGACTAGATAGAGAGACTAACTAGAAAACCGTTTTGTTTATTTATCTGCTATTATTTCGATTTTTAACCTTTTTTTTTTAACGCGGTGAATCCTTTTCGCACCATACCCTCCGTTGGGGAAACGCAGGGCGTGTGTGGGACTCCCGGAGAACCGGTTTACCCACTAAACCCAGCGGCGGCCTACCTCGGCAGTCAGGAGGAGCTCCAGGAACGCATCGGCTGCTTCTGGAGTCCCCCCTGCCGTACCCCTTGTCTGAGGCACATCCCGGGGTGACTGTAGTCGCCCTGGGGCCGGAGGCTGCCGCGCCTTTCACTGCTCTATGCAGTAGGAGGCGCAACAGCGCCCCGCCATGGACAACACCCCCCGGCCGCAACGGAGTGTCGTCTGTCTCGGGTCGTTTGCAGCGGCCACATAGCCCCAAGATGTGGTCGCAGCGACCCTTAGGCGGCGATTGGGAAGCTAACGACCTCAAGAAATCTTGTTTCAATAATCGCGGGAACAATTAATGTTACTGTCGCGTGAGGGGCGATAAATACGTAATGCGGTGACTGAGCCTATTCCTCTTTCGAGAAGCGTAAAAAGTGATATTACTCGTAGTACGCACGAGAAAAATATATAAAACAATCATTTAATTTATTTTTTCTCCGATCTCTCACGACAAAAAAGAAGAAGTATAACCTTGAATACCTATTATTAACTTCGAAGATGGATGAAAATAAATAGGTGCAAACGATTTCCACAGACGTCTATCCTACAGCTGGGCATGACATCGACCTTTCTTAAAATGAGTTTCGAATATAATATAGAGAAACATTTTTTTGTTAGAAACTCCTTAGAATTTAAACTCGTGCAGTTCTAACAAATATACAGGGTTACTGGGTAAGTCGACCTTATTATTTTAAGGGATTTTAGTTGCCATTATTTCTGATAAATTTCACTATGCAATACCATACCCCAAACCAACCATTTTCAAGATATTGGACTTTTAAGATTTTTATAAGAAATGCTGACATTTTGCCTAATACGTTTTTCATGACTTATGTCCTTTTTGTTATGTTTTTTTACCGTTGCAGTTTAACCATCATAGATTTTGATTTAAATATTCGTCAAAGAAAAAAAACACATATTTTTTGCTATTATTAACATTCTACTTCGGCCCAGACGGTTAAGTAAACTATAATTGGAGTAATGGAAATTATAAAAAAATGTATCAACTACACAAAAACAGCAAAAAAAAACATTAAGTAAAGGATATAAGTTATAAAAAAAATGTAATAGGCAATTTTTATAAAAATCTTAAAAGTCCAATATCTTGAAAATGGTTATATCTAGTGAAATCTATCAGAAGCGATGGGAACTACAACCCTCTATGTATGTATGTACAATACACGTACTAATACAATACATTCGAAATAGACAACAGTAAAATGCCGAAAATCGTTTCAAAATATTACTCTTCCATATCCCTAGTGAACGGTGGAGGGAACCAATGAGGGTAAGTATGAAAATGAATAAAGTTTTATTCTGAATCCGTAAAACTGGGTTAATATGAGCACATAATAATAGCCTGACCAGGAAAATAATAAACCTCGCCATTTTGCGGCAAACGAATGGAACCAATTTCATTTAATGACAAGCGCAACATTAAAACGTATTAATATGCCATCATTGTTTATTATTGATTGCTGTCAAAGTTTAAATGTGGTCTATTATTGAGTTCTTGATATTTTTGTGTAAGTATTTAAACACGAAAAATCTATTCATAGTTGTGAGAGAAAGGGTGTTACTGATGGTTAAAGAGCGAGTTTAATCTCCTTTCACGCTTTAATTAGATATTCACAGTGATTATCGCAAAATGTTGTGTTACATTTTTACGAATTAATACAGAAAAGAAAATATTTTTTACACAAAATATTCTGACCGAAATCCCTTATTTGAAAATTATCTGATATGTATACACTAAAACATTAAGTACTGAAAATATGTAAAACATGTTAGTGAAAACATAAAAATTTGCTCGTTACTTTTAAGAAGTTCGATAGAATGCAGAATCTCCTTTTCCGAAGTTGGATAAGAGGAAGTTACATTATACTTTTCAACTCAAATTTAGAACGAGCACTTTTTATTTACCAAACAGAGCACAAATATCTAGATTACTCAGTCATTGTATTAATAAACAAACTCATTTGCTCAGTTCCACATTCACGAGTTTGCCAGCTGCTATTCAAAATTACCAAGATATAAATATATATAGGACAATTACTTTTTAGTCGGTTAACATTGATTGCTAATACCACTATTTATGTTCTTCATGGATATAGGTCTTTTAAATGTTACTATTAACGTAATTTATAAGAACTATCTGTTTGTTGTAATGCTTGGATAAAGTTAAAGTGCAACGCTTAATGGTGTTGAAAAAAAAATACATATTTGAATATTGCACAGAACCTTTAGGTTTATTTGCTTTAGGTCAACATTTTATTGCTGAATATAAAATTAATAACCTCATACATCTCACATGCGGCCGTCTGATCCTAAACTAGGCAGAGCCTGTACTATGATAACCAGTCTGCTGATAAATATACATAGGTATTTATTAACCCATTAACCCACGACCTCTGGGTCAGGATAACTGGTTACTGAGAAAGCCGTGTTGATCTAGCGGTTACTAGACCAACAGGTCTGTCATATAATATGTTTGATTAGTAACACGATAATGTTAAGTAAGAGGTTAATATACTGATTTATTATGAACAGGTCCCTGTCCTAACGATCTCGCCAATAACAGGACGGATATACAAGATATGAAAGGTGGCCACGGCGTATTCGAACTTCTGCGTTATGCAGAACTATCTTCGCACAAAGATTTACCGTATTACTCGGCCCGTTCCTATATGATAGACCCTCTAGGATAATTTCAAATCTGCTTAAATTAACCAAATTATACTGTAAAAGGCTTTGTAGTTACCTAATAACCCTAAACTCTAACCTAAACCTCATGTTATTTATGTTCACCATCAAATATTATTATCCTCATTTCCTTAAAAGTATACATTCACTTCAAGTGATTACATACAATACATGTCATCGATATAAACTTGCAATCTCAACTTTCAAGGCCGTTGTCTGCACAGCTTGTATCGCTCTCACTATAAAATGAAAGTGGAAAACTATGTACTGAGAAGCCAGACATTCCACTCGAAACAATGCAAAAATTGTTTCGAATAGAATGTATGCCTAGAAGTCAGATATTTTGATCTGACCTTCGCAATTAAAACTGTTTTATGTGATCTACTCCCTAACGTTAGTGGCGAAGGGAGATAGTTGCAACTTCGATTTTTTAATTATTTTGTCATATTTGTTGAGCAAGCACCATAACATAGGTATATAATATATTTTTAAAATGGATGAATTTTAAAGCTAGAATCTGTTTAAAAAGCTAGAGAAAAAGAAATAACAATTGAAAGTAAACATTACAAAGCTAGCTTTAGATAAATATTGATACAGCGTTAAACAGATTTCTTATACATTTTATTTTTGTGAAATATAATTAAAGGTTTTCGCTTCGTCGAATGGAGAATATAATCTAATATAATCTAAACCGTACGTAATACAATAAATTGTTGTTGTGTTTATGTTTTCATGTATAATAAATTATACTGGTACTCGATTCTAAGTAATCATTAATCTTGTTTTATTCTCAATTGATTTTATGTTTCCTTGGAAAATACTTCTTATTGCCTTGAAACAGAGCTGCATTTTCCTTTCAGAAACCCTGTTCACCGAGGTATGTGCCGTTTAACGCCGTGTAATGAATACAAGTTTGGTCTAGTAATATTGTGTCTTAGTTGAGTGTTTACTTTTGTTACTAGCTTAGCTATTTGGTCAAATAGCTTTAATCTAATAATTTTAGTGTACTGGATTGTAAATAGTGAGATAGCTTCTTGAAAATAAGTGATATACATGCTTTAAATACCAGAAATAGAAATAAACTTGTTGTATACGTGTGGAAATCCCTTCGGACCGTCACCCCGCCGGGGTTCTCTGTTCGACGGTGTGTCGGACTCAAACCGACTAAAACCACACGGTATGCCCTCTTTGCGCTTCCATTTTAGGGGGGGTCCAGGTAGTTATCGCCTTCTGGACCCCTGCCAGCGCCGGCCCGCTCCTGGTGCGGGCTCCGTCTCCAATTATCCTCTCTTTAGGCGACGTCCGGCACACGCAGACGCCGTCTCCTCGCGGCTGGCCAAACTAATGCGGGTGGAGAGGAACACCCATCCCGTCCACCCGCGGCCACACTCAGGGCGGCATGAGGCGCGCAGGCAGGCAGGTGAGCGCGCCTCCACCGCCCGGTTCGCCGGCGGCGGATCGGGTCCGAGTGGAGGCCGTCCTCCCGGGTCTTCTCCGCCGCCTCCTTCTGCAAGATTACTTCCTCGCAGAAGGTTGCGACCGCGGTAAAACAACTGTCGCTACCGGCCATGGAGCGTACTACGGCCGGTAGCGAGAGATCCACTTCGATGATTGCGGTGAGGGCCCGGCGCTGAGTCGCCCATGCGGGGCAGA